AATTGAATCAGTAAATTTCTACTAATTGTCAGTTGCTCAATTCTCGCTATGGCAATTAGTAGATTTCTACTGCTAATCAGTAAAATATGACTGATTCAGATTTAGAGAGGATATTAGAATTTTCTACCAGTTAAGTTTCTACCGCATTAGAATTTTTGATCATTTAAAATGTCAACTTATTGGAGTGTCTTTCAAATAAAATGTCGACGATTTAGAGTTTCTAACGTTTAAAATTTCGAGCATTTAGGAAAAAATTATTCACCTCTTTTATTTTTATTTATATGTTACATAATACTAAAAAGCTCAAGCTTCTATTGTACTTTGAAAAAAGTAATAAGCGAAATAAATTTTAGATAGCGGTCCCACAGACCGCTAAAGCATTTTAAAGGTTATAAAAAGAAATTTAGATAAAAAGAAAACGAATCTGTTGAGTACATGGCATTGTGGTATGTATAATGAAACTTTGTACAATGAGAGAGAGAGAGTGAGTGAGAAAAAAAAACGTGAAAGAAGAACGGAAGAAGAGAACGTCAAAATAACAATCCATAATAATTAGCAATTCAAACGATTCCATTTTGGGTTGGTGAATTCTCGATGCATTCAATTGTCAACCCTTTCAAGTTTCAGGGGTGCATATAACGCATACATACACGGGGCAAAGACGACGACGACGACAGTACTTATATAGTGTGGCGTGCGCCATACAAAATAAAAGACCATTTTATCTACGAATGAGAATCTAGTTCACATTCTCACTCCTACGCAGCCAAAAGAATATTTATCTCAAGTGCAAATGTAGTCTCTCCCCCACGAAGATACAAAAAAAGGGGAACGACGCTAACTAATTCATTTTTTAAGGGGAGGAGGCTGTGAAACCTCCTCCACGTTAATCGATGTCACATTGTATATATATATATATATATATATATATATAGGGTTTAAAAAAAATTAATTTCTTTTTCCACCCACTTCTCTGTTTTCATTTAAAAAAAAAAATTGACATAACCTCAAATTAAAAATAAATTTTATCACCATATAAAAAAATGAAATTTTTTTAAAAACTTTAAATTAACAACATTGTAGAGAATTAATTACACCCAAAAAAATGGTATATTCGTCTCAGAGCCTAATAAATATTTATTTGACTTGAATAAAAAATTTCATTTACGCCAAATAAATAGGATAGTAGGCTGTGAGACAAATATATACGTTTATTTAACTCAAATATATTATATTTGGTTCAAATAAAACATTTCTCTGGGTGTATCAAAGAACAAAAATGAATTATTTTTCATTTAAAAATTAGATAAAAATGACAATTGTTCACTAACTTTAAACAAAATATTGAATGTAATTATTGTATGGCAATAAATTTTGGCTAAAAATATGTTTTTTTTATATATAATTGTACAATTAAATTTTTCAAAATTTATTGATGAAAGTAATTTTAATTGTAGTTTTATTTGTTGTTAAAAATAACTTTTTAGTTTTGAGGTTATGTGAGTGGCTTAAACTTCCTTAATATAGCATTGCATATATTATTTTATTCATTTATAAATCATATAATCGATTTTTTTGTGTTGAAATTTAACAAAGTGCAATAACCGCGCGGATAACTGTCACTCACAAGGATAATTTTTGTAACTTAAATTAAAACTTCTATAATAAAAGTACCAACTATATTTATATAACTATTTTTTAGATATTAATTGCAATTTAGCAATTATGAGTAGTCAATACTTTTTTAATATTAAAAATCAATTAAAAACTTCTAGATGTATTTTATGGAAATAATATTCATTTTATTTTTTTGTACGAAAAAAAAAATTATCTTCTCATACTGTTTTTTTTCATTTATTTTTTTTTTTAATATTATATATATAATTTTAATACCTATATAAAATAATATATATATATATATATATGAGCGATTTCACGTGAAATTTACCTATGACATTTTAAATTCGGTAAATATAATTTATTTCGATTTTTATGGAAAAAAAAGATTTAAGTATTTTCTTATTTTTTTCTCAAATTTTCAAGATATAAATTTTTAAAAATCTGATTTTTTCGAGTTTTTTAAAAATACTCCTAATTTCAATGATAAATTGAACATTTTCTCTAACTCACGAAGCATTCAAACTCGCGTACCGTTCAGAATTTGTCTCGAAAATTTCAGAGATTATACTATCTATATCAAAAACATAGGTTAAAAAATTAAGATAACATCAATACTCAAGGTCAAACGACAGAATCATAGATTAAAACGAACATAACCTCAAAAATCAAGGACATATGTCAAAAACCAAAGTTTTTGAAGGAGTTGAGACAAACATAACCTCAAAATTAGTATCAGAAGTCAAAAGATGACCCTCCTCCTTAAAATATCAAAGGTCATAGGTCAAAGGAGAACATAGCCTTAAATTTACGTCAAAGGTCATATAGGCGTTGAAGTTAACATAACCTCAAAATTTGTTCAAAATCATAGAAAAAAATACTGACATAACTCAAAAATTAGGGTCATAGGTTAAGAAGAACGTCACTTTGACAGGAGATAACTTTAAAATTATTTAATATTTTTTGAAATTCATGTTTAATATATGTACTTTTAAATAATAAATCGATATTTTAAAAACAATTAATGGTATACGAGAAAAAATTCATTAAAAAAATGTCTATTTTTTGGCGCTACAACTGCGAGTTCCCCCTTAAAATTATAAATCGACACGAAAATCAACATCAAGAGATTAATTTAACATTTATATTTATTTTCAACAAATTTTAGTTTCTGTAGAGAAAACGAGTTTAAAAATATAAATAGTGATTTTTATTTCTTTAAACCTGACTCCAAGTGATCGACATTATCAACTTCATTTATTATAATTAAAAACAGAGTTAAAATATTGAAATTCAATTTTTTTCCAATTTCTTTCATAATATCCTTTGTTCTATAAGTAAACGTATGTATTTGCAAAAAAAAGAAAAAAAGACTAATTCCAAAAATTAATAATCTAAATGCTCAATAATAAATTTCAATTCAATATTTTAAAAACAAACAATTTTAAGAAACAAGTGTTTTGAAAACAAAACAAAAAAAAAAAAAAAAGAATTGCATTTCAGCAAAGATAGAATTCTGAAAATTGCACAGTGTTCAGAGTAAAGGCGGGCACAGGAAAGCATTTGGCTCATTATTCACCACCACGCCTTCCCCCAGGTCGCCATGCGACTACACGAGTTTTGCACGTACGCTCTCAAAAAATTATTTCCCTAATAAATATCTTACTGCTGACATCTTTTGTCACAAGAAGAGACTCGAAATAAAGATTTCTTCTTTAACCACAAAGGGAATATGGATTGGGGTTTGTGTCTCAACTTATTTCTCAATCTACATTACCAACAACAGTTGTCTACTTAACCGATAGAGAATTTGTGGAAAAATTGACCAAGAAATATTAAAAAAAAAAAAAAAAAAAAAAAAAAAAAAAAAAAAAAAAAGAAAACGAAAAAACAAAAAGACCGATGAACCTTGCAAATGCAAAGGGCCGACGCCCCCTTCTCAAGGTGAGCGACTCTCAAGAGATTACAGCATTTTTCTACAGTACTATATTCGTCGAGATTGTTTTTTTTTCTTTTCTCTTTTTAAAAAAAAAAGTCTTGATACTTTTCATTCGAGAGAATTTACATTTATGCCCTACAATACAAGAGATGTACATCGAGAAAATCACAAAGGAATCTTAGTCGTTAGTTCAAAATTAATGGCATTTTTTGATATCTTCTCTATTAATATAGCAGTTATTAAATTTTCGAATTTTATTTACTAAAATGTTTTCTATTTTTTAATTTCTATTTTTACTTGCAAAGTTTGTATTCTTTTCTGAAACTACGATCGATGATATACCGTGGATGTACCAGTTACTGTCCATGTCCCAGTTTCTGTCCATTTTACAAATATCTCGTATAGTAATTTAAATTATTTTTTAACAATAATTTATTCCTTTTGTCACACAATCGACTTATTAGTTTAAGTAAACAAATAAAAGAAAATAATTTTTTTATAAATGTTATTTTGAAAATTAAACTGGACGGAAACTAGGTCTTAGGTGGACGGTAACTGGGACATCCACGGTAATTTTAATCATTCGTAATTTTTTCTTTTTTTTATTTCTTATTAGTAAAATTTCTAATTTTTTTTTTTTGAAACTACGATCAATAATCAATATGAATTTAATTATTGGTAATATTTATATTTTTCTTATTTGTTACCCGTAAAATTTCTATTTTTTATTTTTTGAAACTACGATCGATAATCAATATGATTTCAATAATTGGTAATTTTTTTCTTTTTGTTTTTTCTTACTAGTAAAATTTCTAATTTTTTTTTTTGAAACTACGATCGATAATCAATATGATTTCAATTATTGGTAATTTTTATATTTTTCTTATTTGTTGCCGGTAAAAATTTTATATTTTTTTTTTTGAAAAAACGATCGATAATCAATATGATTTCAATTATTATTGAAAAAAAGATTTTTATCTTTTTATTGGCCAATAATTATTGGTAATTTTTACCTTTTTTATATTTCTTTCTAACAAAAACATCCACTTTTTATTTTTTTTTGAAACTACAATCAATAATCAAAATTTTCAAATTTATCAATATTCCCTCTTTTTCTTATATCTTATCAATTTTTTTTTTTTTTTTTTTAATAAAATGTTTGCATATAAAAAATTTTCCAATGTTTCTCGACTAAAAATTAAAAAAAAAATTTACAAATTTTTAATTTTTTGAAACTTTGATCGATAATCAATACGATTTCAATTATTGGTAATTTTTTTTATTTTTTTCCTATTTTCTCCAACTGTAATTTTTTAGTTTACAAATTTATTGTCTCTCAATGTTTCAATAAATTCTTAAAATAAAATAAAATAAAAAAAAAAGAAATATTTTCTCCCTTTTAAAAATAAAATATATATAATTTGTTTTTTTTTATAAAACTCACCATTGGAAGGCGTTGAAATGAAAATAAACTAGACCTTGTCCATAGAGAAACGATACATCTTTCCAATAATCTCCCTTTAGAGTGTAGAACTTTTGATATGCTGACATTGCTATTATAAAAATCGAATACATTAATTAATATATTTAGCAAATAAAAAAAAAAAAAAAGAAAAAATGTTTCAAACTTATTGAAATAGAAACATTAAGCATTTTTCTATATATTTTCTGTATTACGTTTATAATTTTTTTTTTTTTTTTTTTTTTTTTAATTGATGACGCAAATTGGAAGCAAAATATAAAAATTAAAATTTGCAACGATTTAAAACAAAAAAATAAATGTTGAAATTTTTTTATAACCGTTTTTTTTTTTTTTTTTTTTTTTAAATAATATTCATGAAAAACTATGAAGAAAACCATTTTTTTTTAATTAACAAAAAAAAACCGTCAACGGCCTTGCAAGATTTTCACAAAAAAAAAAAATATTTTTTTATACAAATTATTACGAAGCTGAAGTAACCCAACATTTCTGATAAACAATTTTTAAAGAAATAATTTTTTAAAATGAAAAATTCTATAATTTTTTGCCTAAAAAATATTTCTTTTAGTTTTTATTAATCAACAAATTATTTTTAAAAAAAATTTTTTTAGGTAAACTTCAGCATTGTAATTATTATAAATTTACTGAAAAAAGTTTTGCAATGCTTCTCGAATAAAATTAATTAACTTAATTTAAAAAAAAAAATTTTTATTATTTTCTGTACGTGAAAAATATTTTGTTCTTTCAATCATTGATCAAAAAAATTGTGAATTTCACTGACATGAATTAAATTTACTTTTAAAATTAAAAAATTAAATAATTATCATTAAAATTTGAAAATAGAAAAGAAAATAATAATAATAATAATAATAATAATACCCTTATTGTAATCTTCGAGAAGTAAATGAAAATGGCCCAGTTTGCAGTATGTTTTAGGATCAATGCTTATACCCCGATCATCATCATCGTCATCATCGTCATCATCATCGTCGTCGTCGTCATCGTCATCATCATCATCATTTTCTTTAGGTTCATCTACACTCATTTTCGTACTGTCAGCCTTTCTATGCTGTTTTTCCGATTGAGCTTGCACTATCATTCTTTCTAAATATTTAATTGCACGAACCACTAAAGCTTTCTTTTTCGCTTGCTCCGGAGAATTGAGTTTTAAAAACCCAAATTGACGGCTGAAAAAATAAATTTTTTAAAATCTCATCATTCAAAAAATAGTAATTTTTTCCTTTTTTTCGTATAAAACAAAAAAAAAAAACGCCACACATTAAAATCTCCATAAAAAAAAAAAATTTCAATATTAGATAATGTTGAAATTCACGTTTTAACAATTTTTAAAAAAATTACTTTTTTTAATAAAAATAAAAATAATAATAAAATAAATATAATAAAAAAGTATAAATTATAAAATACTTCTTCTAATATTAAAATACATTTTATATTGGATACAAAATTTCTATTATTTTCTATCTTAAAAAAAAAATTTGTTTTTTAAAGTCATAAACGTTGCGGACTTCAGTATCGCATGAATTAGTATACAAATTTTATCTTTGCCTTCATTTTTTAAATAAAAGAAACCGGAGAATTATTACTAAACCTAAAATAAAATAAAAAAAAAACACAAGTCGTAACGATAAAAATTTCTCCGCAAATGTCATTGAGAACAAGATATGAATTAAAAAAGCAAAAAATATCATTTCAATCTATTTTATAGAATTTTAAAAATTTATAATTCTCTCTCAAAAAGAAGCGAAAATTAAAGTTAATAAAAAATACTTGGATAAAAAGAAAAAGCTACAGGGTAAAAGTCAAAACAATCCGCCCTTGGAGTGTGTGTGTGTGTGTGTTTACTTCGCTTTAGATTTTACGGATAAAAATACAATTGAAAATAAATATTTCTTTAAATGTTTCTTTTTTTATCATCTTCTTTATATATATATATATATATAAATCGAGTACATACATTGAATGTAGAACACTGTGAGAATATGTAGGAAAGGATGTCAGTAGGTTGTATGGCGAGAATGAAAGGATCGCTTAAATTGCCCGCCTATTTCTGTCAAAAACTTTCTCACACATACACGCACACACACAAACAAATAGGTTAGATTTTTAGTGAGATACCGGTTTTTTTGGAAAATGAAAAACAAAAAATTAACTTCTTCAACAGTTATTAATATAATTAAAATACACTATTATTTACCTATCCAACTCGGAAAGTATCTGCAATTCCTGGGGAGTTAAGTTGATATCGTCTGTTTCCTGGGCCATTTTCACAATTGATGGTGATGGTGAATGAAAAATTTACGTCAACGATAGAAAAAATACATTTTTACAAAATGAAGATTATTATAATCGACGATATAAAAAAAGGCCACGACGCGCACTTCACTGCATTTGATCACTTCATTCGGAAAAAGTATAATTTTTTTTTTTCCAAATATTAAGTCAGGTTACGTCGAGACGGCACAAAGCACGCGACATAAAACCTCAAACTACTTTCCCTTCCGTTAATATAACACATATGTTTCCGGTAACGCCGTAAGATGGGCGGGAATGTTTAAAATTCTCCAACAATTTAAAAAAAAAATTATATTTTTAAAAAAAGATTTAATTTAACATAATATTATTCGCAATTAATTATCAATTTAAAAATATTAAAAATTATTTTTATTTTTAAAATAAATGAAGTGTGTTTTAATAAATACGATTTTACATAAAAATATAAAAGTGAGGTTAGGTTTTTTTTTTTTTTTTAATTTTTCTTTAACATTTATATAATAAAAAGTAATGTTTTTATTAAGTTTATATAAAATTTTCATCTTGTTTCTCACTATATGATTTTCTATTAGAATATTAAGAAAAGATTTGAATTTTACGTGACAAAAGTTCGAATAGCGAATTAACTAAAGTGACGCTGAAAAATCTGCGTTTCGTATATTGCCGTCACCTTGAAAAGTGTTCAACGCGTTTCTTTTTCAATCGTCTGCAATTTCGCGAGTGGATCAACTTTTTTTTTTAAATTCTTATTCGAAGTACTTAGGTGAGATTTATTATGCATTTTAACTAAAGAAAAAAAAAAAACAAAGGATAAATATTCATTTTTTTGTGTCTAAATGTCCCGGAGATCGTACAAAAAGTCTTTGTCGACCGGAGCAACAAAACTCTTTAAACGGTAGTTTTTTTTATTTATTTAAACGTTAATTATCGAGAAAATTCATGTCAATAAGTTCGTAAATATATATATAGATTGGAATATTTCATTAAAATCACATATAAAACAACGAAGAGAAGTCATCGATATTTTTGTCCATGTAATGCTCTGTCTTTGTTTAAAAAAAATTCTTATTGTCAATAGTTTTCTTTTTTTTCTTTTTATTATTATTATTATTATTATTATTATTATTATTATTATTATTATTATTATTAAAATCGAGTAAAAAGTTTATTTTATATAAAACAATATTTTATTATGCAATAAATTTTGTGCCAAATTTAAATTTAGCTTTGATTGTATTTTGTGGTTAAAATCGACTTTGTTTATATATTGACATTTCTAGGAAATATATTTACAATGACGAGAGAGTTATAAATTCTTCGACAAAGATTACATAATGACTAATTATTATATTTAAGGGATATTTAACGGGGAAATCTTTATAATCTTGCGGGTTTTTAACTGGTATAAAATCCCCTAATAAAAGTTTCACTTTTCTAACTTATAGATTTAAAGATTTGGCCCTCAGGTCTTCAAATTTATTGCAACCCAAATGAAGAATATTTATGAACCCTGTCTATTTGAAACAAAGAATAAAAATGTGAAAAAATTGGTTGTAAATTAACTCTTTTTTTTTTTTTTTTTTAATATTAAAAATATTTTTAAATTCCATTTGTTTATTACTTTTTACAGTATTAAAATGAGTACCCCTAATATTAAGAAGAATAAAGACGACGCTAATAGAGATGTTAGCGATACTGATCTTGCAAATGAAGCAAAAAGTGTTATTGAAAAACTTTTAGGAGATGTCAGTAAAACTTCGGCAACAAAACAAATTATTATTGGAACCACATCAGGATGGTGTGTATTTTTATATTTTAATATTGTTTTTCATGAAAATATTAAATTTCATTTGGCAATTTTTATTATTTATTTAAAATGATTTTCTTTCACTTTTCCTCAATTACTTAGTTTTCATGGAAATTTCTATTTTTATCATTTATTCATAGTCCAATGGAAATTTTTATTATTTATTTTTTATTTTCAATGTTTTCTTTCACTTTTCCTCAATTATTTTATTTTTCATAGAAATTTTTACTATTTATTTTTTGAAAGCCTTTATTTTTATTTTCAAGGTTTTCTTTCACTTTTCCTCAATTATTTTACTTTTCATAGAAATTTTTACTTTTTTTTTTTTTTTGAAAATTTTATTTATTTATTTATAAATTAAAATATTACTATCTTTTACTATAATTTTATTTTTACTTTTTTTTCAAACTGATGTTCTATTCAATCTTTTTTTATATTTATATCCCAGTAGGAAAAAAATTTAATAAATAAGATAAACAATAATAAAAATATTTTTATTTTCTTCAATATTTTTAATTTATGAAATTAAGTAAATAAATTATTTTTCGAAAAATTGTGATTAAATAATAAAAAATAATATTTAATAAACAATTAAGTTTATTAATTTTTAAGCACAAAAAATTACATTAAATAAATATTTTTTAATTAAAAAATTAAGAATTAAGAAAAGAAAAATATAAATTTAAAAAAATATTCCACTTTTTTAAAAAAAAAAAAAAAAAATACAGGATGACGGGATTTTTGACGATGAAAGTGGGAAAAGTTGCAGCATTTGCATTGGGAGGTGGAATTATTATTCTACAAGTTGCTGCACATCAAGGATATATAAAAATAAATTGGGACAAAGTACAAAAAAAAGCGGAGAAAATCTCTGACAAAGTTGGAGAAAAAGTTACTGGCGAGGGACCTAAAATGTTAGACAAGGTAATTTAAATAATTAAAAATTAATAAAAAGAAAAATTATTTTCACATTCAATCAAAAAATGGCAAAGTAATTTTAATATTACACGGAGAGAAAAATCAGGGCTTTGTAGCACGGAAGTAGTTCGTGAATTTTTCGCCCGGCGCCTTTCTTCCCCGTAAAGTATGAATTCGTACGCTTTCTGCGCGACGAATATCTATGCTACAAGTCCAAGTCAGATGTGCCTTGGTAGCAAGAAACCGTGCTGCATTCGTAGCGACGCCACGCGAATAACGCAAGCACTAGCAAGGTGCTTCTTTTCCACGAGTTCCGCCCTATTTCGGTAAGAAGAGCTTCTTGCAAATACACTTTCGTGCAAACGTTTCAGAAAACGTATTTTAAAAATTCAATTTAAAGCCATTTAAAGCATATAACTTCAAAATTGTTTTTAATAAATAAACTATAATGGGTAAAAGAAGTCTGATAAATTTAATTATTGAATAATATAATAATATTATGATAAAAGTAAATAAAATAATATTATAATAATATTATACACAAGTACCCACGAAAGTGTATTTGCAAGAAGCTCTTCTTACCGAAATAGGGCGGAACTCGTGGAAAAGAAGCACCTTGCTAGTGCTTGCGTTATTCGCGTGGCGTCGCTACGAATGCAGCACGGTTTCTTGCTACCAAGGCACATCTGACTTGGACTTGTAGCATAGATATTCGTCGCGCAGAAAGCGTACGAATTCATACTTTACGGGGAAGAAAGGCGCCGGGCGAAAAATTCACGAACTACTTCCGTGCTACAAAGCCCTGATTTTTCTCTCCGTGTACTCAAAAAGAATCGAAACAAAAATTTTATTCCAACTCCATATTTTCGAGAAAAAAAAAACAGTTTACAATATAAAAAAACGACTTTCAATTTTTTATCGTGAAAAAATTTAATAATTTTCTTAAAATTCAATTACTTTTCATGTTTTTTAAAAGGCGGGGGGTTTTTTTTTTAACATAAACAAAAAAAAAAATTAGAATCATGTTGAAAAAAAAAATACATTAGAAAACTTCAAAAATATTATAAAATTTAATCAATTGATTTAAAAAAATAGAAATTAATGAAAGAAAATTTAAAAATTAATTTGAAAATAAATTTTTTTAAAAAAATTAAGAAAACGTTAAGTTTTTCTGTTCTTTACAGGTAGGAAATTGGTGGAGGATGAACTCTTTTCTGGGGGCAAGTTTCGTCGGCGGTTTCATAATTGGCCTAGCTTCGTGAATATAGGAATGTCAATTTTTTTTTTTTTTAAACCACCCTGACAAAAATTGTACTTTTATATTTTGCGATTTCTTGCCTAAAAATTTGAGTTAAAAAAAATCAGTATCTTCAAAAAAAAATGCTTTAACTATACCGAATGCCGAATTGTATAGACGAGAAGTTTATCGAATTGTCTAGTTTTTAAGAATTGAAAGAAAACAAAGATTCCCTTTTTATTTCTAATTAGATTTTATATATATATATATAGTGTAGATATTTTTTAAAAGCAAAATGTAATATTTGTAATTTTTCTACAAAACTCTTTGCTATTAATAATTTTCTCCAAGTATAATTAATATTTAATTATTTAAAGTAGAGAAATGTAAGTTAGATAAATTTAATAATTTTCCTATATTAATTGACAATTATTCAATCATTTTTTTTTTTATCAAAAAAAAAAAAAAAAAGATTGAAATCGCTTAAAATGCAAATCTGAAAAACAAAAATGTTAATTATAATTTTCTACTCCAATAAAAATAATGTGTGTCTCACAAAATTATTTTTCGCCTTAACTTATTGTAATTAGATTCGTTTTTTGTTTTCTTTCCTCCTTTTTTTTTTTCTTTTTAAAACCTCTTTTTTTTCGTTTCATTATTAAATATCAGTATTAAAAAAAATACATCAAAATACCCTAAATGGTAAAAATTTCGCAATTAAAAAAAAAAAAAAATAGAATCACAAACGAAAACTAAAATTCAGGGGAAAAAAACAAATGAAAGGAGAAATATTTGAATGTAAATACAAAAATGTTTGTTTTTGTAAAAAGAAAATTGGAAAAAATTTTTAAATTTTCTAAATGAAAATTTTTTTGTTTTATTTTTGTTTCAGATGGAAAGGTTCGTGGACCAAAAATTGGATAAAGCGGAGAAATTATTGAAAAATGGAGAGAGAACAACGCGTCGTTGGTATCATTCAATAACTGGTGATTCGAAATTTCAAGTTAAGGAAATTCACATTTTTCTCGCAGCCTTTGGAGCTGGTCTCGCTATTGGCCTTGCTTCAGCAAACTAGGTAACGTTATGCTGTAATCTGAATATTATAAGTAGATTTCGTTCGAGACTTTTGGATAATCTCACATTAGATCGACATCATTCAACTGACGATGAAACAATTAATCAATTGACAAGAATAAAAGAAGGAAGAAAATGGTTTTTGGAACATAGACACTAAAAAGAAAAAGAAAAATCTAATTTTTCTAATAAAAAACATATTATCGTCGACAAAAAAAAAAGTTAAAATAATTTATACAAAATTCCAGTTAATTGATGGTGAAAAATTGTTTTTTTTTTTTTAGAAAAAAAATCTTGCTTTTGTTGAACATGAAAAAAAAACAAAAAAATTTTAAGGGAAAAAAGAGAAAAAAAAAAACATTGGAATACAAGAATTTTAAAGAGAAAAAATTTATCACAATTTTGAAAAAAAAGAAAATTTGTCATTCTATATTTTTTAAAATGAAAAATTGTTTCATTTTTTTTTTAATTTGCTGAATTTTTGAACAAAATATATAATAAAAATATATTGTCTCGATTTAAAAAAAAAAAAAAAAAATATTCAGACTACAGCAGCGTGAGTTTACAAAATTTCTTAATATTATTTTGCGATATTGTAAATCTTAGGAAAATTGTATTGGAAAACCACGACGGATAGAATTTAAGGAAAACAAAACTGCGATTTTTTTTTTAATGTACTCCTTTTTGCGTACTAGTCTACGATTGTAAATCGATTATTACTATTATTGATATTTATTTATACTCGCGGTATGTTTATTATTTTTTCTCGCATTTCATCCTATTTTTTTTTTTTTTGGATGATCCTTTTTTTTAGCTGTGATTTCTTTTGAATCTATACATAGTAGTTAAGATAGCTCAGCTTTTTTTATTGTCAACAAATCTTTATTTAAAAAAAAAAAAAAAAAAAACGCTGCTTATTCTTCGGGTATTATTAAATAATATCCGCTACGAGAATTAATTAATTAATTTAAAGTTCTAAATAAGATATTCTCTAAAGTCTGATTTTTTAAAAATAATATTGGTTATTAATTTTCAAAGATAAAAATTCATAATACATTAAAAATATCGAAAGAACAAAATATTTATAATAAGAAAATTCAAAAATTTGAATTTGGAAAATTTGCTTTTTTGCAACTTTAAATTTACTAAAAATATAAAATGTAGATTAAGTTATTTAATTTTATATATAAAAAAAATTTTTGAGATCAACAAAAATTTTTATTTCTACAAATTTTGTTTCTTTTTTTTTTCAAAAAACTTTTTTAGTTTTATTTTTACGAAGCTGAAGTACGCAACGTTTATATAAACGATTTTTAAAGAAATAATTTTTTAAAATGAAAAATTCTATAATTTTTTGTCTAAAAAATATTTTTTTTATAATTTGTTGATTAATGAAAACTACAAGAAATATTTTTTTAGGCAAAAAATTATAGAATTTTTCATATTAAAAAATTATTTCTTTAAAAATCATTTATATAAACGTTGCGTACTTCAGCTTCGTTTATTTTTGAAAATTGTTTAAACACTTTAAAAAAAAAATAAAGTTCATGGATACGTGCGACTCTATAATGTATTGAAAAACCAGAATTATAAATATTATTATAAATTCTCGATTGTTGAATAGTTATTATATTATTAACACATTGTAGAGCTAAGTCACTTTGTAAACTCGAAAATAATATTATTAATTGAATTAATTGTGATGGAAAAATTAAAATCTATCAGTATTTACAAAATGTTTTAATTATTCAGTCTTACCCTTTTATATATTTGTATATATATATATAATATACACCGTTTGGTTCAATATCTTTTCAGGCACTGCATAATTATACCTCTCAATCGTCTTCTTAATTTTTGATCACCATTACAAAATATGTGAGTTGAATTGTCACCAATTTGAATTAATGTGTCTTCATCTTGCTGCAAACATAAAAAACGAAAATATTAATAGAAAAATGTAAAGAATAAAATTAATATTATAGGTACTTCTGTTATTATTATTATTATTAAATAGTTGAGTTTATGGATAGAATTATTATTATTAATTTTTATAACGAATTATTATTTGTTTGATTAATTTTTATTATTGCTATTATGAAAAATTCTTACCAAATGAATGCTTGTAGAAGTTTGATTGTGTTGTAATTTTGCACCCTGAATACCCTCTTGAATTAATTTGTGAAGTAATTCTTGGGGATCAATGTTTCCGTATTCCTGTTTTTTCGCTTTGAAAACCATTTCTTTTATTGGAACAGGCACAACTGAAGGATTTCTTCGCTTTCCACTTGGTCTGTCTTCAATATTCTGCAAAATAATCGTTTTTTATTATAAAAAAGTAAAAAAAAAAATTTTTTTTATAAACTTGCATGTAAAAGTCTTAATAAAAAAGAAAAAAAAATTGTTTTAAAAACAGCAAATATACATTAAATTAAATTTAAAATTAAAATTAAAATTAAATTTTTTTTTGTGATTTCTGCTGCTGAAGAATTTATTAAAAAGTAAAGACAAAAATTAAACTTTGAAAATTTTTAATTAAAAAGTGCTTTCAGAAAATTGAGTTTTTGAAAAATATTATAAAAATCATTGAATTTCGAAAGAGTTACAGTTTAAATTATTAAATTTCATAAAGTTTTAGTTGGAAAATTTTATAAATAATTCAATTTTAGTATAGGTTTTAAATTAAAATTTTTGGTAATTTTAATTGATTTTTTTTTTAAATTGTAAACAATTGTTGAATTTCATTAAAATTATTAAAAATAATTAATTTAGAGAAAAATTTGTTAAATAATTGAAATAAAGAAGATCTGCATTGTATACTAAAAAAGACGTATTTTGTTTGAAAGTTTTGTAAAAAAAAGTCGAACAAGTCGCATCTTATTTAAATAAGTCGAAAAAATCGTATTTTCGAAAAAAAAAGTCAAAAGAAATCGTATAATCCGAGGCTTGATGTTTTCAAAGCATAATTAAAATTTACGTCGATTTTCCATTTTTTATATGGTATCAAATTAAATATTCATTGAAGCAAAATACACAAAATAAAAAATTGTGTTGTTTTGTAAGATTACGAGAAATTGAAATTTGAAAAATATGATAAAATATGATTGCGCTTCTGCGCTGACTAAACCGTTAACTTATATATTCAATTTGGACCTATTCTTTTCATCAGCAAAAATGTTTACGGATGCACTAAATAAGTATATAGATTCATTATAGTATATGCGACTGTTATTATTATTTTATTTTGCTGCAGCTATCAGCTTTGCTTAAATTAGTTTATAACTATAAACTTTTATTTTTTAATTTTATTACCAATTTTTCTACTTTCTTTTCATTAAGTTTAATTATTTTTTTTTTGTACTTATTTTATTTAACCATGTTTGGTTCATGTGGACCACGGGAACTGTATATGTAAATAAAATAAATAAATAAATAAAATTGTGGTAAAAAATATTGAATAAACATTGTTAAAAATTTAATTATCATAATAATAATAATACCTTAATAGTGTAAACATTATCCTTGACTTCCAATTCACCAGTGACTGAAGAGAGACTCAAACCAGGACGAATTTCACTTGGAATAATATGTCCGGCTAAATCAGGTTCTATGAAAATTCGACCTTTCTTTCGTTTTAATGGCAATTTAACAACTTCGCCACGTTTAAAAGTAATTAGCGGCTTTTCCTAAAGAAATATTGTTATGTGAAATTTTAATAGAATTAAACGCAATGATTTGTAAATAAAAACAATAAACTTACGCCTACTGGTTCAATTATAAGATCAGTTCTCAATGGAGCAGAAATTGGTGCTTGTGTATAACATTCGGGTACAACAAGATTTTCCGGTTTCAAGTCTCTTATTAATTTATTGGCTTGTGAAAAATTCAATGATGTATCAATTGGACAGTGAACGGCTTTCATTGCAAGTGGTTGAAATGGCGCCAATGCATCCAAATACGGAAAGTCAGGTTCTGTTTTATTTTGCAAAATTAATAAAATTAAAAATATAATTTTAATTTTTAAATTGCAAAAATCTCATATCTATATAGTTAAAGATAAAACAAAAATCTTATTTAATATCTATATAAAAACCTGTAAAAATAATCGTATGCTGTGGATTGTTGCCCCAAAGTTGGACAAAATGTACAGCATCTCCGTATCTTAAACTTGGATGTCCACAAAATACAACACAAGGTTGCCTATAATCGGAACTGAAACCTTCAGCATAGGCTGATGTATAATGTTTCAATCTTGCATTTTTCACAAGAAATGCATGTGGAAATGGTTCTTCGGGAAGATAAACTTTATTTTGTTTACTTGTCGAGAGCCTGAAATTTTTTCGAAATTATAAATTAAATTTCAATTAAAATTATAAATTTTAATATTAAAAAAAAATCAAAATCATATTTTATCTTTAAATATATAATAATTAAAGAAAAAATTAAATTCAATGAAAATTTAAAATATTATAAATATATACAGGGTGATTTTTATGTTCCGTACCCCCTAAAAAATTTTTTGTTCTCATTTTTTTCCGTTTTTTAAAAAAAAAGTAATGGAATTAAAAAATTTAAGGGGGTAATTTTTAGTAAAGAAATTTAATAATATTTACCATTCAGCTAAAATATTAGAATAAGCTAACGAACTTTCAGCCACTGGAGATATAAAAAATAGAGGCACTTGTGTGAGTCCATTTTTATCGAGATGCGTACTCAGACATTCAAATAAATCATAAACGACTCCCGAAGGATAACAAGGAATTAAAACACAACCTCCACTTCTTAATGTCATTGCTGTAAAATAAAAAAAAAAAAAAAAAATTTACAAAAAATATTTTTAAATCAATTTATGAAATATAATTTTGTTGAATATTTTGAATTAGAATGTAATTTTCAAGATTCAACTTAAAAATAAATTTAAAAAAAAATTCTGATTTTCACTTTTTTAAGAAATATAATTAAAAAATAAAGATTGCTTACCAACATTCATGCATAATTCGCCCAACATTGTATCTGGATTAGCAGTAGGCGTTTGTGTTAAACCAGTTAAAATTAACATATTCGCATGTTTTAATGTTGTCTGATCCATAGGACGTGGATGTGTCGTTAATGTCGATGATCCACTGACAAATGCCACTTTCTCATGATCACACGAAATTAACCAATTACTACTTCCTAAACAATATCCCGAACTTATGGGAGTTACTGTCAATGCACCATAAATATCCTGAAAAATGATTTAAAAAAAAAAAAATTTTAAAAAAAACCGCAAAGAATTATTATTAAAAACCCACAGAAGAAAAAAATGATTGAATATTTAAAAAAAAAAAGACACGAATTAAAAAGAAAAAATTAATCAAATAAAAATAATTCAGAATAAAAAATTAGGGATAAAATTTAGATTTAATTTATATTTTAATATTATTATTTATAATTATAAATTTTTTATTCATAAGTTTTTAATATTAAACAATTCAAAGAAGAAAATTTATTTATTTTATTATTAGTAGAAAAAAATTGCAATTTAGAAAAATAAAATTGAAACTTACTAATTTTTGATCGTATCCAACTAATTGTATATTTGATAATGCAGAATTCACAGCCTGTATTGAATAAATATGTTTCCATGATTTTGGTTTAAGTGCATCAGCCAATGGTGGTGGTAAAATATGAATCATTTCTTTCCAATGTTTTGCTAATGCAGCACGTGGTGTTTGTTCAATATATTCAACTAATTCTTCCATAAAAAATCTTCCTATCTGTAATGTTGGTTCAGTGGCATAAATCACGCCCTTAAATCCTGTACCTTCAGTGACAAATGGTAATGCCAACATACATGTATAATTGGAAATTAAAATTGCATCAATTTCTGAAAAATCAATTATTTTCTCCAACGGCGGACAAAATTCTGGCGTTGAATCAACAAATAATCGACCACAGCATTCTTTTAATTCCTAAAAAAAGAATTTGATTTAAAAAAAAAATCAACGTAATTTAATTTATATATTTAACGATTTATAAAAATAATTAAAAACAAAAAGTGGATCTTTATATATAGAAGAACTATAATTTTCACGAATATTTTGCTATCTCATAAAAAATGGTCTTTTTTTTTAATTATTATACAAATAAAATAATAAAATTGGCTGAAATCGAATCACTAAAACAAAAAAAATTAGGTATTTTATTTTTAAATAATGAATATAACAGGTATTATTAATAATGTTGAAGTATGCAACGTTTATGATAAATGATTTTTAAAGAAATAATTTTTTAGAATGAAAAATTCTACAAAAAAGTCGTTTTAGTCGATTTATATTCCAAAAAAAAGTCGAAAAAATCGATTTTTTTATTTTAACAAAATTTAATTGGTTAATGAATATTTTACTTTAAATAATTAATGTTATTAAATATTAAATTAATTTTATTAATTCTGTAATGAGAATAATTCTACAAGAAAATTTATTTTGAATATTTCAGAATCGAACTAATTGTATGAAAAATTTTCAAAATTTTATTTAAGTAGGACAAATTTCTTTAAAAAAAAATTGTCAAAGTTCCATTTTTATAATTTTTTAAAGTCTTATTTAAGCAATTTATTCGAATTAAAAATTTTGTCATAGTTTTTAGTTTTGATGGTCAAAAAAATTTCAGGCAATACTTAAAATCAAGTTTTACAGATTTTTAAATAAAAATTTTTTTTTAAATAATAATAATTTTAGAAGAGTTAAAGTTGAAATTTTTAGAAATAATTAAATTCAAAAAAAAAAATTCTGTTGATTTTCAGACAATAATTAAATTTTACAGAACTAAAAATAATTTATGGGTCAAACCATTATATTTCAACTAAAGTGGTCGCTGACTAATTTTTAAAAATTATAATACTTTGCAGGAATGATTTTGAAGTTATCAAGATCACGAAATGAAAAGAATTTTATTAAAAATTTAAATATTTATTGTAAAATATGAATTTAAAGTATATGAGGTGCTAAAAACTGTCAATTTTTTAGCCATTAGAAAATATGCAAAAAAACATAGAATTTACCATAAAAATAAAAAAAAATTATTGGAATTTACTAAGAATGAATAAATTTATCATTATCAATTGATATAATTATTTAAAGATGTGAAGTAATATATAAAATATGATTTCCAAGTGCACCTGTCAAATAACCTAATTTTGCGATTTTTATTCATTAATTATAAAAAATAGAAAACATTAAATTAAATAAAAACTTACCAAATATGAAGTTCTTGCCATAAACTTTTAGAATTTCTCTGCACTTTTCTTCTTTTCTATTCATAAGTATGAAAAATTTAAAAAATAAAATAGCTACTTTGTCTATTTTCACTATTTTTGAAAGTCAATAACTTTCTTGGAGAAAAATGAAAAAATATGGGGTTTCGAAAATTATTTAAATACACACTACATATACATTCACTGAAAATTTCGCATTGGTCCCGAAGCTATTTTCGAAGATAAAGTAAATTAAAAATTTCGTATTTTTTAGGCTATATGGACATGGATTTTAAATCAATGTGAAGGTGGTTCACTGGTGACGACAAACTTCACATTGATTTAATACCTTTAAAACCCATGTCAATATAGCCTAAAAAATACGAAATTTTTAATTTACTTTATCTTCGAAAATAGCTTCGGGACCAATGCGAAATTTTCAGTGAATGTATATGTAGTGTGTATTTAAATAATTTTCGAAACCCCATATTTTTTCATTTTTCTCCAAGAAAGTTATTGACTTTCAAAAATAGTGAAAATAGACAAAGTAGCTATTTTATTTTTAAAATTTTTCATACTTATGAATAGAAAAGAAGAAAAGTGCAAAGAAATTCTAAAAGTTTATGGCAAGAACTTCATATTTGGTAAGTTTTTATTTAATTTAATGTTTTCTATTTTTTATAATTAATGAATAAAAATCGCAAAATTAGGTTATTTGACAGGTGCACTTGGAAATCATATTTTATATATTACTTCACATCTTTAAATAATTATATCAATTGATAATGATAAATTTATTCATTCTTAGTAAATTCCAATAATTTTTTTTTATTTTTATGGTAAATTCTATGTTTTTTTGCATATTTTCTAATGGCTAAAAAATTGACAGTTTTTAGCACCTCATATACTTTAAATTCATATTTTACAATAAATATTTAAATTTTTAATAAAATTCTTTTCATTTCGTGATCTTGATAACTTCAAAATCATTCCTGCAAAGTATTATAATTTTTAAAAATTAGTCAGCGACCACTTTAGTTGAAATATAATGGTTTGACCCTTATCAAATAATTTTAGATAACATTTTTCAAAATTAATTGAATATTCAAAGATTTACAAAATTAAGATTTTTTGAAATTAATAGAACTTCAAGTGATTTTAAATTAAATTTTTTTAATGATTTCTGTTACTAAAAAATGTATTAGAAATTGCAGACAAAAATACAATAATTTTTTAAGTGAAAAATGATTTTAGATAGTTAAATTTTCGAAGAATATTATAAAAATCATTAAAAATATTTGAATTTCATGAGAGTAATAATTGAAATTATGAAACTTCCAAAAATTTGAGATGGAAAATTTTAGAAATATTTAAATTTTAGAAGCTTTTAAATTGAAATTTTTGAAAATAACTAAATTTCAAAAGATTGCACTAAATTTCAGACAATAATTACAAGAATAGAAATTTTTATTGAATTCTATTGATGAAGAATTTTTTTTATAAATTTCATACAAAAATTGAATTCCAAAAGTTTTTAATTGAAAAATGCTTTCAAATAAATGAATTTTCTAAGAACATTATAAAAATCATTAAAAATAATTGAAATTTTTGCAAATAATTAAATTTCAAGTGACTTTGAATTAAAAATTTTTGGTAATTTTATTTGCTAATTTTTTTTTTAATTTTAAACAATTATTAAATTTTATAAAAATTTTAATTGAAAAATAGTTTAAGATAATTGAATTTGTGAAGAATTTCATTAAAATTATTAAAAACAATTAATTAGGTGAAGAATTTTAGTTAAAAATTTGTTAAATAATTGAAAAAAAAATGATCTGAAGAAGATCTACATTGTATAATAAATAAACGTATTTTGTAAAAAAAAAAAAAATGTAAAAAAAGTCGGAAAAAGTCGAAAACATCGTAAAAATATATATGAAAAGTATTCTATTTATTCCAAAGAAATCAAAAATTTTATTAATGTTTCTTAAATCTTACAAGACCCTCAAAATATCTATACAAAATATTAATAATATTAAACTTAAAATTCCTGATTTTCGATAAGAAAAATATAATTTTTTTTCTCTACATTTATATTATGATAGATTTACTCACCCCTTCAATTTGCCAATCTTGTTGATTATCACGTGGTAACCAATTTGGTAAGGAATCAAATCTTGCACTGGGTACCAAAGGCATTGGCATAAAATTTAACACCGATTGCATATTTAATCCACAATCTAACATTAGTGTTATTCCCTTGAAACTTAGAACGAGACATGGTTTTGTTGGTTCACTATTTAGACAATACTGAAATAGATAAAAAAAAATTTATAACATGACTAAATTAAAAAAAAAACAACATAAGTTTACTTCAAGATTATTAAATCTTTGAAATGTACAAAAAAAATTCAATAAAATGTTAAAAATTTATAAATGACATTTTTAAATTTCACCTCTATTTTAGATAAAATAATAATATTTGTACGCAATGAAAATTAGATATTAAAAATTGTTTTTAAAATGAGAGGTTAGAAAAATTTATTTTAAAATTATTATTTCATTTCATAGAAACAAAAAATTACTAAAACACTTACCAATTTCATTTTTGGGAAATTTCAAAAATAAACTTTAATACATTTAAATATGTTTATAAACATTTGTTTTCATATATGATATTTTGCCGCTTCTGATGATTAGGCGTTATCGCGCACTTTTAGATAAATCACAAAGTGTTTGTTACTATTCTCTTAAAAAAAAAAAAAATTACTGTAATTTACAGTATTTATGAAAATAAATTACAAGTGTAGTATAAATTACTAATATTATTAATAGTTGAAAAATTAATTTTGTTTAAATATTGAAATAAATACGTGCACGAGCAATATTATTTTGTAGGTTATGTTTATTTATCGCGCGGTGCAACGTGCAAAGCGGATAAGTAATGTGGATTGCCTATATTTAGGCGTTACTGTACACTACAATTGTAACATTAATTTTTTTTGAATTTTCAAGTAGTTTTTAAATATAATTTCAATTTACCAGCTAATTGAGAGGTAAAATAAAATTTTTATCTTGATAGTTTTACAAAAATAAGATAATTTCATTTGAAATATAATTAAAAAAATTGAAATAAAATTCCGGCACCTAACCTCAAAAATACATGCAATATTTTTTTTGAAATGTGTTTATTGTATATATATTTAACTGTTATTTGAAAAGATTACTTTCAATTTTGATAATTATATGTACATTCAGACTGATAAGAATTTCACAATAGATTTTCAAAAATAAAAAAGAAGAAAAATAAGGTAAACAATTCAAAAATAAATACTTACAAAAATGTGTTGAAAAATTATATCTTTTTAAACATTAATTTATAGTATATCATATATATATATATATAATGTGAATATTTAACATTATATAATATTAAATCTATACTATTAATTAATATATTAAATTTATCTTTTCATTAAAATGTTATATATATATTATTCATTTACTAAATTCCATTAAATCAAAATCAATGAGATCTCGATTTGGTGGACATTCACGATACCAAGGATCTTCAATATCAACAAAATCAGGATGTAAATATTCTCTATTTCTTCGTGATCGTTTTTGTTGTTCATTACGCGATGATGCAACAACTGGATAATTTGTCGTATCAAAAAATCTCTCAAGTTCATCAATATTATCTGCACTAGTTGCGTAATTATTAATATTGTTATTATTATAAAAAGCATAATCATCACGACGACGAGGAATCGGTGGCATTGAAGCTTTAATTCTCGATTGACATGGAAAAATTGTACCATCATCGTCTTCTTCAAACGATATGTCACCTTCCATAATATCTTGTTCAAATGGAATATCATATCTAAAATCATCATCATCAATGTGAGCGGCAACGCGAGCAAATTCTTCATCAATTCTTCTTTGTGCTTCACGTTGTCCATGTGCTTCTTCTTGTCTATTGAGAAATTGACGTGCATTCGACATAATTGCTTGATGACGATCCATATCAACGTGAAAATAAGAATCGTCTACTTCGGGCAATTTATAAATAAATCTTGATGGTGATTTTTCTTGTGGAAGAGGACCCGACTGATATGACAATGGACTTCCGGGCAGGGGAATTGACGTATTTAAATCGTCTGCGAAACTTACCTAATGTATTTAGAGTGATTTAATGATTTTAATTTAGTGTCTTAAGTTTTATCAGAAAAAAAAAAAAAAAAAATTAAGGTAACAAATTTTTAAGGGGAGGGACTGCTGAAATTTCAACCTTTCGAAATTAAGACTGTTTAAGGTTGTCAATTTTTTTTTCTGTTAATATTGAATATTTAAAAATGTTTATTAATATTTAAACAATTTATTAATAATTTTTTTAAATAAAACTCGAAATTTACAAAAAAATTTAACTTTCTGCAGCAAATTTTTATTATTTTTCATTGCTGATTTTTTTAAACACTTTTTTCATAATTCTGAAGAATCAATCGTTATGGATTTTGAAAAAATTCAAATTTTTTAAATAAATAAAATTTCGGAAAAATAAAAAAAAATTGTAAAATTGTTAAAAATTACTTTCTTTCATTTTTTCATAATGTAATATGATTTCAGGTTCTAAAAAAATAAAAAAAAAATTGTTACCCCTAAACCAAACCAACGGTTGGTTTAAATTTTATCAATTTATTCCTTAAAAATTCAACTTCTACAATTTTTATTATTTTTTATTGGTAATTTTTTTGTAGGCTTTTTTCATGATTCTAAACAATTAATCGTATGGATTTTTTAAAATTTTTAATATTTTCAAAAAGTAAAATTTCTAAAATGCTCAAAAAAATTTTTTTTTTAAATTTTGTTAATTCACAATAAATTTAGATTCCAAATAATGTTGAAATTTCTACAGTCCCTCATCTTACAAAGGCCGAATAAGCTCTAAAAAATAATTTTGTTATAATTTTCATTTGACAGAATTTCATTATCTAAAATTTAATTTTAACCGAATTTATGTTTCTTTGGATTATTATTTAACAAAAATTCTATTTAATCAAATTTTTATATAACAGATTTTTAACTAATTAATTAAAACGAATTTTTAATTTACAAACTTTTTATTTCATCGAATTTGAATTTTTGAGAATTATTATTTGTTGTAATTTTCATTAAAAAGAATAGCCAATTTTAAAGAATTTTTATTTTACAGAAAGAATATTAAAAAAAAAAATTCTTTTCCGACAGAATTTTCATTCATTCAATTTTTGAAAATTTGAATCTAAAAAGTCAGCAAAATTAATTATTTTCAATAATTTTAATGAAATTTTTCGAGAATTAAATTATATAAAATATTTTTGAAATAAAAATTCTTACAAATTTAATTTTAGCCTGAAATTCTTTTGAAAAATTCTTCAGCAATTCAAATTTACAAAATTTTTAATTCAAAATCTCCTGTTTGATCAATTCTAAAAATCAGGACTGTAGCTCTTTTGGAAGTTGAATTATTTTTTAGATTTCTATTCAAAATTCTTCGTCAAGTTAATTATTTTCAACAATTTTAACAAAGTTTTTCACAAATTCAATTAATTAAATTTTTTCAAATATTCAATTATTGTCTGTAATTTGTAAAAAAAAACATCTTCAGCAATTGAATTTTACAAAAATTTCAATTTAAAATTTCTTGAAATTCAATTAATTCTAAAAAAAAAATCTAAAATATGTAACTCTTTCAAAACTCAATTATTTTTAAAATTATCTAAAATTCTTTTCCAAAATAATAATTTTCAATAATATTAATATAATATATTATGTTCTTTTATTCAAAATAATTTTTTAATCCAATTCAACTTCAAACTTTGACATAATTCTAAATTCATAAATAATTTGCATAAATCACGACTTGAAATTTTTTTGTTTTTTAAAATAACTTTCATATTTTTTTTATGAATTTAAATTTTTTTTGAAATTCTTGTTTTGTCTCAGTTCAATTTTGAAATAATTATCTAGATAAAATTTCTCGATTAATTCCTGTGCAAGGGAATTATTTAAATTTATTTTTAATATCTAATAACAATAGTTAATAGAAATAAATTATTTTTTAAATTAAAATTTTTAAAATCGACTTTTCTTCTAATGTAAATTGACTAAAACGACTTTTTATTGCGTCTTAAAGACAAACTGAGGTTTGATTTTATAGAATTCTTAAAATGTCGAATTTTTTTTTCTGCTAGATATTTATTCGGACAAATGAAAGTTCTGTAAAATAAAAATTCGTCGTTTTAAAAATTCTGTCAAATATTAATTCAAACAAATGAAAATTTGATTAGAAAAAAAATTCTTTCCACTATATTCTTTTTGTAAAATAAAAATTCCTTTAAATTGATTATTCTTTCTAATGAAAATTTGAGGTAACAATAATTTTGTCAAATTCAAAAGAAATAAAATAAAAAGTCTGTAAAATGAAAATTCGTTTATAATTAATTAATTAGTTAAATTTTGTTATATAGAAATTTGATTAAATATAGAATTTCCGTTAAATAATAATTCGAAGAAACATAAATTTGATCGAAATAATATTTTCAGTAATGAAATTCTGTCAATTAGAAAATTATAAAAAATTAATTTTAGAACTTTTTTCGGGTGTATTTGACGTTGTCTCCAACGGCCTTTACAAGGAAATGCATTTTGACATTTCTTATAATTTTAATTAATTAAGAGTTAAATTTGTAAATTTTATTTCGACACTCGAAATTAATTTTCACCACTCAGAGGAGTTGATAAATGTTTGTAACTTTTATAAAATTTTTTTGATAATCTGCGAAAATTTGTACTTTTAGATGAGCGCAGGCGTTGGAGAAAATATATTTTTTTATAATTATGTGATTTTTTTTTTTTTTTTCATCAAAATTTTGTTCATCTTACAGCATTGCTTGAGACGTTGGCAATTGCCAGAACGAAATCCCTTCTTGCATTTTGTAAATCCTGAAGTTTATTTTGAACAACGACACATTCGGCAACATCTTGTTCATCGAGAGTTTCTTGTATAACTTGAATGGAACGATTTGCAGCATCAGCAACCACACTTCTCTGATGGCCCATTGATTGTCTTCGTTTCCCTGTATCTGGTACAGGTAATCTACTACCGGGTATTGTTCGTCTACTTTGTTCCTTTAGAGATTGTTGAAAGTCTTCTTGCATCATTTTCCTTGATCCTGATCTTAATCCTGATTCCTGTTATTTTTTTGTAATTCATAAATATTTGAAACATACTCTCTAAATCTGCGTATTAGTCACTTTTTGACTAATTCATTCTATATAGTTAATCTAATTTTTAGGTTATGTTACATAACTAAAAAATTTATTTATATCTACCAAAAATACAAAAAAAAATTTTTTTTTTTTACAAATAATTAGTTAAATTCTAAAAAATAATAAATAAAGTACAGGTAAAACCCACGTATATCGAATTAGAAGGGACCAGGAAAAATATATCCGACATAGACGGAAATTCGATATATTTAGATTAAATACTTAGTTGTAATGATCCAAGGGACCAAAAAAAATATTCGATATAAGCGGAAATACAATTTATGCGGGTTCAATATACAGGGGTTTTACTGTAGACTGAAAAAGAAAAAAATTTGAATAAAAATGAAAAAAAAAAAAGGAAGCCAACGCTACGCGGTATTCCCAAGCGGTCACCCATCCAAGTACTAACCGCGCTCAATTGTGCTTAACTTTGGTGATCAGACGAGAACCAGTGCATTCACAGTGAAATGAGCGTTGGCTGAAATTATTATTTTCACTAGTTAGGAAAATTCTTTCGGGATTTCTCTTGGGGGCATGGTTAAGACGCATGATTATAATCACTTCACAATTTGATCTAAAAGTCATTTTTGATCAAATTTACAAATAGCAAACAACATGAAAATTCGTTTATTAGAATGTAAATTTACTATAATTAGTTATAGGAAAATGGTTTTGGAATTTTATAAAAATTATACATCAAAGAAATATTTTGTTGAAATTCAATTCTAGTAATTAACCATTTTAAGTAATAAAAATTATAGTAAATTTGCATTTTAATAAACAAATTTTTATGTGATAATACGCTATATCGCTATTTAGTTTCTTTTTGACACGATTATTTGACTTACGTATAGTTATACAGTGCATCTGTCAAGAGGTTATGTTTTCCATATGCACGCGTGTTGACGTGCGTATAAACAATTTTGAAATTTATTTCTAAATTTACTTAAGGCGCTCTCACACCTTTTTGGCTGCCTGCAGGTTACCATGGCAACGCATGAGAGTGAGTGCGACAGAAAATTTCAAAATTTGAATATTCAAATTTTCTGTCTCACTCACACTCGTGCGTTGCCATGGTAACCTGCAGGCAGGCAGACAGCCAAAAAAGGTGTGAGTGCGCCATTACTTAAAAAAACATTAAAAGTGAATCGTGCATTTCGTAAAGGGTCACAACTCTGAAAACCGTAAAACTAATTTTTCACTATCGATCGTTATGTGCGAAAATGACACGGTTTTTCAAGTTGTGCCCTTTTCTCGACATTCACGAAAGTTCAATCGTTCAAAAAAAAATAAAATAAAAATGTAAAAATTGCCCTATTACGAAGTTTTCAAAATTTCAAATATTACATGAAGAGCTGATTTTTCTCTTCCTAAACGAGCATCGCCTCCTTGAGATGCAACAGTTCTTCTTGGACGTCTATTGTTAGCAGCTGCCTCTTCTTGACGTCGTTTATGTTCCTCGGCTTCTTTTAATTTTTGAACATGTTGCATACGAGCCATTAGAGATTTTGTCATACCGGGTTTACTGAAATCAAGACGTTTTGGTTCAAGTGATGTAGCGCGAGCAAGTCCAGTTCGCACTCGACGAGGAATTGCAGGTGGTTCCAATCGTGAATTAATCATTGCAGCCGATTTCGCCTCACGTAAAGCCTGTGCTCTTGTTGTTCCTGGTCTACACATTCCACGTGTTCTTTCCGCAGAAACACCGGATCTTAATCTTTGATTTCGACTTGCCATTTTTATTTTTATTTTTTTTATTGTTTCCTATTATCAAGATTTTATAAATATATGACATTTTTATTAAATAATTAAATCATTAGTTAAATAATTTTTTTTTATTCGATTCAACTCTTTCAGAAAATTATTCATTTAGTTAAAATTTTTAGTATTATCATAGTTATAATACATATTATAATTTTAATAATAAATAATATAATATTATTTATAATTTAATATGTTAATAATAAATTACATAATATAATAAAGTTAAAAAATATAATATAATTAAAAAAATTCGTCAATTTTTGTCAATAAATAAATAAATAATTTTAACAATATTTTTTTTTGTACCTTTTTCTTATGAGTGGAGTTATTTTACCCTTAAAATAATTTGTGTTCCAGTAGATAATTTTGAATTTTTATATTAGAAATTTAAAATTGTATTTTTGATCCAGAAATATTGTATTTATTTACATTAAATAAAAAAAAAAATTTTTTCATGTTTTCCATATTGTGTAAAATTTTAATAACTGCAAACTCTGGGAAAGAGAACAAAACATTTTGTTTGAGAATATTAATTTTTTTTTTATTCTATTTCTAATTGGAAAAAAAATAATATTTACTAAAATTTTGAAGAGACGGAAATTTTGATTTAAATTTTTGCCAAAAAAGGTGATGTGAATTTAAGAGACGTCATCTTATGTCCCTCTGACATGAAGTTTCATTAATTAAAAAAAAAAAATGAATGTTACCTAATAATTATTTATTTTAATTAATTTAAATTTCTTCCTTTCTCTTTTTATTCTTATTTCAAAAAGAATTTTTTTTTTTTGAATACTTTTTTCCAGTAAAAAATATTATTAACTTACAGTATTCTTGTTAATTTATTATTATTATTTATTTTGTAACAATAATAATAATTATTATTTTATTACCTATTATATAAATTTTTAATAATAAAAACTATTTTGTTCTAATTTGAAATTTCGCGCAGTAAAACTATAGAATTGGCAGCATTGAAGTTTAAAATATTTCAGTGTTGCCACTTGCTATACGTCATTTTCAACAACAATTCATGATTGAATCATAACAATAAGTTTTTTGTTACCTTTTTAATTAAATTATTAATGTTAAATAAATGCCGATTACAGTAGAACATCCGACTTTAATGCCCTTCCAAGATTCTCAACGTAGTTGGACTGACGATTTACCAGTTTGCAAACAATCGGGTAAGTTTATCAATTATTAAAAATAACCTAAAAAATTTTCATTGTTTATTTTGATTTTACAAAATTTAATTTCCCTCGTCAAATTTAATATTATATAGATTAACATTAATTAAAAATTAATTAATTAATAATAACTTAAGGAAAATTTACTTGTTTATTTAATTTCATTGATTAAAATAAGGAATTGATGAGAAATAATATATATTGTAAAACTTAATATATAATGCAAGGGTTTAAAAATCAATATTAAAATTTAGTTGTACATAGAATAAATAAAAAAAAAAAATGTTTGTAAAACTTAAAAAGTTTACAATGAAGAAATAAATTTTTTTTTATCCCCAAGGAATAATTTAATTAGAAAATAAATTAATTGCAATAATTCAAAGTCAAAGTGAAATTATTATTTAGAATATTGTTTGTGGGTTCTAATTTTCAGGAATAGGATTTTCAACTAATCAAATATATCGAGAAGATGGTTGTCGACAAGAGGAACATCCTTTTGAAGATCGAAGTTTTCATTTTCGTTGCGATGATTCAACATTTCTTTATGGTGTATTCGATGGACATGAAGGTACAAAAGCAGCGAGTTTTGCACTTCAACGAATGGCCGCTGAAATTTTATTGGGACAGTTGAATGGAAAAAATAATGACGATGAAGTTAGAGAAGTCCTTCGGTAATTATAATTATTATTAACTTTCAAATGCAAAAAATTAACTATTATTTCAAATTTCATTTATTTAATAAATATTAAATATTATATATTTAATTTACGATATATCAATTATTTAATTAATTTTGCAATAATTATTGTTGATTTATATTTTAAAATAATCATTTAAAATTTATCAGGGTTAGCACAAGTATAAGGGGAAATTTTGTTCGTCAGGAAAATGTCAAAGAATTAAAAAGAAGTGATCATTTAAAACAATGAATTCTTTTTCAATTTATTTTTTTACCTTAAAAATATTTAAATCACTGAATTTTAAAACAAAACGTTGAATTATTAAAATTTTATAAAATAATATTTATAATTTAAAATATGTACTATAAAAATTTTACCAAATTCGAAAATATCAGGGAAAAACAGAAAATATTATCTGGAAGTTAGGGAAAATTATAATAAAATTTTTGTGGCAAACCTATTTTTTTTTTTTTTTTTTTTTTGAATTTGTCTTATTTTTTTTGTTTGAAATCTTTAGACAAGCATTCATTGCCGTTGAACGTGGATATTTAGATTCAATTGGAGACATTCTAGCAGAACGTGCCAGTTTACAGTTCGATATTCCAGATGGCCTTAATTCATATGAAACCTATCAAAAATTCCCTCACTTGGTTAGTTATTAAAATTTTATTTACTTTTCTAACTGTTTCTTATATAGAATTATTTTTAGCTGGTTCAAAAAATGAAATATTATAAATTTAAATATTAATTAATATATTTTATTAAAAATAATTATTTATTTTAATAAAATATGATTTATTTTACTTTCTCATTGAAAAGATATTAGAAATTGATTTACATTTATTAAATTGCTAATTAAGATTATAAGTTAGGAAATTTTTTTTTTTTGTAACAATTTGTTGTAGAATTGTTTTTAGTAGGTTCAAAAAATGTAATATAAATAATTTTAATGTGTATTAAAATATTTTACTAAAAATAATTATTTATTTTAATTAAATAAAATTTTAATAATTTATTTTACTTTCTCGTAAAGAAGAAATTGGAAAATTTTTTTTATTTATTTGTATTAAATATTGCTAAATAATGTTAAGAATTAGTGTGTAAGATATTAATTTTTTTTTATAGGTAGACAAATTAAATGCCTTAAATTGTGAATTATCAGCGGGAACAAGTGCGGCAGTTGCATTAATTCACAAGGGTCGATTGTATGTTGCTAATGTCGGTGATAGTAGAGCATTATTATGCAAAACTGACAGCAATCAAGTTCTAAGGGTCATTCAATTAAGTATTGATCACGATTTAAGAAATGAAGACGAATTATTGCGATTATCTCAACTTGGCCTTGATGTAAAATCAATTCGACAAGGTACATTACTTAAAAAGAGAAATTAATTTTTTAATATATGTAATTTCAAAAAAAAAAATGTTTAATTAAAAGTCAAATTTTCATATTTATATTAAAATAAAGAATAAATTTTAATTAAAGGATCTCATTTGGGAAATCAGGAAAATACACGTTGCTTAGGAAATTATTTAGTAAAAGGTGGTTATCGGGAATTTGAAGAATTAGCTTCAGCCACCGTTGAACCAATAATTGCCGAACCAGAAATTCATGGTGGAATTGAAATTGACGATTCATGTCGATTTTTAATGCTCATGTCCAGAGGACTCTATAAAGCTTTAGAGGAAGCAACGCGTACCGAACAAGTCAATAAAGAAATTGCACTTATGGCCGTTGAACAGGTTTGTCTTTTCACAAATATTCAAATTTCTTTTTCGATTCTAAAAAATTATGTTTTTTTACAATTAAAATATATTTTACAATTTCAAAATATAGAAATAAAATTATTTTATTATTATCATCAACCGGGGCTATTATACTCAGAAAAATGCTACTTAAATTTTTTTTTTTTTTTTTTCAGTTTCGAGTACAATCGACATTGACGGGCGTAGCGCAAGCTGTGGTCGACAAAATAGTACGAATTCATCACGACATAAATATGAGTCATTCACCAAGTACATCGACAAGTGGTAAACGTGAGGATATAACTTTACTTGTTAGAAATTTTAATTTTCCCCTATCAAATGCATTGAAAAGTCCAACGGCTCCATCAGTGAGATTTGATCCTATTGTACAAACAGCTCCATTTTTACATACAAGCGATCAACAAGATGCTTATAGTACAGAAAGTGAAATGACAGATGAAAATTATGATGCATTTACAGCTACAACATCAACAACATCCGATGTATATCCACCGGTTGCAAATCCAATGAATCGTAATTCAAAAATTAAACCTTACGTGGATTTTTCTGAATATTATGAAAATGTGGAAAAAAGACGTGACGAAGGTACATTACCAGAAGAAATTGACTTTTAATTTTTACAGTTATTTTAAAAAAATTTTAGATTTTTTTTTTTTATCATCTCAAGACTGAAATACTAGAAATAATTATTGCAGTTGAAATAATTTTTTACTCAAGGGCATGTCAAAAATTGTATTTTTATAATTCAAAACATAATTGGAAGAATCTCTCAAATACTAAGTTTCTTTTAGACATAAATAAAATTATTAATTAATTGAAATAATAAAAATTAATTTTTTAATTAATTAGAAATTAAATTAAATTTAAAAACTATTTTCAATATCAATAATATTTTTTTTTTTAAATAAAACTTATTGATTTTTTTATAATTAATTAAATTAATTTTTTAAATATATTTTATTAATTTCTCATTTTCTTTTTCGTAATTTAGAAAGAACTGTGAATTTTTACAAATTTTAAGAATTTTATTTCTTTTTCCTGCTTGTCGACGTTTTATTTTTTTTTTTTTATAGGTGAAATTTTAAAATTCGACATGCCCTTAATTGAACGCAAACACAGTCCAAAGACAAATAAATTATGAAAATATAGAAAAATGACAATTTGGACAATTTTTTTTTTAAATCGAATATTTAAAAAATATATAAAATTTAATTTCTCTTAAAGACATTTTTTTTTAATATTGTGACATTAAATAATTTTTAAGGCTTCTTTTTTTTAAAAGTCAAATTTTCATATATTAAAATGAAAAAAAAATTATAACCAAAACAAATTACGTAATTGTCGTGGTGAATTGTAAATAAAAATAAAATTTTGATTATTTAAAAAACAACAATTTTGTTTTTCTATGACAAAAGGTAAAATTTTTATTATAAAAAATATTTATGAATTTAGGGAAATATTTTCTCATTTTTTTTTTAATATATAAAAGGGGAAAAACAAATGAATGGGTGTTAATTATTGAGTGTTAATATATATATATATATGACGGACGAAAAGTATAAAATTTACAAATATTTTGTAGGCATGCACTTGAGTCTTTCGAAAGCAGCTTTTTCCAAACATTCTCTATGATCGGGATGTGCAATTTGTATTAAAGCATTTGCTCTTTGTCGTAATGTTTTTCCAAAAAGATTTGCAATTCCATGCTCAGTGACTACATAATGAGTGTGCGCTCTTGTTGAAACGACACCGCTGCCTACAATTATTTATTTATTTTCTCTTAATTTAATTATCAAAAGAAATTTAATAATTAAATTATTGAAATTAAATAATTTTTTAATTATTAAAAGTAAACTTTAATTAAAATTGAGATGCATGAATAAGCTCTAAAATAAATTTATTACAATTTTCATTTAACAAAATTACATTATGTATTTAAAATTTAGATATTTTTAGGTGAATTTCATTTTTTTCGAATTATTATTTAACAGAAAATCCGATTTTTTTTTGTAGTACAAACTGTAGCTCTTTCAAAATTTAATTTTTGAAAATTTGAATCTAAAAAGTCTGCAAAATTAATTATTTTCAATAATTTTAATGAAATTTTTCGAGAATACAATGATTTAAAATATTTTTGAACTAAAAATTCTTTAAAATTCAAATTTAGCCTGAATTTCTTTTGAAAAATTTTTCAGCAATTCAAATTTACCAAATTTTCAATGAAAAATCTCCTGTTTGATTAATTCTAAAAATCAAGACTGTAGCTCTTTTGTAAATTCAATTATTTTTTAGATTTCTATTCAAAATTCTTCGCCAAGTTAATTATTCTTAACAATTTTAACAAAGTTCTTTACAAATTCAATTAATTAAATTTTTCCAAATATTCAATTATTGTCTGTAATTTGTAAAAAAAAAAAAAACATCTTCAGCAATTGAATTTTACAAAAATTTCAATTTCAAATTTCTTGAAATTCAATTAATTCTAAAAAAAAAAATCTAAAATATGTAACTCCTTCAAAACTCAATTATTTTTAAAATTATCTAAAATTCTTTTCCAAAATAATAATTTTCAATAATATTAATATAATATATTATGAATTTTAATTCAAATAATTTTTATCAATTTTTTCAGAAAATTCAACTATTTAAAATATTTTAATGTAAAAATTCCCATATAAAGTATATCTTATATTTTTAAAAAGTAGCTGAAAATTTTTTAAACCATTTCAACTTCAAACATTAACATAATTCTAAATTCATAAATAATTTGCATAAATCACGACTTGAAATTTTTTTGTTTTTTAAAATAACTTTCATATTATTTTTATGAATTTAATTTTTTTTTTGAAATTTTTGTAAATTTGCCTCAGTTAAATTTTGAAATAATTATCTAAATAAAATTTCTCGATTAATTCCTGTGCAATTATTATTATTAAAAGGAATTATTAACATTTATTTTTAATATCTAATAACAATAGGTAATAGAAATAAATTATATTTTAAATTAAATTTATTTTAAAAAAATCGATTTTTTCTTCTAATATAAATCGACTAAAAGCAATAATTCAGTCAAATTCAAAGAAATAAAAAAAAATTGTAAAATGAAAATTCGTTTAAATAATTAATTAATTAAATTCTGTTATATAGAAATTGCATTTCTGTTAAATAATAAATTGAAAAATTGAAAATTCGACTAAAAGTAAATTCTTAGATAATTAAATTTTGTCAAATGAAAATTCTAATAAATTAATTTTAACGCTTATTCATGTGTCTTTTAAAATTAAAATAATTCAAATTTGAACAATCTAAATAAAGTTAATTAATTTAATTAGAATAAGCATAATTAAATTATTGAAATTAAAAACATACTTGTTAGTAGAATAATAATAAATAAATAAATAATAATAACAAAAGGAAAGAAAATTTTTTACCTTTCTTGAGAATGGGTTGAATTTTGCTTTCGCCAGTGCTTGTGGTGGATGGAAAAGCAATGATGGCTTTTCCTTTTCCATCTTGAGCCATAGCAGCGCCTCGAATAAAGTCAAGTTGTCCTCCAAATCCAGAATACATCTTGCAACCCAAACTATCCTGCGAAACTTGACCCGTGATGTCCATTTCAATGCAACCATTAATAGAAACCATTTTTGGTTGCGATGAAATTACCCTTGGATCATTCACATAACTGATTGTCAATATTTCTGAAATTGATATTAAAACAAAAAAAAACAAAAAAGAATTAAAAATTATAATTACAAAAATATTTTTTAATACAATTCAATAATTTTATTTTAATAAAACACGAAAAGAAAAATTGTTAAAAATATTTTAATTCTGTTTTTAAAAAATATGAATTGACAAATTTTTTTATTATTTATTAGACTGAAAATTTATTTGAAGAATTTTGAAGACTTTCAATAATTGTAAATATTTATTTTTAAAATTATCAAAAATCTTAAAATTAATTTGAAAAATTTAACAAATATTAAAAATTAGTAAATTATTTTTTTTTTTAAAACAGTATTAAAATATTTCAACAGTTTTTCTTTATAGATAATAATTAATTAATTTAAAAATATCTTCAATTTTTTGTTAAAATCAACGTGAAAAATGTTAACGATTTTTTTTTTGTATCGATCAAATTAAAAAAATCGTTAATATTTTTCTTGATAATTAATTTTAAAGATAATAATTCATTCAATTTTAATATATTTTATAATTATAATAATTTTAATAATTTAAAAAAATGTTATTTAACTTTTTTTTAAATATTCAATTTATTATTATTATTATTTTTTTGAATAATTAACTAACCGACGAAGGGATTATTGTGTATGAAATCGTAAACTTTCTTTGTGCCAATGGCAAATGATCCAATCATTCGACCGCGATGTTTTGTTTTTAATTGATTAGTGATCGCGCCTTTTTCAACTAAATCAACCATTCCATCGCCCAATATTTCACTATGAATACCAAGATCTTTATGATAACTCAAATGACATGATACTGCTTCGGGAATATTTCCAATTCCCATTTGAATTGTTGAGCCATCTTCAATTAAAACTTGAGCTATTTTTTTGCCAATTTCAATTTCAATTTCATTTGGCGGCTCACCAGGATGAACGCATGGCAATGGACAATCGTGTTTAACTGCCCAATCAATGTGACTTGAATGAATTACCGAATCGCCGAAACTTCTTGGCATGTGCTCATTCACTTGTGCTGAAAAGAAATTATTTATTTTTTTTTTTTAAATTTTCAAAACTTTGATTTGATAGCAATTTTTGGACTAAACTTTTTTATTTTGACTGTCCGTTTGATTTTTAAATAGAAAAAAATTTGTTTTATTTGCATTTAATTTGCTTATACCAATGATAACTTTTGCAGTTGTTAAAACAGATCTTGTGCAATCAACGCTTGTTCCCAATGAACAAAATCCACGTGGATCTGGAGGACTAACTTGTATGAGAGCAACATCGGGAATTATATCACCCTCGCAAAATATTTTCGGTGTTTCATGATGAAATATTGGAATATAATCCGCTCTTCCCTCGTTTACAGCTTCTCTCAAATTTGAACCAATGTACAAACTAACGGATCTAAAGTGTTCTAAATAAAAAATGAAAAAAATTTAACATTATTTTAATTTAATAATTAAATTTTTTAATAATTTAATATCATTTTAAAAATATATATTTTAATTTTCCTTTTTTTAAGATTATTATAAAATTCTGTGTTCGTTGAATTTTATTGAAAATAATTTTAATAATAATTTAAATAATTTAAATAATATAATATAGAATTTTCAATGAATTCAATTTGGAATATTTAAAATAAATAAAATTAATGGACATAATTAATAATTAATAAAAATAGTAAATTTACTCTCAAATTCCGGATGAACGAAAGGTGCGTCACCCTCGAGACCCATATGAACCAAACGAACTCCACGAAGATTATTACAAACTCCATGCTCCGTTAATCCTCGAATTAATTCAAAAGGTGTTGCCGATCCTCCTTGTATGTAGACAAGTTGTTCTATATGAAAAAAAAAAAAATTTTTAATTTAAAAAATTTCAATTAATTTTATTCAAATGTCAAAAAAAAAAAAAAAATATTGAGGAAAAAAATTCACCTGAATTGACGATTTTTATCGCATCTTCAATGCAAACCCATCGTGGACATCTTTTTGATGGTTGAAATGGTTCACGTAGTGCGGCGAGTGATCTATTTCCAAAACCACACAAATTTTTTTTTGTGTTCCTCCATTTATTAAGACTTGTCTCAAGGATGCTAAACATTTTTGATGTAAATTTTTTTTCTCTTCTTTTTTTTCAATTTTACAAACACAATTTTACGCGAGAAAAAAAGATTGTTGTTGCCAAAAAATGAAAAACAAGTGGTTTTAACACAAAAAAAAAAAAAAATATTTTTGTCTTGATTACATAAAATTTTGAGAAAAATATAATCTAAATTTCATTTTGCTGCTTCTGAGCAAGCCGTCAAAATATAATTTTTCATGACGATATTCAATTATTTTTTTGAAATTTTCTCATTTCAATTATTTTTTTAAAAGCAGCATTTTCACTTTGCTTTTTTTTTCTTTTTTTTTTATAGGTGAAAATAATAAAAGTACGAAATTTGTTTTTTTTTTTTACCGAGGATCCGAAAATGATTTATTTTTAAAATAAAAATTTTAACAGAATTTAATTTTATGAATTAAAAAAATAAATTGCCCTATAGAATGTTATACATATATGTACAAATTAATTTGCATATTCTCTATTTAAAAAAAAAAAAAGAATTAGTTATTTTTCTTTCTTTTTTTTCCTCTGAATTCTCTCTGGCTATCATTTGTCTTGTCTTTCGTCGTACATCGGTCTTTTAAAGACTTTGCCATTTTTTTTTTTTTTTTTTTTTTTTTTTTGTTTTTCAAACAAAATTTGTACATTACCACAATAGAATTATTATTATTGTAATAAAATATAATACATTTGGAAATTAATTTAAAGCACTGGAAAAAAGAAAATAAAATTTGCCAAATCTTTAAAGACTTTCTTGCGTATTTTTCTTTTTTCTTTTTATTTTTTTTTTTTTTTTTGATTTTTATATGAAATTTTATCTTTGAAAAATAAATTTAAAATTGACATTTTTATAAAAGTCAATAGTGTCAAGTGTAGAATTTTAAAACAAATTCTTCTTCATTTTAAAAATGATTGTGAAATTTGATTTTTTCAAGTGAAAAAAATAAAAACTATAAAGAAAAGTAAATAAAAAAAATAAAAATATTCATTATAATAATTATTTTAAAAAAAAATTGTACAATCTTTTTTTCTAAGAAGTTAATGTTTTGTTGTAAATTGTTTTTCAGTCAGGCAAAAATCTTTAGTAAAAAAAAAAAAAAATCTGTGAAAAAACAAAATTATTTCAATTTAAAATTATTAACTTTTGGCAGAGATATTATCACAGGTGAATGACTTTAAATATGTTTTCTTCGCAGATTTTACATTCACATTAATGCCAAATAAATTAATTTTTTAATAAAATAAATAATAATAACAATATTTATTACTTTGTCTATGAATTTAATCTAATAATTTTAAATTAGATTTTCATTGATTGATTGATTTCTTATGCTGTTTTGATTTAATTCCACTTCAATTAATTAATTTAATCATTATAGATAAATTTAATTATTTATTAATCAATTTTTATTAATTAGTTGAAATTAATTATTTTTAAAATTTGTTTCCGTAAGAAAGTCTTTAAAAAAAACAAAAAACAAAATTAGTCAAAAATTTAACATTTCAGTTATAGTTGAAGAAACGCACAATGAATAAGGCGTATGTACATCGAATTACAATTATAATGATGCGCTAAATGCTATGCGAGTGAATTTTTTTTTTTATTATTTTCTTTTGGCAAGTATATTATATCGCAGTGCTAAATTAATTAAGGTTCTGGCATCATTTTCAGTCGTTCGAAAGCCGCTTTTTCGAGCGATTCTCGATGATTTGGATGAGCAACTTGAATAAGGGCGTGAGCTCGCTGTTGTAAAGTTTTTCCAAAAAGACTAGCAATACCGTGTTCCGTTACCACATATCGGACATGAGCTCTTGACGTAACAACGCCAGCGCCTAAAAGAGTGAAAAAGAAAGAAAAAAATCCTTAAAAAATCTCTTTTTTTTCCCTCTCGCTTTAAATTATTACTTAAAATTTTTTTATTTATAATAAATTGAAAAATTTGATTGTATTATTATTTGGTGAGATTGTCTACTAAAATTAAAAAATAAAATTCAGATTTTTACGATTTTGATAAAAAGAATTTCAAGGTTTTATTTATTTTTTTTTTTATTTTTTCATATAATAATGAAATATGATTTCAGATTATAAAGAATACCAAAGAAAAGAAGAATTGACATTCTTTGAATAATGTAAATTTTGTTTTTTTGATCCTTTTAAAATTCAATTTTTTCTACTAATTTTTATATTTTTCATTTGACAATTTTTTTTATATACTTTTTTCATGATTTTATATAAAAATTTGTATGGATTTTTAAAATATTCCATTTTTTCAAACAATAAAAATTCTAAAATGGGGTTAGATAATTTTTTAAAATTTTAATGATATTGAATAATTTTAGAACCTAAATAATCTCGAATAAGAAAAAAATGGTCATCAATTTAAATTTCGATGGATTTAAATATAATATAAATAATAATATTCACATTGAAAACATAAAATTTTTTAAAAGTTAATTATTTTCTTTACAACTAATTTAAATATTAATTAAAATTTTAACATTTTTAAAATTTAACTATTCTATAAATTCAGTTATTTTAATTTTAATTGTTATTTAAACTGAATTATTATAAATTACAATTATTTTGTAAATTTAATAAATTGTTTTAATATTATATTCTTTTGTAACTTCAATTATTATTCTAGGTAAATTTTTACTGAACGAATTAAAGAAATAAAATAATTGCGCTATTTCAACATTGACCACAGAAAAGTGCAAAATCAGTTATTTTAAATGTACAATTCATTTCTGACGCACACAAATTTAAAATTAAATATAATTGAATTCATAAATTAAATGTTTATAAAAATAAATGAGTTTTCAGAATAAAACTGAATTTTAAAAATTATTAAATTTTATAAATAAAAAAAATAAACAATAAAATAAAATAAAAATAATTAAATTACAAAATAAGTAAGTGATATAATAATTGAATTTAGAATTTTAGTAATTGTATTCTCATTGTTGTTAAAAAGAATAAATTCCAAAAATTTGTTATCATAATTTATTCTCGATCAAATTTTGATTGTTTCAAAAAACAGCATTTGATATTTAAAAATTATATTATAAAACAATGAAAAAAAAAATATTATGGTAAATAAGAATATTTAAAAATATAGTTCATAATTGTATGAAAAGTAAAAAAAAAAAATGTAAACATAAATTTATTTTAAAAAAAGAGTAAAATAGAAATTTGAAAATTCATTAAAATAGAAATTGAAAAAATGGTTTAAAATGGTAATTTTTTTTTTTGTTGAATTTTTTTTAGCCATAACTCACCTAATTGAAGAACGGGTGAAATTTTGCTAGCGCCTTTATTTGTTGTTGAACGTAGTGCAATGATGGGTTTTCCGCATCCATCTGTACCCATGGCAGCGCCAAAAATAAAATCTAATTGTCCACCAAAACCTGAATACATCCTTGTTCCAATACTATCGGAACTAATTTGTCCTGTAATATCGACTTCTATACAGGAATTAATAGCCGTCATTTTCGATTGTTGACAAATTATTCTTGGATCATTGACATAGTCCACTCGCAACATTTCTAAACAAAATAATCAAATAATAAATAAATTATTATAATTATTATTTCCCTAAAAAAAAACATATCACTTTTATTTTTCCTTTGAATAATTTCGAATTTTTTTTTTCTCTTACTATAAAAGTTTTGTTTTTCCTTTTTTTCAAACAAATTAATTTATTGTAATTTAAGTTGAATATATTGATTTGTATTTTTCTTAAAAAAACTCACCAATTGTTGGATTATTATGCATGTAATCGTACAATTTTTGTGTTCCAACGCAAAATGAACCGACGGTGCGTCCTTGATGCATGGTTTTATGATTATTCGTGATGCAACCACGATTAACAAGATCAACAACGCCATCAGCAAACATTTCACTATGAATACCCAAGTCCTTGTGATTTTTTAATTGACTAAGTACAGCATCGGGAATACTTCCAATTCCCAACTGTAATGTGGCACCATTAACAACAAGATTTTCCGCAATATGCTTTCCAATTAGAACCTCTTCTTTACTTGGTTCACTAGTTTTATGCTGTGTAAGTGGTGTATCATGTTTTATCGCAACATCGATATGACTCTGATGAATCACTGCATCGCCAAATGTTCTTGGCATATGTTTATTAACTTGTGCTTTAAAAAAAAAAAATCAATAAATTAATTTCAATTTCAATTATTTAGCTATATTTAAATAAAATCAGAATTCTGTCTGTATATTGCTTAAAACTTTTAAAATTTCCACTTTAATTGTCATTTTGAACACCAAAGGTGAGTTTAAAAATGAAAAAGAAAAAATTTCGGGGTGAAAGAATTTCCCATAAAAATAGTTAGAATTTTTATTTTAAAGAATTTTAGATAAATATAATTATTTTTTAAGAAGAGTTTTCATTTTTCGAATAAGCATTTGACAGTAATTTCTTTTTTGAACGAATTTTTTACTTAATAAAATTTTTTGGTACCGAATATTTATTTGACAGAAATTTTAATTTACAAAATTTCTCTTCACTCAACTTTTTCAGGCAACAAAATTTTCATTATAACTTTTAACTGACTTTGAGAAAATATTTTGTGTTTTTCCCTGAAATTTTTTCTTTTTTTTTAAAATTTGAATGATATATTTAAAAAAAAAAATTGTGCTAAATAGAAATTCGATCAAATAAAAATTATGTTAAACAAACATTGTAAAAAGAACAATTCAAATTATTACAAAAATTCAATTAGATATTTTGAAAATGTTTTAATGAAATTCTTTTGAAAAATTCAATTATTTTCAAAGCAATTCAAATTTATAAAAAATTTCAAATTTTCTGAAATTTAATTATTTTGATATATTTTCAAAAAATTTTGTACGTATTTTTGTGCTAATAATTGTAAAAAAAAAATGTGTGGATTTGTTATTGTAAATCAGAAATTTAATTATTTCTCATTAATTATTTAATAAATTCTAATTTTACCGAATATTAATTTAGCAGAATTCGCATTCAACAAAATTTTAAGTGATTCGAATTATAATTCCAATCACTTACAATCTCACCAATCTTTATTTGTCTGAATTTTTATTTGAAAAAATCAATAGAATTCTTAAAACGTCAAATTTTCATTTTTTCAAAACTGCAAAATGAACAAACAATCAACAAAAAAATTTTCTTTACCAATTTTAAAAATTAACCAATAAGAAATTATTTAGAAAATTTTTTATTGGTTACATTTAAAAATCTGTTGGTTGTTTGTCGGACATTTGTAATTTCGAATAAATAGAAATTTGGCGTTTTCAGAATTCCGTCAAATAAAAATTGGTGTACATAAAAATTCGGACAACTGAAAATTCAATGATTTCGAAATTCTAGAATTTAAAAATTCAAATCATTTAAAATTCTGTTGAATGAGAATTCCGCTAAATTAATATTTGATTAAATTAAATTTTTTCGAATAAAAAATTGGATAAAAATTCTATTTTCCAGTGTTTTTAATAATAATAAAAAAAAAATCCCTGACTTTTCCCTGACCCTGGTTTGACTTAAAAAAAAAAAAAATGAAATATAAATTTTCTTACCTACAACAACTTTGGCATTAACGACGGCAGAGCGGACACTATCAACGCTAGTTCCGAGGGAGCAATATCCCTGTTCGTCAGGTGGAGAAACATGAATAAGAGCCATGTCTGGTTTCACTATTCCCTCGTTAAAAAGTCTTGGAATTTCGTGTAAAAAAATTGGAATACAATCGGCTCTTCCTTCATTTACGGCCTTTCTCACATTACCGCCAATAAATAAACTTATCGATCTAAAATGTTCTGAAAACAAATATTTACAAAAGTATAATTGGAATATTATTTAAAGCGTAGAATTTTTTTTAAAAATTTATTTATTTAAATATACCTATTTAGTAATAAAAATAACTATTAATTTGAATTTATCTAAATAAATAAATAAATTGCTCAATTTACTTTTCAATAGTAACAAAGCGTAGTATTTTAATTTTGTATTTGTAAATTTTTTTTCTTTTATATATTTTTTATATATGAATAGGCATTTTTTATTTGTCCGTTTTTTATTGCAAATAAATAAATAAATGAAATTGTAAATATATTAAAATTATAAATTTAATTTATAGCAACATACATAAAAATAATTATTTAATTATGAAATAACTCAATTAATATAAATTATAATATAATTAAAATCATTTATAAGTTAATTTTAAATGATTTTTTTTAATGTGCGTGAATTATTATTTTTAAAAAAATATCTTTATATAATTTCGGAAAACTTACTTGCATTTTCGGGCATTGCAAAAAGGGCTTCACCTTCAAGATGCATATGATAAAGTCTGACATTTTTCACATTAGACGATTTACCAACTTCTGTCATTCCTCGGCATAATTCGGATGGAGTTGCTGCGGCTCCTTGAATGTAAATCTTTTGTTCTGAAAATTAAATAAACAAATATTTGTTAAATATTTATATTTTCAAATCAAAATAAATCATTATTTTCATAAGTACATTTTTTTTCAACTTTAAAAAAATACAATTTAATCAATAATTAAATATGTATGAATGTTTTGTGGCATCAAATTTCAAATTATCGAATTTCTAATATTTAGCTTAATTTTTGTGAATTTTATATTGAACCAAATTTTTACTTGTATTTCTATTATTTAGTCATTTTATTTAACTAAATTTCTATTTAACATACAATTTTTAATTATTGTCGAATTTTATTTTATTTTTTTTTGCTAAAAATTTTTAGAGATATCAATGAAAAAAAATTGAACACAAACAAATTTTTTATTTACAATGGATCATGTGAAACTGATAAGCTGAACTTGACAAATAGTGCAAAATCACTACGTAGTACAAAACCATTGTTGATGTCGGTGAAGATTCCAATTTTTTTTTTTTTTGTTTTTGTTGATCAAGAAAAATTGCAAAAATTATGTTCAGACAAAAAATTATAATAATTTGTATAGAAAAATATATTTTTTTTTCTAATTTTAATTAATTTAATTTTTAATTTTCAGATTAATAGAAATTCAATAAAATAAAAATTCTGATAAATAAATATTCTTTTTTATATGAAAATTTTTCTAGACAAATCAAAAAAATATTTTTATGATAAATAAAATAACATTTTTGTCCTATTAATTTTTCTTGAAAAAATGTTTAATTAAAAAGGATTGAAAAAATTTTTTTTATTCAAAAAAATTAAAATAATTTGCATAAAAAAATATCCCCAAAAAATTATTAAAGAAACAGAATATTTATAGAATATTTATTCATTATAAATAATTATATTTTTAAATGAAAAAACAAAATAATTTGTGATATTTTAAGGTAAAATTTCTCAATTTTCGTAATTTCCAAAAAAATTTAATTTTTTATTAAAAATAATTGACAAAATTAACAAATAAACAAGAATAGAGCACTTTTTTTAAAAAATCAAAATAACAATAAATTTATTGAATTATGCAAGATGATCAATTATGCAATATGAAGCCGGATTGTGGAAAAAAAAAACATTTTGCAATTCAGTGTCATATGAATTTTTTATACAAATGTCAAAGCTATGGTTACAGTGTCTTATTTTTCAAGATCATTGTCAAGAAAAATATTATCTTTTTACAGATATTTAATGAAACAATTTTCCAATTTCTATTTACTAAAAAAAATTCATAATTATATATTTAAATCGTCTTTTTTTTTATTAAATTATAATGAAAATGAAAAAAAAAGAATTATTATAATTATAAGAATATGCAAAAAAAAAAAAAAAATTTGAATTAATTGTCACTAGTGTAAAAAATTTTTGAAGGAGATAAATATTTTTGGATCGTACTTGACCTACATTTGTTTCTAATGCTAATCTTTTTCATACTGTGTACGTTTAAAGTAAATTACTATTTATCATTGTCTCAGCAATAACTTTAGAAAAAATTCAAAAATTTTTGTTTCTTTTAAAATTATTTTCTCGACATTTTATTGCTATATAGCTGTAGATTCTTATTTAAGATATTTTTAGCTTCTTAATAGAGTAATAAATACTAATAACTTGTTGACTGAATTTTAATGCTAGACTAGAATATAACTTTTGTGTACAGTAAAAAAAAAACACATTTTTTAAAAAAAATGGTTAAATTTCCATTAACTTAATTTTTAAATAATATTTATATATTTTTTTTCTTTAAATAATTATTCTATAATTAATTTAAAAATTGCAAAAAAGCGATGACAAAACGATTGAAAATAAAAATAATTTTCCACTCGAAAAATAAGGATTAATTTTTTATCTGTAAATTTTTCTTCTAATTTATAAATTGTTGATCAAGAAACGATTTTTTTTTTTGAAATAGAAAATTATATTAATTTGCATAAAAAAAAAATTTTTTTTCCTCTAAATCGTTGTGAACTTAGCCAACGTAAATATAACCTCTTTTATTTTCATTATATATCGGTGAAATAAAAGAGGAAAACATTTTTTTTCTGCTGATTAAGTCAATCAAACAAAGTAAAAGTTGTTTAAAAAACTAAAGATTCAAGTTTAATGACTTATAAAGATTATTCTTCATTGATATTTTTTTTATTTATAATTCTGAACGACTTCTTTTTTTTTTGGTTTGAAAAAGAACAAAAGAAATTGAATTGTTTTACATAAATTTTTAATAAAGTCTTTCAATGTCTTTTACATATTATATATCAGAAGAAGTTGCCAAGCCAATATGTATTTACAGAATAAAATTTTTGAATCAGCTATTGGAATGTTGAATAGACTCGACCCACTATTTAAATTCTATAATTTTTTATTTATTTTTTAATTATCATATACATTTTATTATTTTATTCCAAATTTATAAAATTGCTAAAAAAATTGTTTAAACTTTTTTTTTTATTTATTCTTTCAATAAATTCTAAAAATTGAAAAAGAAATAAAATTAAAAAATACATTTCTGAAAATATATTCAATTTTTTTTTTTTTTTTTTTTGCAACAGTGTAATGCCCTTTTATAATGAAAAATATCCGCTATAAAAGACACTTCAATTACTATCAATTTACTTTCGTTTCATTTTATAATGGTTAAATAAAACAATCGTCAATTTTGCAATATCCGAATAATAAAATAAAAATATTAAAAAAAAAAAAAAAAAAACAAAATAAAATTTTAACATTCCAATAAAAAAAAAAGAAAATACACCTTGAATGACTGTACAAGGTAAAAAATTTTGTTATGCACCGCTTCAAGAAATTAAATTCAATTTTATAATGTGCACAACTTGTTTTCCAGACCCTCCTATTGTGCAGTTTATAAATAAAACAATACTAAAGAACTAGTTTTTCAAATGAAGGAATAATATTTCAATAATAATGATAATAATAATAATTCATCCAACAAGAGGAACTGATTAGAAAACTCTTTATCTTTTAGCGTCGTTAAAAAATGTTTTCAACGTCCATCAAATTATCAAACGATTAAAAAAAAAAAAAAAAAATTTCTATTCTTAAAAATTCTCAACTATTTAAAAATCAACGAAAAATTCTAATTAATTTTTAACGATCGAAACAAGTTTAGAAAATAAAAGTATCGAGCAATAAAATTTAGGTCAAGCTCTTCGAACCTTGGCCGAACGATCACAAATTAATCAATAAAATTCCATTTATGATCTATATAAAATAAAGATTGTATAACCCCATTAACTCATCAAATTTTTTGGTACATTGTAAATTTTAGGTCAGAAATTTTTTTTTTTTTTTTTTTTTTGATTTAAAAAACAGAGAAAAAACTAAATTCTAAATGGCAATTGCTATGTCATCATGCTAATTTAAAACTTCTCGACAAATAAATAATACATTATTTTTTTTTTTTGGTAAGAAATGAAAGGGAAAATAAAACAATGACAATGAATTTATTATAACTAACCTGATGCTAGTCCAGCTTGTTGAAGAGCTTCCTCGGCACTTTTAACCCAACTTGGTTCTTTATCAGTTATTGGATATGCAGGTTCTCTGGAGTAAGTATAATAATTTTTGGAAACGAGTGCCTGAGTTGTTCGTGAAGCCGCTACGGCTTTAAAGGCTTTTGTTAAGCTGGTGATTTGCTTTAAAGCTGCCATTATTATTTCCACCTGTCAAGAAACTATACATATAACACCCGCTTATTAATTCACACACATATTAGAACAAGATTTTTTTTTTTTTTTTCGTGGAAATAATTTTTATACTAAATTAATAAATATCTAAAAAGACAAGTTTGAGAAATTTTGAAAATTTCCTAACCTCACACTTAGATTAATTGCTTCACGTCTCTCGTTGTACTTGTTCTGTTCAAAGTTTGAATGAAAAATAAAAATAAAAATTTATTATAATTAAAACCGATGGAAAAAAATGACAAGAGTTTTGACACAAGGGACAACAAACAACACGAAGCGACGACCAGCAACCACCAGCAACTAACTAAAATATGTGGGAGTTTAATCCCAACCTTGTACCATGCGCTTCAAGACACCCCTACTTTTTTTTAATCAAGGACGAACAATGTTATTCAATCGCCATTGATCATATTTTATTGAATGAAAAACGCGATAAATTTCCTATATTTTTAATAATCAATAAAATTGACAATAAATATTGATACTATATAAATTTGGTTTTGAATTTTACTTAAAAATTATAATCTCAATATTTTTGAAAATTAGAAAAAATTCAAACATTCATTTTCTTGTTACGTTCCTGCTTTTAATTAATTTAAAACTAATTATTCAAATTTTATCTCATTTTTCTTTTAGGTTAATTTTATTTACATTCGAGAAAAATCTCGAAAAATTTTATAAATAATAAATATCTAAAAATAGAAAAATTAAAAATACTTTTTTTTTAGGCGGCAAAAAAAAAGATTTATTTCCTTTATTCTTCTATATTGCGCACAGTACAAAGTCTGTTGGTCTATCGAAAATTCGTAAGTACAAAGTCCATTATTCAATAAAATAGTTAAAATTAATACTTTTCTCGAATAATAATAATTAGTAATAATTGTAATCATAATAAATAATATTAATAAAATAATAGTTTATTAAAAAATATGAGACGATTGCTTTTCACCAAACGGTCAATACGTCGAGCAGACAAAATGTCGAATGGACAAAATGTCGAAAAGCCAATACGTTGAATAGGCAAAATGTCGAAAAGCCAATTCGTCGAACTGACAAAATGTCGAAAAATTTTATTGACTTAACTATAATTATACTTGAGACAATAAAATTTTTCGACATTTTGTCAGTTCGACGTTTGTTCGATGTTTTGGCTTTTCGATATTTTGGCTTATCGATATTTTGTCTGTTCGATGTATTGACTGTTCGACGTCTTGGCTTTTCTAGGTTATGGCTTTTCGACATTTTGTCCATTCGACATTTTGTCTGTTCGACGTATTGACATTTCGGTGAAAAGCAAGCGTAATACTGTAAAAAAATTAAAAATATTTTTCTATAAAAAAATGTTATTTTGTAAAAAAATAGTTTTGAATAATTTCCCGCGATTTTATGAAATGACAACTCGAGTCAGAAATACGACTAACTTCAAGGGAGAAATAGACAAATATTAAGGGTATATTAACATTTTATATAATTTGACTAATTTGTTTTCATTGAATAAATTTGATAACCTAGTGAAATAAATATATTTTCTTCATATTATAATAAATTTGAAACGAAATTGACTAAACAAATTAAAGCCACGTGATCCCACGTGCTTTATCATCTCTCTTTCTCATCTTGAAAAAGGGTAATCATTAAAAATCATTTTTTAGCCATTCTTTATGATTTTCATAAAAAAGTATTCATAAAAATGATTATAAAAAATATATTTCAACTATTTTTCTTATATTCATTGTAATAATTCAAAAAAAAAAGAAATTAATTTTTTTTATTAAAAATAAAAATCCAATTTTCCCCTCTTCTTTTTTGTGTTTCGATTTTTATCGTCTTTTCTCTCTCACTCTTAATCGGCGCAGTATTACAACGCGCACATCAGAAGTTCTTGCTTTCTGCTTGTTTCTTCGGCACCAACACTGTTTGGTAAGGTTTTCTCTTGTGAACTCGTGATAGAAATTTAGTTAAAACAAATTTAACAAATATGTATCCCAATACCATCGGGAGTCGTCAAGCTGCTAAGGAACATGTTTTGGCAGTTTCCAGAGATTTCATCTCACAGCCACGTTTGGGTAAGTTGCAACAAAAAAAATTATTTCAGTGAAAAATTGACAGCGAGGTACTTATTTAAGAGTGGGCGTAGCAATTTTGATCGATCCTACAAATGGGTCAGCTGATTGCCGAATTTCTTCTTTTTTGTTTTATTTATTTTTGACAATTTTAGAATATCGTTAACAATATAAAGAGAAGAAATAATCTTTTTGATTCATTTTCATTTATTTTTCGTTCAGGAAAAATAAGAGAAAACATTCTGTCAATTCAAGTGTGTGTATATACGTTTCGTATCTCATTAAAGTCATGTGACTTTTCGTGATCTATTATACCTCGGGATATTTTCTTTTTTTTTAACAGTCAAAATTGATTTTAATGAGGAATTTTTTTTTTCAATTTTCAATTTTTATTATTTTTATTTTTATTGTGAATTAGATGAATATTAAATAGTTTATTTGTGAATGAATGCGATTGAAATTTTTGAGAAAGAAACGTCAACAATGAAAAGATTCACGTGAGGTGCGGGCGTTTCCTTTTTTTTTTATTTTGTAAATATGAATGTTTTTTTTTTTTTTTTTAAATAAGAAATTATAATAATTTTTTCTTGGGGGCTATTTTCAGTCTACAAAACTGTGTCTGGCGTTAATGGACCTCTGGTAATTTTGGACGATGTGAAATTTCCCAAATACGCTGAAATTGTTCAATTGAGACTTGCCGATGGATCTTTACGTTCAGGATCAGTTCTTGAAGTTTCAGGATCAAAAGCTGTTGTACAAGTTTTTGAAGGAACATCGGGTATTGATGCAAAAAATACTCATTGCGAATTTACAGGCGATATTTTACGAACTCCAGTTTCGGAGGATATGTTGGGTCGTGTATTTAATGGCTCTGGTAAACCAATTGATAAAGGACCTCCAATTCTTGCTGAAGATTTCTTAGATATTCAAGGACAACCCATTAATCCTTGGTCACGTATCTATCCCGAGGAAATGATTCAAACGGGAATTTCTGCAATTGATGTTATGAATTCAATTGCTCGTGGTCAGAAAATTCCCATTTTTTCAGCAGCTGGTCTACCACATAACGAGGTATAAAAAAAATCACTTTTCTACCCTAACAAATTTTCCCGTTTAATTAATTATTTAATTAATTCAATTATTTTATTGATTTAATTGGTATTAATTGTTAAAAAAAAAATTAATTTGTACCTTGAAAACCGATAAGAAAAAAACGACGTGAATTTAATTTTATTTATAAAAAAGATAAATTTATCTTGTTTTTTTTTTCTATATTTTTAAATCTCGAACTAATTGAAACTATTTCATTTTTTAAGAATGATATTTTGATTTTTTTTATAATTCAAACTTGTGATGAATTATGATTTTCGATAAAGTTTGATATTAAAAATTATTTGAAAATTAATGAAAAATTTCATCAAGAATTTGAGAAAACATATTTTAATTATAATTTTTGTAAAAAAGGAGATTTTTTTCAAAAATTAAAAAAAAAAATTTATGGAATATTTTATTTTAAATAGAAAATTTAAAAAAAAGTAAAATTTCTACATGAATTGTTTTACAAGAAATAAAATAAATATTTATTTATTAATTAAGCTTCAGCCTTTCGGCCCAGAAGTGGACTTGAAAATTTCTACATGAAAAATGTAAATATTTTGTTTAAAATACAGGGAAATCAGGGAATTTTATGAAAAGTACTGAAAAAATATCAAATTTCTAAAAATGCTATTAAAATTATAATTTTTGAAATTTTCAATTCAACCTTTTGCTTCTAAAAATTATTTTCTTACATTTTTATTATTGTAGGCCTTGGATCGACTTTTGTAAGAAAAAAAATTCATTTTAGTCGATTTTCATTACAAGAAAAATCTAAAAAGTCCATTTTTTTATTTTCAATAAATTTAATTAGTTGATAAATATTTTATTATTATTAACAATTTGTTATTAGAAATTAAATAAAATTTAGGAATTCCTTAATAAGAATGTTATTGAAAAAAAAAATTTTTTTTTTTAATTAAAATTTGTTAAATAATTGAATTTTAGAAGATTTTTAATTAAAATTTTAAAAAATATTTGAATTTCAGGAGATTTTTAATTGAATCTTTTATAAATTTGAAATAATGAAATTTTTTTTTACAAATTTCAGACAATAATTAATTTTTAGAGAATTTTCAACTGAAATCTGTTCTAAATAATTGAATTTTGATGGAGTTACAGTTTAGATTTTTAGAAATGATTGCATTTTTTGAGTTTTCAAAAATTAGAATTTTGTTGTAAATATAAACATTAATTAAAAAATAATTAAAATAATTTAATAATTGAATTTTTGAAAAATTGAATTAAAACTGTTAAAATAATTAATTAAGAAAAAATTTTATATATATAAAAATATGGGAAAAAAATTTTCAATTGAATTTAAAAGAGTTCGAGTTAAAATTTTGTTGGAAGTAATTAAATTTCAGAAAGATTTTAAATTAAAACTTTCATAAATTTTAACAGATAAAAAATTTGTTTACAAACTTTAAAGAATAATAAAATTTTTTAAAGTATTTTTAATTAAAATACTTTTTATTTCCCTGAATTGTTGAAAAACTGTATTAAAGTAATTCAAAAAATTAATTTAGTGAAGAATTTTAAATAAAATTTTAATAGACTTGAATTATTTAAGTTTTTTTAAAAATTATATAAACAAAAATTTAATTTTAAAGAATTATTAATTAAAAAATGTTTTATGTAATTGAATTTTTGAAAAACTTGAATAAAAATTATTAGAAATAATTAATTTATAAAGAAATTGAAGTTAAAAATTTTAGAAATATTAATTGAATTTCAGGTGATTATAATTGAAACTTTCATTTTGACTTGGTGAAATATTTTTAAAAACTTTGGACAATAATTGAATTTTAGTGAATTTTCAATTGAAATCTTATAAATCATGTAATTTTCGATGAATTTATTTTAAATTATTGATTTTGCAAACAATTAAAGTAAATATTATATTTTTTTAATAATTCAATTTAAAAAAAATAAATAAAAGTAATAATAAAATAATATTTTTGTGTCAACCCTGTTATTGTTCATATAACTTTGAAACAATATATTTAAAAAATGATTATATTTTAATAATTATTTGAATAATTTTATAATTATAAAAAAATATTTAAAAATTTTAATTTAGAAAATCTTGAATTTTTTTAAAACCTCTGAAAAAGAATTTAATTCTTAAATGAACATCTTGTTAAATTGTTTTTGATTAAAATATAAAAATAAATTTAATTTTTTATTTTGAATAGTAAATTTAATAAAAACTAATTTTTTCTTTTCTATTTTCAATTAGATTGCTGCTCAAATTTGTCGTCAAGCTGGTCTCGTTAAAGTACCTGGTAAATCTGTATTGGATTCACATGAGGACAATTTCGCTATTGTTTTCGCCGCTATGGGTGTAAATATGGAGACGGCACGTTTCTTTAAGCAGGATTTCGAGGAGAATGGCTCAATGGAAAATGTGTGCCTCTTTTTAAATCTCGCCAATGATCCCACCATTGAACGTATTATTACACCGCGTCTTGCATTAACGGCAGCTGAATTTTTAGCTTATCAATGCGAAAAACATGTGTTGGTTATTCTCACTGATATGTCATCGTACGCTGAGGCACTTCGTGAGGTATCGGCTGCCCGTGAAGAAGTTCCCGGACGTCGTGGTTTCCCCGGTTATATGTACACTGATTTGGCAACAATTTATGAACGTGCTGGACGTGTTGAGGGACGTAACGGATCAATTACACAAATTCCAATTCTTACTATGCCTAATGATGATATTACACATCCTATTCCTGATTTAACTGGATATATTACCGAGGGACAAATTTACGTCGATCGTCAATTACATAACAGACAAATTTATCCACCGGTCAATGTGTTGCCGTCATTGTCTCGTTTAATGAAATCGGCTATTGGCGAAGGAATGACTCGTAAGGATCATTCGGATGTTTCAAATCAACTGGTAAGATTTTATTACAATCTATTCTTTTTTTTTCTTATTTATGATTTATACGCCATATTCGAAGTCCATCTACGTCGGAAAGTAAAAGGGCGCATAAAATTTGTACAGCCGGCCAACTCAAATGGCCGTACAAACTTTATGCGCCCTTTTACTTTCCGGCGGCTCAATTGCGTCTCCGATTTTTTTTTTAAATTGATACTAGCTTCCATGATTTTTTTCAAATTTTTTTTAACAAGCCATTTTCGAGATATGAATTTTTCAGAAATTTTTGAATGTTAATTGAAAATTGAAATTGATACATTAAAAATGTATCAATTTAAAAATTTCAGGCCTCCAATTATACGACTTTTTCGGATTTTTTTCGATTTATTTTAATAAAATGCGACTTTTTCGACTTGTTTTTACATTTATTTTTTTTTACAAAATTTTTAAACAAAATACAATTTTTTTTCTAAATTAATTATTTTAAATAATTTTAATAAAATTCTTTACAAATTCAGTTATCTTAAAATATTTTTTAATTAAAAATTTTATGAAACTTAACAATTGTTTACAATGTCAGACAAATAATTAAATTTTAGAAAATTTGTGCTTTATTTTTTTTTTAAATAATTAAATTTATTAAAAATTATTGACCTGGCGGAATTTTAAACACAAATTTATAAATACTTAAATTTTCGAATTATTCCAATTAAGATTTTTAGAATTAATTGAATTTTAGAAGATTTGAAATTTTAAATTAATTAAATTTTTTGAAGGTTAGCAATTAAATTTTTTGTTAATTATTGAATTTTAGAAGATTTTCAATTGAAAATTTGGAAAATATTTAAAAATTTGAAAAACTTTATAGGTACAAATTTTTTGTAAACATTTAATTTCAATATTTGGAAATAATTGATATCTCGAATAATTGCAATCAAAATTTTTGATAATATAATAAAAATTTTTAAATATTTATAATATATATATTGAAAGAGTTACAATTTTAAAAGTTTTTACTTTTCCTATTTTTTTAAAAGATTTTACACTAATATTTCAAAAATAATTCAACTATCAAAGAATTTATTTCAAATTAAGAAATAGGTAATCAAGTTCTTAATAACAATAATAATTTAAATTTTATTTTTGAAAATAATTGAATTTTTGAATATGTTTATTGAATTAAAAGAATTATAAGTAATTGAAATTTTCTAAAATTTAATTGAAGGCAAAGAAAATATTGTCTGGAAATCAGGGAAGTTATATTGAAATTTTTGTGGCAACTCTGATAATTAACAGAGTAGGTTTGCAACTCAGAAAAAAATCAGGGATTTAAAAAAAACTATCAAATTTCAGAAAATTATTATTAGTATTATTATTATTATTAAGCAAGAATTTAAATAATTTGTCCAAATAAAGGAATTAAAAATTGAAAAATAAAATTTGAATTGAAAAAACTCAGTTAAATGAAAATTTCTTTCTGCATAACTTTAAATTAAAAATTCGTTAAATAGTAATTTAGTTAAATGGAAATTCTGTTAGATAATTTTTTTTTTGTTTGGTTAATTAAGTAGATGTTATTCTATGAAAATAAAATTCAGATTGATGCAAGAAACAGACATAGCCCATTGAAATAAAATGGGTTATATCCTGTTTTTGCATCAAGGTATTCAATATTGTTAAATTTCTCATCATGCATCATTTATAATAATTTATCTAAGTACAAAAAGAATATTTTTCTATTTTTTTATTTGAAATCTATGAAAAAATAAATAGGTGAAACTTTATTTTCTTGTATGAAAAATAATTTTTTACATTTCATAAAAAAAAAAAAAATTCATTCATTTTCATCAAAAAAAAAAAAAAAAAAAAAACATGTAGTTAACATTTTCTATAGGTGAATACTTTCAGTGAGATCTATATATCTGATTAAATATTTATCTAAAATAAATGATAAAAAAAATTTTTTTTTCAGTACGCATGTTACGCCATCGGTAAGGATGTACAGGCCATGAAGGCTGTTGTCGGTGAGGAAGCATTAACGCCCGATGATTTATTGTATCTCGAATTTTTATCGAAATTCGAAAAGAATTTCATTTCTCAGGGAAGTTATGAAAATCGTACAGTTTTTGAATCACTTGACATTGGCTGGCAACTCCTTCGTATCTTCCCGAAGGAAATGTTAAAGAGAATTCCAGCCACTACACTCGCTGAATTCTATCCAAGAGACTCACGTCATTAATTAACTTCAAAAAAAAAATTTGATTTTTAGTTCTAATAAATATCATTTAAGAAAAACAAAAAAAAAACACCTGATTTGTGTTGCAAGAATATTTTCATTTATTTTTAAATTAAAATTTGAAGGAAAAAAAAAACATTTTCTTGCTTCATGAATTTTGATCTAAATAGTACAACAATAAAAAAAATATATAAATTGAGAACCATTTTTTTTTTTTTTCGAAGACAATATAAGAAAAATATTTTCAAATTTATGTATTAATAATATACATACTATATGGTTCGTCAAGATCGAAAAAAAGAAGATCAGGTGAATATTTTAAATGTAAATTTTTAAATTATAGCTGCTGAATATGTTTTTATGTTTGTTTTGAATATATTCTATAATATGAAAGAAAAAAAAACTATAGCGACAAGAGAGATTTTATCAAATATTAAAATCACGCTTTTATATTAAAATTGGAAAAGGGTGATTATAAATAAATATAATTTAGTTAGCAAAGCGCACTTATTTTCCATTCATCGGAAAGTTTGTAATTTTATTAACGATTAAATTTATAGTAGTCAATTTTTAATTAACGTCGCTAATTTCAAAAAAGAAAAAAAAAAAGAACGTTCAATTCACGAAAATATTTCAAGCAACACCAAGGCCATGTGTGTATGCGCGCATTTGAAACATCTTTGAAATAAATTTCCAATGATCGTTCTTTTTAATCGTAAAAAAAAGAATTACGTCTGTTAAATTAAAAAAAAAAAAAAAATCATGAAATTGTAAATTGTAATATATAAGTCAGTATTATGAACGAGAAAAACAAAGAGCAAGTGCGTTATAAACATTTTTTGTTTCAATAATAAGCGCCTCCCCCCGCACATTCCAAAAAATGAAAATTTTTATTTATAGAAAGATCCTTAAAAAAAAGAATTGTCGCCCAACATCCAAATGTACAGTTTCTTTTCCCTTTCTCTCTCTCTCTCAAAAAAAAAAAAAAAAAAAATGTACAAGATTCATCGGATATACATTTTCTATCAAATTTATTGTAAATTTTTAGATATAGTATGTGATTAAACGAGAAAAAATTAATTGCTTGATTTTTTGAAATGAAAAGTCAGAATTTATTCGCAAAGAAAAAAAAAATAAATTAAAATTGCAACGCCTGTTTGATATGAGGTTCCGAAGCAATCATTGTTAATAAATGTCAGTGATTCAACTGTCGTGTGTAATTAATTGAAAGTTAATCATTTAAATTCTTTTAGTGTTATACAAAAGATAAATGTACAATAACTATATATATTAAAAGAAATCTATGAAAGTAAAACTTTTTCTTTACAATTTTTTCCTCTTATTTCCATAAAGAGGGAATTCCATTTGAGATTTTTATTGAAAAAAAATTTTTTATGCATTTTTTTTTCGAAATCTTCATGAAAATCGAATAAAATTTCATATATGAAAAATTATTTTTATTTAAGAAATTTAATTTCAATTAATTAAATTTTAATTTAATCAGAAAGAGAAAAATAAATTTCAAAAATTCTCTGCTTCTAATGACGTTAAATTAAAAAAAAAAAAAATAACTTTTATCAAATAAAAAAAATAATTCTTTTTCTCTTATTTATCATAAAGAATTCGAAAAAATGTTCCAAGCAAAAAAAAATTTTTTTAATTGAAAATGTCATGTGGAATAATAAGTTTTAATAATTTTATAATTTAATTATTTTATTTAATCATATTTTTGTTTTTATTTTTATTCGTTTAACAATTTTTTTTATTTTATAATTAATTAATTACAAAATTAAATTAATTAATAACTAAATTTAATTATTAAATTCAAGTAAATGAAATTTACATAATATACAATTCTACGTGGGAATTAAATTAAATAATTCTACAAAAAAATTTGTGCTATTTACAAATTTTTTGGGTTTTCCACAATCTAATTCAGAAATCATAACCTCAAATTTAAAATCAATACTGTATAAAACATAAATTTAATATGAAAAATTAATTTTTCTTCATTGAAAAATAAAATACAAAAGCAATTTTCATAAAATTTCTCAATTAAATTTAATTTTTTATTACAACTTTACAGTAAAGTCAGTAATTATATTTTTTTTTTCACAAAAAAAAGTTTTCTATTGCAATTTTATGTTTAAAAAAAAACAGTTTTAGTTAAGAATTTGAAGTTATGTTAGGCGAAGCAGTTTGTAAAAATTACAAACCGGTTTGTAAATAGCACAAACTATTTTTATCTCTGTAACAATAATAGAAAAAAAACCGAAAATTTTTTTGAAATTATAATTAACAAATTTATTTTAACCTCTTATATATATATGTATTTTTTCCCCTAAATGACAATTTTTGTTATTTTAAATAATTTTGCACAAAAAAAATTTAAAACCTACAGTAAATGAAATCTTTAAAATTTTCTAATATTATTGTTAAACAAAACGGTTAACCTCATTCACAAACGGTTTATGCTAACAATGTATTGTGGTCCTGATTTTATTTACTTTTTTTCTTTTTTTTTTTTATTAGCAAGTTAATTTTAAACATGACATTTAAATGAAGTACAATTACCTGCAATTATAATTAGTTGTAAACAACCCGCCAATGTCACGTGACTTTTATTCAACCAATCAGCTGAGAATCACCTGATTTCTACCCCCGCCATTTGTCCATTTTGCATCGAGATTCCATTCGAATGGCGTCGATGGCGTCAACTAGTGAACAAAGTACTTGTTTAAACATTTTTAACATATATATATCTTTCTCTTTTTCATTTTCTATCAATATTATATTTTAGAGTAAAATAATTAATAATTAGTGAAGTGAAAACATCAATGAATGCAATAGTGATTTGTTTCTAATTTGACTGTTACAAAAGGTAAAATTTAATTACATTTTAATTTTTCTCTATAATCTGGCTTGTCGTGTGTTAAATTAGGTTATGTTTTGTTGATATCACGTGTCAAGTGTAAATTACATAAATATAATAAGGAAAAATAATTTTTTTTCTTCATTTTAATATAAAAGTTTATTTAATTTATATTTACTTAATTAAATAATCTTATTTCAATATTTATGATGCTTTTTCATGTGTTATTGCGTTCATCTTTGAATTATATTACAATATATTTTTTCTTGCATTGTAAAAGAGAAAACCGCATATTTTGTTTACTTATATAGTAATTATTGTTGCTTGTGTTTTTTTTTTCGAGAAAAAATAATGCAAGTAAAACTTGTTGCATTCCTATTGATAATTTATTCAACTTTCATTTGTTCGGAGAATAAAGAATTTCAAAATTCTAAAAACCTTTTATATTCGTTTTAGAATATTGTCCTGTCACTTCTTTGAATTTTCAATTTTTCTGCTTTGCTATTGTATTATTTGTTCAATTATAAATGGATATATTCAGTTTTTTTTTTTTTTTTTTTTTGAAAATTCGATCAAACTGTTTTTTTTTATTTTTCGTATATATATATATATATATATATATATATATCTATTGCTACTATTATTATTATTATTACTATTTTTATTATCATCGCTTTTAGTATTAAAAATAAATACATAATAATAATAGTTTATCAAAGAAAAAAAAATTCAATGTTTGTTTATTATTTGACAAAAAAAAAAAGGTGGGGGATTAATGAATTTACTCTGTTCACGTAACGAGTCCGAGGTGAAATTCGTTTTAGAAGCAGGTTACCATTGTTCCCTTGATGAGGTGAATGAGAGAATGTTAAGAAAAAAAAAATAAATAAATAATAAAATAATTATTTTAGGAACGCGACATAACCTTCAATATATTTGAATTCACAGCAAGAATAAATTGTTATGTGTTAAATTTTGAATTTATTTTCAGAGAATATTTAAAAGAAATTTTGTTCTTTTAAAATAGGGAGAAGAAATTTTTCAAATCTTAGACAAAAAAAAATCTTATCTTCTCGAAATATAAGATAAATCTTTTCATATAAACTCAAACGACTTTGTAGAGCTAGAAATTGTTAGCAATTTCCAATTAATCCTATTGAGAGCTATTAGCGTTTTTACGACGCTTCATATTGTCCAGCAATTTTCATGCATTTATTATTAGTTTATATCTTTAAATTGAATCTTCAAGGTATGTACAATCATTGTGATTCACAATTCAAAATTCATTAACTACGATTGTTAATTAATTCTAGTATTGGAAAAATTAAAAAACAAAAATTGACAAACAATTTTTTTAAATTAATATTTTACACTTGTTTACAAAAAAAAAAAATTACAAATATTAATTTTTTTGGTAATTTTATAGTAAAAATTTTCGGTTATTTTGATTTCATATAAAATTAATTAAAAAACGGTTTTAACAATAAGGAAACATTAATTTAAAAAAACAGCTTTTTTTGTCAATTTAATTAACAGTTGAATTTAAAAAAAAATGATTTTTAAACTTGAAAATTTTCTTTTCAATTTAATTACTATTTTTTTTTTTTTTTTTTTTTTTTTGAAAAAAATGTTTTTTTCTTCTTTTTTTTAGAAAATGTGAAAGGTACTCTTTTAATGCATTGTATACTACTTTGACTATAACGCAAGGGACACCTCTCTCATCAAGACAGTTGATGTTTGCGTTTCAAAACGCACAGTCAATGCGATGATTTCAGTTTTGTCAGCGTGTTCTCTGGCATAATTATTTGCTTGTGAGGCAATTTATTTTATTTTATTTATTTTTTTATTCAAATTCAAACATCGTAGAAATTTAAAAAAAAAAAAAATTGTGCTAACCTCAGCAAAAAATATTAATTGATAATCCGCGATTTATATAAAGAGGAAACAACTCAAGTGAAATCTATAAAAAATAAAAAAAACGCGATTTAAATATAATAATGTTTTTTTTAAAACATTTTATAAATTGCGGAAAATTATTATGTGCGATTTGTGAATAAGAATAATTAATTATTAATCAATTCCAATGACAACACATAAAGTGACTCAATGATAAAACACCGGAAAGATTTTTCATTGCAATAAAATATTTTCAAGTGACAAGAATGCTCAACATTAAAAGATTGTATGTTTCCACGTGACATTTCTTAATGCAATTTTCAATTTCATTTAAATATTTTTTTTTTTTCATAGTTTTTAAAAAATTTTTTTGGATGTAAGAAAATATTTTTTTTTTTTTTTGTAATTAAATTTTGGAAATAGAAAATAAAAATGAATAAATTCGCGAACAATGAAATATTGGAAAGTGAAAATAGAAATTAATAATCAATGATTAAATTGAGTAAGTAAATTGTAATTTTTATATATAATAACATAGAATGACTATTTTTGATATAAATATTGCAAACCAATAGGGGTCAAAAGATTGCAACAATAAGACACTATCGGGTCGAGGTCAAGTCTTCTGCTCACGCCACTGGCACGTTTTTTCGGCCGCAGACAAAAAGAAAAAAAGTTTGTTTCATTTTTAATTTTTTTTTTTCTTTCTAGACTTTTCTTCTTCTTTCTTTCTTTTTTTTATCTTATCTTCAAAAAAAAACGGAAACTCGATTTTTTTCTTTGTATTCTGATGACTGTCCTCAACTTTAATAGTTTGGGTTTTTAAATTTAAAATAAAATTTAATTAAATGAAAAATTAAAATAAAAATTTTATAATTTTTTAAAAAACAAAATTGTTTATTTTTTTACTATTATTTTATTATTATTAATACTTCTATTCAATAATAATAACAACTAACAATGAAATAATATAATAATTTTGAATGAAATTATAAGAATAAAATAATAATAATAATTATTATTATATTAATAATTAATAGGTAATTTAATTGAAAAAAAATTCTTAGTCAAGAAATAATTTTGTTTTTTATTTGTTTATTTTTTAATTTCTATTAATTGCTTCATTTAATTAATTGTATTTATTTATTTCTATTTTTTTCCTTTTTTTTATATTTTCTATACTGAAAAAATTGTGGTATTATTTTGAATAAGTAAAAAAATTTTAATTTATTATTTTTTTTTCTACTAATATTGCGTCATAATATTATTTTTTTCAATATTTGACAATAACGTCAAACAATGTTAAAATTTTATAATATTTTCTTTGCTAAATACATGATGAGAGGAAAAAAATAAAAACTCTAAAAGCTAACCAAGTTTAAAAAAATGCATGGAATATAAGTATATAATTTTGACGATAAAAACGTGTTTTAAACAATAATGCGTGCAAAGAATGTTTTCAAATATAATAAAGGACGTTTAAATGAAATTCTTTGAATTAGTTAAATACTATCTTGAAAGAAAGAAAAGAAAAAAAATGACTTTTTGTTTTGACATAAAGAGATTGGAATATAAATTAATGCTTAGAAACATGTGGATGCTGATAATATAATTGAATGGAAATCTGAAAATTGCATTGAGAAATCACGCGGATAAAATGCTCAATTATATATTATTTTATATTTTTTTAAGCGGTACTTTTCCTTTTAATTAAAATTATTAATCAAATTATTCCTATATATGGAGAAAGTATAATTATTATTTATAAATGATTGAAATTTTTTTTTGAAAATAAATTATTTTCGTTTCAAACACAATTCCAATATATATATTTTTTTACACAAAGTGCACTATTTATTTATTAGAAAATTCTAACACTTTGTATCAAAAAAACAAAAAAAAAAAAATAATTTCGGATGTCTAAAATAAATTTTTGTCAATTTTGTTTTTGTATAACAATTTTTTCTATTTTGGTTTTTTTTCAATTTTAAAAATAAAAAAAAAAAAAAAAAAAAAAAAAAGCTGAGTTGTGTTATGGAGAAAAAAAATGTTATTTATAAATTCAAAATAGAATATTAAATTTCTAGTTTCTGAAAAAATTTTCAAAAAAAAAATAATAATTAACCATAAAAAAATTAAAATTTGATAATTGAATTTACAGAATACTTAATTTAAAATAATTAATTTTTAAAAATAATTTTATTAAATAGGTAATAATAAAAATAAATAATAACTAAATAATTGAAAATATAATTCAATTAGCAAAAAAAAAAAAAATTGAGTTTTTTAAAACAAGGAATCAAATTGATAGAATTTTCAAAGTTCAAATTTTTAATTTTATATTTTAAAAAATATTTTTCATGATAAGATTTTGGAGCAAATTTTAGTTTTTTTTTTAAACAATTTTTGCTAATATTTATTTATAGTAAAATTTCGTATAATATTAATTCGATATTAATTTTGTTAAATAAAAATTCGACCTAAAGGAAATTTTAAATTAATGAACAATCTGTTGTGTGAAAATTTAATATAAAAAAAATTTTGTTCAGTAATGAAAATTATATTTTGCTAAATGAAAATTTGGTTCAGTGAATATTTTTTTTGCTAAATGAAAATTCTGTTAAATATTTAACCACAAAGAAATATCTGCTAAATTAAAATCCTGCTGAATAATAATATTGTTAAAAAAAAATTGAACCTAAAAGAAAATTTTGTTAAATGAAAATTCAATCTAACAGAAAATTTGGTTCAGTGAATGTTCTATTTTGCTAAATGAAAATTCTCCTTAATAATAATATTGTGTTTAAAAAAACTGAACCTAAAAGAAAATTTGGTTAAATGAAAATTTTTTTGAGTAAAAATTTTGCTTAATAAAAATTTTGCTAAATAAAAATTTTGCTAAATAAAAATTCTGTTAAATTAAAATTCAAGGTAAAAGAAAACTTGGTTAAATAAAAAATTTGTTAAATGAAAATTTGGTTCTGTAAATATTCTATTTTGCTAAATAAAAATTCTGTTAAATATTCAAGCTAAAAAAAATTCAGCTAAATTACAATTATTCTATATATGTAATAATAATATTCTGCTTAAAGAAATTGAAAATAAAATAAAATTCTATTGAGTGAAATATTTGCTAAATAATAATTTTGTTAAATAAAAATTTACCGAAAAAGAAAATTTTGATAAAAAAAATGTTTGCTTAATGAAAATCCCGTTAAATTGAAAATTCTGCTAAATAATAATTTTGTTTGATAAAAAAATGTCAATTCTGTAAAATGAAAAATTTTGCTAAATAAAAATTTAACGTAAAAGAAAATTTTGATAAAAAAAATGTTTGCTTAATGAAAATCCCGTTAAATTGAAAATTCTGCTAAATAATAATTTTGTTTGATAAAAAAAATGTCAATTCTGTAAAATGAAAAATTTTGCTAAATAAAAATTTAACGTAAAAGAAAATTTTGATAAAAAAAATGTTTGCTTAATGAAAATCCCGTTAAATTGAAAATTCTGCTAAATAATAATTTTGTTTGATAAAAAAAATGTCAATTCTGTAAAATGAAAAATTTTGCTAAATAAAAATTTAACGTAAAAGAAAATTTTGATAAAAAAATGTTTGCTTAATGAAAATCCCGTTAAATTGAAAATTCTGCTAAATAATAATTTTGTTTGATAAAAAAAATGTCAATTCTGTAAAATGAAAAATTTTGCTAAATAAAAATTTAACGTAAAAGAAAATTTTGATAAAAAAAATGTTTGCTTAATGAAAATCCCGTTAAATTGAAAATTCTGCTAAATAATAATTTTGTTTGATAAAAAAAATGTCAATTCTGTAAAATGAAAAATTTTGCTAAATAAAAATTTAACGTAAAAGAAAACTTGGTTAAATAAAAAAATTTTTAAATGAAAATTCAATCTAAAAAAAAAATTTCATTCATTGAATATTCTATTTTGCTAAATGAAAATTCTGCAAAATAATAATTTTGTTAAATAAAAATTCAGTCTAAAAGGAAATTTGGTAAATATTGTCATTTCTGTGAAATGAAAATTAATGCTACAAAGTGTATATAAGAATTTTTTTATAAAAAAAATAATTCACAGCCTTCTTTGGAAAAAAAAAAAAGGTGGAATATGATTCGAAATTATTTTCATTTTGAAAAATATTTGTTGATTTAAAATTCTTCGTTTTCTAAAAATTATTTTCACTCATTGTCAGCAATGCGAGAGAGCTCAATTATAATTATCTTGGGGGAGAAATATAATGTCCTTGAAGGAAACCGTTTATAAGTTTTTCGGGACTCGGCTCTTTTTTCTCTTTCTCTTTCCCCCTCTAAGTGGTGAATTATCTGTAACAATATAATTTTGTATTGTACCACAGAAAAGCGCATTGTTGTTGAATAAGTGATCAAAGGGCAAATATAACAGAGAATTATAGACTTTAGGCTCTCTAGAAAGTTAGTGATTGTATTTTATTATATATATATAGAGTACAAGAAAAATAAAGTGACACAGCTTACTTATAGTGCAAGTCTTTTCATTGCTCAAAAGTCACAGGAAGAGAGTAGACACATCAGAGATGAGAGTGATTCTCGATTATAAATATAAATAAAATATGCCATTCGGAAGAAAACAAAAGAACTGTAAATTTAATTGGCAGAGACAATTTTTTTGATATACAACATATAATATATATATGTCATTTAATCAATGCTTGGATCAGCTTAATAATCTTTTTCCCACTGTTGACTGTTTCAATGTGACGATAAATTTATTATCGATGAGGGTCTCACAACATCTCTTACAAGTGGAAATGAAACTCATTTGTGCGGTCCTCATTCAATGTTATTGTTCTGTGATTAAACTGTGAACTTGTTTTTTTGTGTATTTTTTTTTTTTGTTTTTTTTTTTTTTTTGTTAGGAAGAAAAAATTTTTTGCAGAATTTATTTTACCGATGCGACAATATGTACGGTTTGGTGGAGCTTCTCATCTTTTGCGGTGTTCTCTATTATTTATTTAATGACAGGTATGAGACACATTTCAGGTTCATTGAAATCTGATGAGATTCTTTAAAAAAAATATATATTATATATACCACCAAAAAGGGGGGGAAAAATTACGAAGCTGAAGTACGCAACATTTATATAAACGATTTTTAAAGAAATAATTTTTTGCCTAAAAAATATTTCTTGTAGTTTTTTCATTAATCAACAAATTATAAAAAAAAATATTTTTTAAGGCAAAAAAAATTATAGAATTTTTCATTTTCAAAAAATTATTTCTTTAAAAATCGTTTATATAAACGTTGCATACTTCAGCTTCATGAAAAATTAAGGAGCTAATTGTTGAAAATTTTCATTTACGAATTTATTATAGAAAGAGTCAGAAAAAAAAATTTTTTTCCGGAAAATTCTTTCAATTTTTAAATGATTCGAAACTGTTATAATTTGTATAATTTTAGAAAAAAAAAAAAATTCCCAAAATTGATATAAAAAATTGTCAAAAATTAGAAATTATCCCCCTCGATTATTTTATTTTATTTATTTTATTTATTTTATTTATTTTATTTATTTTATTTATTTTATTTATTTTATTTATTTTATTTATTTTATTTATTTTATTTATTTTATTTATTTTATTTATTTTATTTATTTTATTTATTTTATTTATTTTATTTATTTTATTTATTTTATTTATTTTATTTATTTTATTTATTTTATTTATTTTATTTATTTTATTTATATATTAGATAGATTTTATAATTAATTTATATTTAAAAAAAAGTAATTGATAATTCGATTAATTAATTACTTTTTTTAAAAAAAAAAAAAAAAAAAGAGTTTGATGACATTTTCTGAAAGATGATAAAATTTCAGAATAAAATATTGAAGGATCGATTCTCGTTCATCATTCAATAACAATTAGTGTATTTTATACAATATCAATTTTCTTTTTTTTCGTATTATCTGCTAATTGTAAAATCATGGTGAACATTAACAATTGAATTGAATACAAAGTCGAACATTTCCTGTTTTAACTGAATATTGTTTACAAATGTATTATTGAACGTGAAAATAGAATCCGATATATATATATATTATGCCTTCCAAAATAAGTTCGATAAAATTGGTTCAATTTTTACGTAACGTTATACTTTTTTTTCAATAATCATATTATTTGAAATTATAATGATTTCTATTATGTCAAAATAAAGGAAATTGAGAAAATTTTATTCTAAATTGAATATTACGTCGCAACAAATTTTTTGCAATATCTTTTGCTATAAAAATGATAAAAAGATTTTTTTTTAAATATTCTAATTAATGTTTTCTAATTTTTTTCAATTTTTTTGAAGATATAATTTTTTTATATTAATAATAATTATAATAATAATAATAATAGTAATAGTAATAATCATAATAATTTTTATATTGAAGTATAATATAAAAATAATAATAATAATAATAATTTTATGGAATAATTTAATTTAAAAAATAATCTTAACTTTTTAATTGTTTAACTTAAAAGTAATAAAGCAACAAATATTAATTTTATGTATATTTAATGTGGTCATTATACATATTTTCTTTGTTAAAAAATTTTATGAACGAAACTTGGTTTTTTTTATCGTATTGAAGAAAAAAAGATTTTTAAAGTAGAAAATTTTATTTTATTTTTTATTTTTTATTTATTTATTCAAAAAGCACCAAACTAGAAAATTTATATACAAAACTAATTAATTAAAATTATTTTTAGTTTTAATTTTTTTAAATAAAATTGTTCGAATTTAATTTTGTTTATTTACAAAAAAAAATTTCATTCTCTTTCTGTTATCACTAGCACGGCTATAAAATTAACAAAATAAAATAAAAGAAATAGAAAAAAAAGAAAACAAAAAAAGTTCAAGAAACAAAATTAGAAAATTAACTAATTAAAATTATATCAATTTTTTTTCTTATGATGTATCTTTTAAATTAACATTTTTTTAAATTTTAAATGAAAAAAAGTTTTAAAAAATTGTCAATTTTTTTTTTCTTGTAAAAAATTATAATAATTGATAAATTAGAGAACAGAAAACGATTTTTTATCTCTTTTTTGCTTTCACAATCAGAAAAAAATTAAAAAAAAAAAAAAAAAAATAGAATATATATACCTAAGTAAAAATTTTAACTGTTTTTTTTATAATTTATTTTTTTAAATTTAAGATAAAAAGGTTAAAAAAAATTGAAAAAAAATTTAGTTTTATTATAAATTAAATTGACCAATAAATAAATTAGAATAGAAAACGATTTTTGTCTTTTTTGTTTTGCAATTTAGAAAAAAATCGTAATAAAGAAAAATGTTTATTACCTATTTATTTTTCTGAAAATTAAATTTTTTATAATTTTTATTAAATTAACATATTTTTTTCTCAAATTTGAGTAAAAAAAATTTTCTTAAATTAAATTATTTTTTATTAACCAAAATTTTTTTTAATAAATTAGAATAGAAAACGATTCATTATTATCTTTTTTGTTTTACAATTGGAAAAAACGTTTTTAATAATAAAAAAAAAAAAATGTTTATTTACAAAGAGAACAATTTTTTTTCTACGCTTATAAATTTATTTGCAAACGACGAAACTTGATATTTACGTCATTTGCACACTTCGATGATATATTATTCATTTTGTGGGCATATCTGGTTATATTTTTTTTTCAAAAAATTCTTTCAACACGCATGTTATATATACTTGCAATACATTATTGAAGAGAAATATCGGTTCCAGAAAAAAAAGAAAGAAATCACATTTGAGCTAAAACGTAATGCTTTTTGTATTTTTTTTTTTTTTTCAAAGAATATTACAGAATTTGAAGCGAATGTTGAATTGAGAAAAAAAATTATATTTTTCAAGTCCAAACATCAAAGTTTAATATTTGGTTCTTTATTTAATCAAAAAAAAAACAATAAGGTATATGCGATCATTGAATGTTTAGATAACAAAGATGCATTGTAAAAATATCACAAAAGATGTTAATCATTTATAAACTTTGACTTATTTTCATAAAGCATATAATCTGAATTGATAAATGTTTTTTTTTTTTTTTTTTTTTTGAAATATTATAATATTTATAATTTAAAAACAGCTGTCACTGGATTTTTAATTTATTCAAGAGCTCAAAGTAGTAATTATTATGAATTAATAAAATTTTCTCGTTCATTATTAAAATTTGTAGATATTTTTTTTTCTTTTTTTATTTATAAATTTATTTTTGTCCTCACAATTGAAATATATTTTTCTATTTTTGTTTATTTTTTATATATTTATAATAATTTCTTTAATTCAATGACAAAAAAAAATTAATTTTTTCTTTCTTAATTTTTTTTTAATGAAAATTTATAGGTATATTTAGAATTTTTTTTCATTCTTTATAGTATAAAAATTTAGTATTTAGTTAAAAAAAGGATATTTATTAAAAATATTAATTTTCTTTGTCAAAAAAAATTATGTTTAGAAAATTTATTTTTTTTTAATTTACAATAGCAACAAAAGAAAAAAGTGAAAAATTATATCTTTTTGTTGAGTTATCATCATCACTTATACTATGATGTAATTGATATTTTATTATTGAAATTTATCGATGATGAATAGCTACAGCAAATTTGTTTCAAATAATAAACAAATTTTTGTATCAATATTTATCGAAAATGCGTTTAATTGAAATTGATAAGTTTTATCAACAATATTATGGTTTTGTAATTTGCCAGCATTGATAAAATAATTATGTTGTAATATTTTAGAAAATTTTGATATTTTAATTATATTTTTAGATATTAGATGATAAATTAGATATTATTATAAATATTGAATAAAAATTATCCAATTTTTATTTTCATTATATTTGAAATATAAAAAAAATGCTATTTTAATAAAAAAAATTATATTTAAATTTTTTTTCTTTTTTTTTTTTTTGACTTGACAACTTGATGCAAATAAGAAAATAAATAAATAAAAATTCGAATAAATTTCAAAAAAATGTACATTTTATATTGGAAGCATTGATTTTGATAAATTAACTTTTTTTCAGAGCTAATAACATGGTGGATGTAATGTCAACACGTTTGCATGAAGTCTATGCAAAATGGGAAAGGCAAACAGAAGTGCCAAGAAATTTGGATTCTAATACACCTCGACTTTCCCTCGGTGGTAAGAACAATAATTTATTGTTATTAAATTATTCAAAGTTCATTTATTACAAAATAAAAAATTTTAATCAGTTTTCACATTTTTTTTTTTGCTTTTTTTAATCGAAAATTTACAATTTAATAAAATTAATCTAACAATAATAAATTAATTTAACTATCAATTTGATAATTTAATTTTTTAATTAATTCTCTAATTGTGCTTAATTAATAATAAAAAAAAAACAATTCCCGAAAGAAAAGGAAAAGATTTTTCAAAAACTTTGAATTACATAGGACTTCGGCGAGCAGGTCAACAAATGCAGAGAAAAAGATTTCAAAATAAGGAACAAGCACGAAAAGTTCGAGAGGCTAGTTTATTTAAAATTAAAGAATCTGAACCAATTGCTGCTCAAACTACAAGAACAACACCATTTTTCTTCTACTGCTGCAGTAGTTGCACACCGTCCTCAAGGGTAAATTATTTAAAATAATATTTATTATTCATAAAAAATAATTATAAATTTATTTATCACATTAATCACGTTTTTTGTGATAAAAAACATTTACAACATTTGAGAATTTAACAACAAAACATAAAATAATTTGTTACAAAAAGCAGCTATAAATATATTTGTTTTTAAAGAAACATTTAAACATCTTTTTAAAGACAATGAAAATATTTGAAATGAAGTTAAGATATAAATAAAAATTAAATAAACTTCTTGTAAAAATGAATAAATAATATATTATATTTATTTATATTTACAAAAAAAGTGCAAATAAAATTCATTAATTTAATAATAATAATAATAATAATAATAATTAATAATAATTTTTTTTTTAATTCAAAGTTCCACTAATTTACGTATAAAAGTGATTGACTTATGTGTGATAAACAATAAAGAAGACATTCACTTTACAAGTTTAAGTCACGTGCTTTTTTTTCGCTTCTTGATTGCATACTTCTATATACGTATATATTAATCATAATTAAGATAATAATGTATTTCACCTTAGGCACAGTCGCTGATAAAAATTAAATTTTCTATTTTTAAAACAATATATACATATTTTTTTAAAATTTTTACTTTCGATATTTTTCTTTCTTTTTTCTTCAACTGGAGTTACTTAATTTTTCTCCCCAATTAAGAAGGGTTCAACACATTGACATAACCTTAAACAAAAAAAGTTACTTTTAACAAAAAGTAAAAAAAAAAACTATACTTACAATTAAAATTGATTTCATCAAAAATTTTGACACATTCAGTTGTACAATATTTAAAAAAAAAAAAATTATATTAAGCTAAAATTTTCTTGTCAGTTATATGATTCTTTCTTTAAAGTTAAAAAACAATTATAATTTTTATTCAATTTTCACAAACAATAGCTCATTTTGTTCTTTGAACGATTTTGTTTAGTTTGTTCAATTTTATTAACAAATATATTTTATAAAAAAAATATTGAACAAATGAAATTTGGTGTTTTTTATTTTATTTATTTTTTTAATAAAATATTATTAAACAGACAACTAACAAACAGAATTGTAGAGAATCTTTAAAAATAGTAAAATGAGCATAAAAATTGGTTAAAAATTACAATTTGATTCAATAATTTTAAAACGAAAAGCAAAAAAAAAAATGTTAAATAATTTTTATTTGCAACAACAAATTTTGGATTGAAATAATTTTTTCTTGTTGAAAAGATTGTGCAATTGAAAACTTTTAAAATTTTATGAAATCAATTTTTAATTCAAATTTAATTTATTTCGAATATAAATTTTTAAATAATTTTTTCACTAATAATAATAATAATAATCAATCACTAATAAAAAATTTAATTCAAATATATTTGGTTAACTTCTTCAAATTATATTAAAATCAGTACCAGAAACAGAAGCTAAATTATATATTAAAATTTTTATTGTTTAAAAAGTTTTATTTTTTTAAATTTAATTATTGTAAAATTCACTTATTTTAGAAGTTAATTACTTTTTAATTCATTTTTTCTTTTTTTGTAAATTCATATTTTATTATTTTGTAAATAGTCAGTTATTGTATAAGTTTTTCTCCAAATCCTAAGTTAAATTCTCTAATTTTTTATGAGTTTCCTACATAGAAGAGATAAATATTTATTTAAGAAACTATTTTTAAATACGTTTTTTTTTTTGTTTTTGTTTTAAAGAAAACAATTTGAAATTTTTTTTTTTTTTTTTTAGTTGTCAATAGCGCGAATTTAATTTTTTTTAAGCGAGCAAGAAAAATAAAAGTAATTGAGTTTACCAAGTAATTTAATTTAAAAAATTTTTAAAAACTTAAAATATTTAAATAAAAAATAAATAAAACTTAAATAATAATTGAATTGAAATATTCCGTAATTTTTTAATTAAAAAAAAAAAATATTTTTAATTGACAGTAACTATATTTTATATGTCATTTATCTGCATAGCAGTCATTTGTTTCTTTATTTCAATAAAAATATTTCTCATTAAACGAGATTTTTTATTTCATTTTTATATTGTTATCAAGAAATTTTTTTATTTTTACAAGGGCAGAGTATAAAATAGTATATCATTTGTCAAGAATTAATTCTTACAAAATATAAAAAAAAAAAAATATTAAAAATTATTAAAAGTTATATTTTAAAACAATTAAATAACTATAAATAAAATATTAATTTAAAAATTATATTTAGAATTGAGTTTTAGCTAATTGTAAGTGAAATATAATTTTAAATATTATATACTAGTAAGAAAAAAAGACAGTGATAAGAAATATAATAGAAAAGTAAACGAGCAAAATAATAGAAAGAGAAAGAAGATATAAAATTCAAATAAGAGAAATATTTTTACTTAAATTTAATTTAAACTATTTTTATAAATATAATAAAAAAATTATTAATCGATAAATAAAATATATTTATACATTATAAACAATTTATTAAATATTTACAGTTAAAGATAAAATAAAATAATAAAAAAAAATTTATTTTATTTTAAAATACAAAATTAATTAATTACATAATATAAAATTTAAAAATTATAAAATAATAAAATTTATTTTATTTTATTGTTAAAAATAAATTAAAAAAGCTTTAAGTTACTTTTTGCAATAAGAAGCATTCTTTTATTTTTCAATTTTTAGAAATTGATAATTTTTCCTTTAATTATGAATGAAATTTTTATTTTCAATATATTAAAATGAAAGATGTGTTGGTAATTAAAATTTTGACAGCTTCTTGAAGATTTTTTGTAATTATCATCAATATAGGTTGTTTTTATCTGAGAATTTTTTTTCACATTCTTAGACGCCTATTAGATTTCGCAAGTTTTGCAGTTGAATACAGTTGTATACCTACGCTACGAGCCTACACTTGCCATGTTTTATATTTCCTCTTACCTGCTATATTTATATATATATTAGATGCAAATTTGATTAATTTTTGAAAAAAAATATCTATTATTAAATTACAATGTAATCACATTGTTAGATTAAACAATCCAGTTTTTTTAAAAAAATTTTTCACTTTTACTTTGATTTAGAAAAATCAAAAAAAATTTTATCTGAATTTTTCAAAGAGAAATGAAATTTCAATTTCCAATAACTGTTTTTATTATTATTTTTCATTTTAATATACATATTTTCCAACATGACACAAAATTTGTTACTAAGTCATTCACGATTCTGGCACAGAATCGCACTAACCGTTTGAAAGTTCTAAAAATAAAAACTAATATTCTAGTTGCTGCCGTTACGTACTTGAAATCGTTTGTACAACTAACGCGAAACTGTAATTTCTGTTACTTATTTATTTTACGATTTAAAAGAAATAGAAATTCTTATAGATCTATTGAGAGTGTCATTAAAATTCTTGAGTTTTTACATATATATATATATAACTTTTAGAGACTGATATACATATATATAATATAATTTAAAAATTTATGTCTATAATATAACAGTTGGAAGAAAATTATTTTCTCCTAATTATACTTGAAGAAATTTTAATTTTTTAAACTTAATTATTCATTTTATTATTTAAGATAATTATTATTTTTATGCCCTGCAAATAATTTGTTCAGTTTTTTTTTTTTTTTTTTTAGACAAACATTTAGACGATATCAATGATTTAAAAAGATAAATTTGACATTTGAATTATTTTATTCTGCATTTCATCTCTGAAAAATCTCTAAAGCTCTTTTTTTTTAATCAAAATTCACAATCATCTTTTTTTTTTATTTTTGAAACAAAATATTATAATATTACAATTTCAAGTGATAAAAAAAATGTTTGCGAAATTATGATGAAATCGATTTTACATTTTTTTTTTTTCACCGAGAGTAAAATGAAATTTATCTATTTGGTATTTTGAATAAATTCCTCAATGATATTAATATAGATAAAATATTTGATTAATAATTGGATAATTAATTATTAGTATTTTTTTCAAATTAATTTGTTTTTATAAGAAATATTTTACTATTTAATTAACTGAAATATTTAATGAAAAATAAAATATTATATTTTTAGCAAATAAGTAACTTATGGTAATTTATAAAAATTATATTAATTATAAATATTTTTATTAATGTTAGAAGTTTTATTTAAAAAAAAAATGCACGATGCCCAATTACGTTTTTTCAATCAGTGGTTGCGAATTGTTGTTATTCGCGGATACCCTGAACATGTGAGTTTGAAAAACAAATTACCATGTATCTATAAATTAATAAACAAAATTTATTTTTATTTTCCACTGCAATGGAATTTAATTTTATTTGTTATTGCAATTTATTTTTCCCACGTTGGTAAAATTAAAAAATATATTTTTCGAATAATAAAAATTTTTTGCCTTGAAATTTTTTAAATTTGTTGATCGAGAAACGGGAAAAAAAAAATTAGAATAATTTGCAATAGAAAAGTATTTTTTTTCTTCTAAATATTTGTGAACTACATCGACATTTTTTTTCCACATTTAATTTCATCAAATTGTATAATTTTTACATATATACATATTTTTAAATATTGTTAATTTTCTCTTTCAGGATTCATTGGTTAATAAAATTTCAACTCAATATCAAACACATGGCAATAATATTCTTCTCGTGAAATCGGGTTCAACTGTTTTCAGTAAAATTTGCAATTGTATAAGCCAAGTCTACAATTTCAAAAAATATGACTATCCTCAAGTAACGGAAACCGTAAGTAGAAATAATTGAAATAAATAATATAGGAAATTTTATACAAATTAGAAAATTGAAATTTAAGAAATAAATTTTTTTATTTAGGGCACAAAGAAACGAAATATTGAAAATTAAAATTAAGAGAGATAATTAGAAAAATAAATAAGAGAAGAAAAAAGGAATATTTTTAAAAATCCTTTGGATATATTATTTAGAATCATGAAAAAAAAATATTTTAAAAAATTATCAAGCTAAAAATAATAAAAAATTGTGGAAAAAAATGTGAAATTTTCTAAAGTATTGTTAAATTTTATTCAATCAAAAAATTAACCTTGTTTATCGATGTCTGTTCTTATTTTCTTTCTTTTTTAATATATACCTAAAAACTATAATTATTTTATTATGAGAAATAAAAAAAGAAATGTAATATTTTACTCTTATAATTAATAGATAATTAAATATAATTAATTATTCAATAATAATTATTAAATAATTGTTAAATTGTGAAAAAAAAAGAAATTTTTTTATTTTAGGTATTGAACGATGAGAGATTACAGGAAGCAATAAAATTAACAGCAACTGAAAATGCAGCTCACGAAGGTGGAAATGAAGAGGATGAAATAAAAAAGGCAAAAGAAAGGGCAAAGCAAATTTTATTAAAAATGCAAAGTAGCTTGAGCGATAAAGTTTTAAGGATAGTTGCATGGCTTTGTTTTAAAGTACTTCCATGTTTTATACAATCAGCCGTTGTTCAACCATCGCAAATTGAAATGCTTCAAAAAGCAAATGACACAGGATTACCATTGATTTTTATTCCTTTACATCGAAGTCATTTGGATTACATTATGACGACATTTATTCTCTTGTGTAATAATATCAAATCACCATTAGTTGCTGCTGGCGATAATCTTCGAATTCCCTTTTTCGGGTAAGTTGTACTTTTTTCTTTCTTTTTTTTTGTGCAGAACATTTGAGATGAGATCTTTAGATGAGAATCTAGAAATTTTTAATTTGTTTTTTTTTTTTTTAATTATTTTAAATAATTCCAAACTTGTATTTTCTAAAGAAAACATTAAAAATATAGAAAGTAATTTTTTTTTTTAATTTTGATTTAAAAATGAAATTGTGTTGTGAAATTTTAGGTGGCTTTTAAGCGGTTTAGGGGCATTTTTCATAAAAAGACGAATTGATCCTGTTCAGGGGAAGAAGGATAAACTTTATAGGGCAACATTGCATACATATATAATGGAATGTTTGCGAGCTGGTCATAATATTGAGTTCTTTGTCGAAGGCGGAAGAACGAGAACGGGAAAACCGTGTATGCCAAAGGGAGGAGTTCTTAGTGTAATTATTGATGCCTATATGGATGGTACGATAGAAGATGCATTATTAGTTCCCATGTCAATAAATTATGAGCGTTTAGTTGATGGAAATTTTGTTCGCGAACAATTGGGTCAACCGAAGAAAATGGAATCTTTTAAATCGGCAATTAAGGCAATGTGGACAACATTTATGGGAAATTATGGCATTGTCAAAGTTGATATTTGTCAGCCATTCTCATTGAGGGTAAGTCAATTTTTTTTCTTTCTAATTACTGTTTATTTTTTGTTTAAAAAAAAAATTTTTATTCTCTCGAAATGAAAATTTTTTGTCTAACGTAAATTTTATTCTTTCTAAACAAATCTTTTTTTTTGTAAAATTAATGTTTATGAACGAAAATTTGTTCTAAAATATATTTTATCTATTATAAAGGAATATATATATTTTTTATTATTTTTTTTTTTATTCTTTCTATACTAATTTTTTTTTTTTTTTTTTTTGATAAAAATTCATTTCTTATTGTAAATTGTAAATATATTTTTGAAAGTAAATACGTTGAATAATTTTAATTTATAAAAGAATATCATTTTTTATTTTAATTTTTATTTCGAAATGTTTTTTTTTTTTTTTGTCAATAGGAGATGCTAAAGTTTTTCCAAAAGCAGCAAACGAGATTAAATCCTACGAATAATGATCCTTCACAAAAATGTTTAAAGTACTCAATGTCGAGTTCTTCTCTATTTGGTACAGACGTTGTTGTAGAAGATCGACAATTAGTTGAAAGTATAGCGCGACATATCGTTTATGGTAAGAAATAATAATTTTATAATTTTTAATAATAATATTTACGAAATATATATATATATATATATTAGAAATATTTTTAATTCATCAAGTTTTGAAATTTTCATAAATTTTTATCGATTTAAATATTTTAACTAGTTTAAATTTCAGTGAATCTTAATTTAAATTAAGGATTCAAATTGCAGAATTATTAAATTAAATTATTAAATTATATTAATAAATTTTATAATTAATCTAAATTTAAATTCACTACAATTTTGAATTAACCTTTAATTCAATAAATCGAAAATTCGATTTATATAAATTTTAATTTATTTAAATTTCACTTTCTTTCAATTTTAATTCTTCCAAATAAAATCTATTTAAATCGTATTTTTTTTTAAACTTCAATATTTTGTCAAAATTCTAATCGTTAATTTATCCAATTTCTAATCTATTAAAAACTTAAATTTTATCTCAAATTCAGTTTATGTAAATCTTAATTTTTCCAAAATTTAAATTATCTAAATTTGTTAAACTAGTATTCATATTTTAATTTATTCTTAAATAGCTCAAAGAAAAAAATCAAAATGTTAAAAAAATAGTTATTTAGGGCCTTCATTCTCTTTAATTTTAATTTATTTGTTGAATAACGCTTTTTTATTTCCTCTTCAAAACCTTTTTAAATTCTCAAATATAGCGGAATATTTTCATTTTTGAAAATTTTCGGGTCTAAAAGGGAAGTAAATAGCGTTAGAGAGATTCAAAGGATACTGAAATTAGGTTATTGGAAAACCTTTATATAAAGGGTTGATTTGAAATTTCAATTTGGATATTATATTGAAAAAATAATCAAAAAATTTTAAATATATGACTGTTTAGATAATTTTAGTTTTTGATTCAAAAAAAAAAAAAAATGGTAAGACAATTTGATGAAAAAAAGTTGAAATAAGAAATTATATTATTTTTTAATTGAATCACATTCTATTTTACTTAAATTTACTTGATTAAATTCTACTTAAAATTTTCAACTTTACATTAACAAATTTTTATAATTTAATAATAGTTTAATAAAAAAAATTTTTAATTATATTAAATTTTATTTTATATTTTGCTTTCGTATTGAAAAAGCATGGTGTTGGAAAAAAATTTCTGATTGTAAATTTTTTGAATGTTATTTGATCACCAGGAGTCCAAAAATTGTTTTTTAAAATAAAAAATTTAATTAATTCAAATTTCAATAGATACAAATTTAATTTTGCAATTTAATTTATTTGTAAATTTTTTTTTTTGCCTCCTTTTGGTCACTTATTTTTGCAAAATATAATTCAGCCCTTTCATCTATTTTAAAGAATAAAAACTGCTGTGATCCTTGAGACTATTTTTTCAAAAAAATAACCTTCAGATAAAAAAAAATAATTTAATATTGGTATTCCTAATTAATGAATTAATATACGAAAAATTAAAATATTTACAAGTTTAATTATTATTTAAAGAAAATTGTGTTTCATTTCTGTGTAGATGGCTCAAAATCAACGCCAATTATGTCTACAAATGTAATCGCTTTTTTGCTACTTTACAAATTTCGAGACGGTTGTACGTTGGATGATTTAGTTGAGGCTCTTGATTCAATGAGACAAGAATTGGAATTTGCAAAAAGGGATGTAGCCTTTTCGGGTGAAAGTATTGATGTCATAAATCATGCTGTGAGTTTTTTTTCAACTTTTATTTTTAAAGTAGTATAGATATGTTAATTTTTTTTTTTTTTTTTTGTTTTTGATTTTACAATTATAATTTATAATAATTTCCTTAAAAATTTGAATATCAACGTTTTGAATTTCGTTTATAAGTATTATTTACAATTTTGATATTTTTTCTTTATAAAATTAATTTCAGTATTTTAAATCTGAAGAGATCCAACGTTTTAATGATTTTAAAAAAAAACCAATTTCCATCTTTACTAGTTTTATTTTTAAATTTATAAATGAATTTAGATACCAGTAAATACAAATTAGATAAATTTTTAATGAAAAAAAATATATTATTTTTATTTTAAACTAAAAAAAATTCCTTTATATTTTACATTAAAAAAAATTCCAATATTAAAAAAAAATTAATAATTAACAATTCTAATATTTAAAGCTGGATATTTTGGGGCCTGGTTTAGTAAAGCAACAAAGACAGGAAGTCACTGAAACGGTTAATCATCAAATAATAAAATCAGCGTTTAGAACTGCGATACAGCCAATTTCAATTCTTCCAAATGTAATCGAGCTCTCATACTATGGAAACACAATGGTTTTGCATTATATTTTAGAAAGTATTGTTGGTAAGAATTTTGAAATTTTTTTTTTTCGCTATCAAAGTGAAAAATATTCTATTTTGATATAATATTAATAATTTATTGTTACATTTGAAAGAAATATTTAAATATTATTCTAATTTCAGTGACAGCGTTGTATGCAGACCTAAAATCCAAAATAAATGATCCGAGAGCAATTGCTGAAAATAATATAATAATATTTCAAGACAATTTGGTGGAGAGAGCACTTGAAGTCTGTGATATTCTTAAGTATGAATTTATTTTCTGTAGGCCATGCCAGGAATTGGAGCACGTATTAGTTGACGTGATTCGTAGTCTATGTACATCTGGCATTATTTCATTAATTGAAGAATCATATTTACAAGAGGAAATATGGAGTAGAAGATATGCGAAAACATTTGACGATAGCTCAGACGAAGAATACTCTAATGTTAATCGCACAAAAAAAATTCAGTACAAAGTAAGTGTTTTTATTTACATTATATTTGTAAAGAGTTTTAGTTAACTTTTTTTTTTATAAATAACAATTATATCCATTTAATAGAAATAATTCAATTTTGAAAGAGTTGCAAATTAAAAGTTTTGACTTTTTTCTATTGTTAAAAGATTTTAAACTAAAAATTTCCAAAATAATTCAATTATCAAAGAATTTTATTCAAAATTATGAAATAACTAGCAATATTAAACGCGCGCAAGAACGCCAAATTGAGTATTTAATTGTTTGTTATAAAGAAATTAAAGATTAATATTATCAATAATAATTTAAATTTATTAGAATATTATTTCATATTAAATGATAATAATGAAAATTATTATTATATGTTATTAAATTATATATAAAATTGAATTATTTTCCAAATTTTCAATTTAAAATTCAATTATTTACCAAGTTTTCAATTTAAAATTAAATAAAATTCAAATATTACCCGAAATTTTAATTCAACATCAACTTAAATTAAATTATTATCCAAAATTTCAATTAAAATTCAATTATTTTCCAAAATTTCGAGTCAAAATTAATTATTATCAAAATTTTCAGTCAACAATCAACTAAAATTAATTATTATCAAAATTTTCAATCAACTAAGATTAAATTATTTTCAAAATTTTCAATTTAAAATTCAATTATTTACCAAGTTTTCAATTTAAAATGAAATAAAATTCAATTATTTTTTTAAATTTTTATTCAAAATTAATTATCGAAATTTTCAATTAAAAATGAACTTAAATTAAATTATTATCCAAAAATTTCAATTAAAATTCAATTATTACCCGAAATTTTAATCCAAAATCAACTTAAATTAAATTATTATCCAAAATTTCAATTAAAATTTAATTATTTTCCAAAATTTCGAGTCAAAATTAATTATTATCAAAATTTTCAATCAGCAATCAACTAAAATTAATTATTTTCAAATTTTCAATCAACAATCAACTAAAATTAAATTATTTTCAAATTTTCAATTTAAAATTCAATTATTTACCAAGTTTTCAATTTAAAATAAAATAAAATTCAATTATTTTTTAAAATTTCGATTCAAAATTAATTATCGAAACAATGCCAAAAAAACATTGAAAAATTTTAACCAACACAAAATAATGTCAAACAATACATTTAAAAAAAAACAAAAGACCTATAACAAATACTAACTTCAGGTGTGGACAGAATGAACGAAAGATATTCACGATTATTATATGTAATAATAAAATAAAATAATGAAGTTTTTTTTAAATCATAATAATTTAAATTATATTTTTGAAAATAATTGAATTATCGAAGTATATTGAATTAAAATAATTGTAAGTAATTGAAATTTTGTAAAATTTGATTGAAAGCTTTGAAAATAATTGAATATTTTAATAAGAATTTCATTAATACTTTTGAAAATATGTAATTGAATTTTTTTTTTATGAATTTGAATTTTTCTTTATACAATGTTTATTTAGAATTCACATTTGATAGAAATGAACAAAATTCGAAAATATCAGGGAAAAACAAAAAATATTGTCTGAAAGTCAGGGAAAATTATAATAAATTTTTGTGGCAAGAGATAAAATAATAATGCTCTTTTTTTAACATAAAAATTAACTTATTTTACAAATCAATAATAAATAATAAAATAAAAATAATTAATAATTATAAAAGTAGGAAGTTAATTTTTGAATTAAAAATTTTGCAGCTTAGTCTAATTCCGGAGCATTCAGACCGCATGGAATTTCTCCATAGAATATCGAGACCTTTAATAGACACTTACACGTTTAGTGCATTTTCATTAAAAAAATTGGTGAGCCGCTCTTTGCAAGAGAAAGAGTTCCTTCAAGAAATTTTAACTGAAATTAAAACCAATATCGATGGAGGTGCAATTAGTTATGGTAATTTTAAAAATAATAATAATATTAATACAATTTGGTAACAAAACTCATTAAAAAAAAAATTACTATTTTTTTCTCATTTATAAAAATGTTTTCTTAAAATTTAAAAATTTCAATGAATCGATTTTTTCCATTGTTTGAATTATTAATATTCAACTTGTAATAACATTTTTTTGCTGCTTATAGCAATGAAAATTTTTCAAATTTAAAATTCTACATCCAGAGAAAAGATTTCTTTGACTTGTTTTCTTTAAATTAAAATAAAATTTTCTTTGAAACAAAGAAAGCTTCTTAGTTTCAAAGAAAATTTCTTTAATTCAAGAAAATTGTCTTTGAATTAAAGAAATTTGTCCATTAAATCAAAGAAATTCTATCATTGACACAGAGGGTCAAAGAAATATTTATTTAAATTAAATAAAAAATTTCTTTGAAACAAAGATAATTTTTTCTTGAATCAATGAAAATTTGTTTTTGTAATAAATAAATTTTCTTTGTATGAAAGAAATCTTTTTTCTGTATTTAATTTGTAAATTCAAATTTTTTAATTCCAAATTTAGAAATATTTCACATATTTCAATTGAAAACTAATAATTTATTATTAAAAAAAAAAAAATTTCTGAAATGAGTAATAATAATTTTTTTTTTTTTAAATTAAATTTTAGGTGAAAGTCTATCGATTGATCCAGTGAAAAATTCTCTGAAACTCTTTGAAAAATGGAATGTCCTTGAATGTTACGCACAAGATAAGACAAAATTATTTTACTTAAAGGATGAATACGATGACGATGTTGCCATAAACAGAATATATGAGAAAATAGCGGCTTACAAATGGACGCGTAGCGTTGATTGAGATAGTGGAAAATAAAACTTTTTTTTTTTATATTCCGTTTTTTAATGGTAAACCAATTTTTTTTTTTTACATGAAATTAAACTCTATTTGAGTTTCTTTTATGTTTTAAATTGGTTAAAATATAAAACACGCACAATTCGCGGAATTGCTATAATGCAACGCTCAAAAAACAAGAAAAAAAATTAGACTGTTTTTCCTTTTAGTACGAATTATATAAGAGAAAAAAAAAAAATTCAGTTTCTCAGGCAAAGACTTATATACATATATATATAGTTTTTATATGCGACATAAGAAATTAAGTATATATATTTATAGAGCTCGGGCCATTTTCTACGGGCGAATGAAAAATGTCAGTGACTTTTCTTTTTTTTTTCTCTCTCTTTCTCTCTCTAGTTATATAAAAATTTTGTTACAAATGTGTCTTTATTTTATGACTGAAAATGAGTGCAAGAATACGAATAAATCATTTTCTTTTTTTTTTTTTTTTTTTCTTTTGTTATAAACGGGGAATTTTTGTTGAAAATTCATCTTATTATAATAAAAATTATATTTTTCATGATCAATAGTGTGTCAATAAAAAAAACAATTTACAATATTAAATTTCGTATCGAAAGTCAATAGAAAAATTAATTATATTATATTATATATAAATTCAGAAATGAAAATCGTTAAAATATATAATTTCTAGTATGAAATGTTTTTGGTTATTGGATAACTTCTTCTTAAGCCCATACATTTTTCTCGATCAATAAAGAGAGCATCAATTTTAATTTTTAGATCTTCTTTTAAATTATTTCTGATTTTCAATAATTGTTGATGTTGAGCTTCATTTTTTTGTAATTTGAAATGTATTTCATTTACCAGTGTATTAATTGTCTCGATTTCATCAACTATTCTGTAAATATAATTAATAGCAATTTTTTTTTTCGTATCATTCTGTTTTGAAAATTTTCTAATTGTAAGAATTTATTTTGTTTTAGTTTATTTTTTTAAATTACCGTGAATAGGCATAATCTTCACATAATTCAGAATTTGGTCGATGTGTTCTTGCTTCTAATCTTGTGTGAGCGACTTTTAATGACAAACTTTTGTCGATAATTGCCTTTTTCATTAAATCAATGTTTTTCTCGATGTTGAAAATTTCTTGTTGAACCTATACATATAATGAAAATTATCATTATTTTCTCTATTTTTATAGAATAATAATACCCTAAAAATAATTATTCGGAAAAAAATATCAGTTTCGAATAAAAATTTACTGTACTCGACTCAAGTGAACTTGTGTTTTGCATTTTGCGTCTATTAATTCTGTTATTCTTGTGGCAAACGAATTATTAGAATTTTTCCAGGAATTCCAAATTTCTTGTAGAACTGAATTTATTGATCCTTCAATATCATTTCGTAATTGATTGGATTTTGATCTTTCAATATGGGATTTTTTCACTATATTTTCAGAATATTCCGACCAGGTCTCAGCATTCATAATACTTTAATTTTTTAAATTAAATTGAAAAAAAAAATTATTTACAAATAAAATTTATAATTGATTACAAAAATTTTTAAATTCACCTAATCTATTTGTTTAAAAATAAATAAATTCACCTATAAAAATTTCTAGATTTTAAATAACGGAAAATGAAAAAAAAAAATTCTTTAGATATTTGTAAAAATTCTTCTTTGGTGGTATTTAATTATTTTTTTTTTCCAAACTTACTTATTATTATATTTCTCAATGCCTCCGAAATATTGAAGATCATTACTGAAATTATTTAATTTATGACACATTGTATCTATTCCCAAAGACATTTCCTTATTTTTTATGTCAATTTCAAGTTCATTTTGAGCAGCTCTTCCATTTTTTAGCTTTTAAAATACAAAAAAATTAATTTAAAAAAAATATTTATCTATTTTTTTCGAATTATTATTATTTTGAGAAACTGTATACTTGATTTTTGCATTTCTCAATATATTCTTGGAGTTTCTTTAGACAATTACGAATTGTTTGAATCTCATTTAGCAAAGATTGTTCTGTCTCATCGTGAACTAATTCCGATCCTTTTTCAAATATATAATATTAAATTTTCGAAAAATTAAATTAATTTTTTTGCAAAAAAAAAAAAAAAAAAAAAAAACGAGAGAATTAAATTCATTACAAAATAAATTCGAATTACCTATTCTATATTCTCTTTGATATAAACATTCTTGGGCAATGTATAAAGGTTGATCGATATTTTTAATAACTTCTTCTAAAATTTGAAAACATTCTTGCATTTTTTGATTTTCATTTATAAGACGTTCCAATTCAAAATTAACTTCATTCCTCCAAAATCCAATATCTATAATTCGTTCACCAAGTTTTCGTCCAGATTCTTTTTGATTTTCTTGTACTTTTTCATTCGCTTCGCTGATTTAATTTTTTTATTATTTATTTTCATGTATTATAAAATATTAAATAAAAGAAATTGTAATTATTTTTCTTTAGTTTACATTATATTAGTAAATAATTTAATATCTATTTTCTTTTATAGATTTTTTATTCATTTTAATAATAACTAATATTATTAAAAAAATTTGTATTTCAATTTTTCCCTTATTTTTAATAAAAATCCCATTATTTCATAAAATATATTTTATAATATATATAAAATATAAAAATATTTTTTATCTCATATTTGAATGAATTATTAAAGCAAATTTTATCTATATTTGACTTAAATCACTTTTTATATTTTTTAATATATGTTTAGAATTTTTGTCAATAAAAAAAAATTGCTATTTTTGTACAATAATATTTGTTGGTAAAAAAAATTTTTTTTTTACTACTTTTTCATCTTTTTTTTTAATATAATAAATATTGCATAATACAATATTGTTATAAATATTATATAAACAATATAAATTTTATTAATTTGTATAAAATTATAAATAAATTTTTAATTACAAAAAAAAAAGAAAAATTTTTACCGCATTAATTGTTCAGTGTCTTTTCTTAATTTCGAAGAATATTGTCTATTTGAATCGGCCTCGTTATATAATTTAATTTGATTTTCAACCCATTCATATGGTGTGTATCTTGTGTATAAAGCAGTTTTAGAAGCGTGAGAAGGATTTCGATCAAATCCAGTAATTAAATTTGGAAATTTCAATGGTTCCATTAATATGCCTTTTGAAGAATAACAAGAATCAACAAGAAAATTTGTCATTGTCTTGGATGAACTGAAAAATTAGTAGAAAAAAAGAAAAAATCTCAAAAACTCAAAATATTTTTTTTATATAAATTATTTAAAATTATATTTTCTTTTTACAGAGGATTTAATTCAATGTTCTCATAACCCAATGTTGGTCTCCATGAATGAGGTCGTGGTGTTTTATAATATTCGCCAATTTTTTTAAATTTAGAATCACCAGAAATTTGTTCCATACATGAAGAAGCTCCAACTGAACTCCATGGTTGAAGTTGCTGATTAAAAATTTAAATTTTCTTTTTTTTTATTTTAAATTTTTTACTTCATTATTAATTTTATTTCTAATTTTATTGAGTAATTAACATGTAAAAAATATATTTATTTATTTATTAAGTTAATTAAATGATCAATTTTAAATTAAAAAAGTAATTAAAAAATTGTTTTCATAATTTTCAAGGCTTTAATTTGCTTTTTATTCAATATTATTTTTTTTTCCATTTCTTGTAATTTTGTAATATTGTATTTTTATATTTTTGAAATTTTAATTTAATATTAATTATTAATAATTAATAATTAATAAAATTAATTTTATTCTTGTTTCTTATGTTTTTAATTACAAAATAATAAATAGATAAAAAAAATATAATTACTGTATACATAATCATCTCATCTTGTTTTTTAACGATTTCATTTAACTCCATTTTTTTGCCACGTAATCAAATTTGTGGGTAGGAAAAAAAATTGTCAAATAGTAAAGTTAAATAGAAAAATATAATTGCGAGAAATATTAAAACTATAATTTTAAATATGGAAATAAAAAATACCTGTCAAAATTTTTAAGCACAAATGATCTGAAGTTATTTAATAAATAAATATTTTGTTTTATAGAATATCTTAATAAAAATAATATTTAATGTTTAAAGTGATTACTTGTATTAGTTATGTCATTTGCAATAATTTTTTAATCATTAAAAATTACATAAAAGTTTATGTGTTAAACATTATAGGTTATGTTGTTATTGTATAACAGGAAATTGTAATTTTAAAATGCAATTTTAAATTAAAAAGTAGATTATTTAAATACACTTGCACTGGAACTTACACTTATTTAAAATCTCTAAATTGTTTATTTATTTAAACATAATTTTTCTCCTCTTTTTTATTCAAATACACTCATACCAACCGAAATAACCGGAAGTGTGATTTATATCACGTGTGAATGATCACGTGCATCACGTGTTCCATCGTTCCTGTGTCATGTGATGAAGGGAACGAACCAAAGGCGCTGTCTCCAGTGTCGAGAGCCTTCTGCTAATATTAAAATTTATTAAAAGTTGTCAAAAAAAAAGTAGAAAAAAAATTAAAATTAGTGTTTAGCCAGATAAATAAAAAAAAATGTTTATTAATTTAAAATTACTATTAACACTCGGTATTGTGATTGGGTGTCAAATTTTCACCGTCAGTGCAATTGATTCTGTACCCATTTTATTGTGGGATCATTATGGTAAAATATCATCGTTTGAACCTTTTAATCCTTTTCATACAACTACACAGGATGAATTTAAAGAGATTTTGAAACAAAAATTATATAATTCATCACCACCTGTATTAGTACTTGTTAAGGATATTCTTTGCACTGAAGATATTACACGAAACAAGGAGGTCAGTATAATATTTCATTATATATACGAATAACTCGTGACTATCAGTCAACTTTTGTTGAAATCAATAATTATTTTTTTTTTTTTGTGTTTGTCTTTATTTTTATTTTATTTAAAATTTATTTTAATGGAAATTTTTATTATTTGCTGTTATTGAATATTTATTTGCTTTTACTTTTAGATTTAATTATTATTAGACATAAATGTTTATTATTTTTTATATCTATTTTTGAATTATACATATTATTTTTGTATATTTTGATTATAATACTATTTTATAGTACTTGACTAGTAACACTTTTTAGTATTTTTTATTATTATTATTATTATTATTATTATTACTAGCGAACGCTCGCTCTGTTGTAGTTCTTATTATTATAATTATACTTATTATAGGTAATATATATTTTTTTTAATTTGTATTACAAAATTAGTTAATTTGGTTATTTTTATGAGGTTTTTTTTTCAATTATATTTAATTATTAAATTACCAATAATGTAATAAAATAATTAATTTATAAACAATTTTTTCGTGTATTTTTCCTTATTTTTTTGTAATTTTGGTTATCTTAAATTATTTCACAGAGATAATTTTTTTGTTGTTGATGAAAAAAATAAATAATTTTTTTTTTTACAGAGTTTAATGGATTTAAAAAATGCCAGTATTCTGTATCGCAGTGCTGTTAAATCACCAGTAAAGTACTTGAGGAATTTATTTTCATATCAGCAAATAGACGAGTCACAACTTGAGTCTATTGTCAATAATCAAATGGCAATTGTAAATGTGAAAAATTTGGAAGAGGCTTTAAAAACTTATAAATCTATTCGTGAATCAAGTCCAAATTTAGTGACAATACTTACAGGAAATTCTTGTAATATTAATCTTGAACCAGTGAGAAGAGTACGAAGAGCAGAAGTCGATGTTTCAAATGATACTTCATTATTTTTCAATTCATCCGACGGCGAGGTATTACTCTATTCGAGTAAATTTCCCTCCATTAAGGTGAGTTTAATGTTTTTCTATTCGTTTTTTTTTTTTTTTATTCCAAAATTCAATAAAAAAAAAAAAAGTTTAATTTTTAATTCAAAAATATATTATTTTTTCTTTAATAAAAATATAAATGATAAATATTATATTAAAATTTATGTAAAAAAAATTAATTTTTGAAAAATTTTACGTAAATAACAGTAAAGATTTAAAAAAAAAAAAAAAAATCATGTTTTTTTATAATACAGAAAAAAAATTTCTTTTTATTTTTCAGACAAGTTTAAATGGAAGTTTTGAGGAATTAACAAAATTATCAAATGCATCAGTTTCTAAACGTGTTAATAATTCAGTATTACTTGATCTAACATTTTCATCGCCGTCTTATGCAAAAATAGTGATAAAAATGAATTTCACAAAATCACAGGGTTACTATAATTTAATGAATATTTCATATTTCGATACAGCAGATCATACAAATGAAATTTCATTGTCATGGAAAAATAATTTATATATACCACAAAATTTTTCATATCATTGTGGTAGAGAATTTCTCTTTCAATGGTTTCTCTTTGATGAACAAATTTTAAAAGATAGTGTACAATTGAATTTTTCTGATTTACAAATTCAATTTGATGCCAATGGTAAATTTGGCGAAGTATACGATTGCATTGGATTTACATCAATACCAATATGGACGGGATTATTTGTAACATTTATTCTTGCATTAATTATGATTTGGGGTCTTTCAATGATTGTTGATATTCGTACAATGGATCGATTTGATGATCCCAAGGGCAAGACCATCACTATTTCGGCGCAAGAATAATTTATAATGCAAAAAAAAGAAAAAATTGAACATGTAAAAAATCAATTTTCCTGTAAATATAAGGTATGTTATTTTAATCGTCTTTTTTTTTTTTTTTTAAATTTATGCTGTGAATTCGTGAGATGAGAATTTCTTTTTTGAAACTAGCGAAAAAAAAAAAATTGCGCATAGATAAAAAATGAGATTCAATATAGACTATATTTATTTAGTATAATCATTTTTAATTAGGACGTTGTATCATAAGTAAGGTGGTGGTGGTGGTTTCATTTCACAGCTTGAATCATTCCCTATTCGAGTATGAGTCTGTTTTGCTGTTTGAAAATGTTTATCTAATTATTATTAAATAAGAGTGTAAAATAATAGGATTATACTATGTATGATCTTATTTCACATCATCGTTCAAATACTCTGCACAAAACAAAAATTGTATTTCAAAATATCTAAAAAAAAAAAGAATTATCTTTTTTTTAACTCTACTGATTGAAATATTCATTTTTCTTTTCTTTTAAAATACAGACCTTTGAAAAATCTTTCACAGATTTTTTTTTTTTAATTAAAAAATTAATTTCTACTTTTGTAATAGAGTGAAATGGTTTTTTTTTCACCTTTTTCATTTAACAAAGAAATATGTAAACTCATCAAGCAGTCAGTAAAGTGAAAAAAAAAATTCATTAAAGTTTATTGAGGAATAAAAAAAGATAAATATTCGAAAACTAGAATTATATTATTATATCATGAAGTTATAAAGAATATTAGGAAGAAAAAAAAATATATAGATATCGAAGATTCATTCCAATCTTAATTTTTAATATTATTAATCACGTCTATAGATGAAGCGATTGTTGTTTTTCTGTACTGCCACCTTTCATCATTAATTGTGCGTACAATATAATGTAAAAAAAAAAAAAAAACAAAAAAAGAAAACAAATATCATCAATTTATTGTGCTTAATTTACAAAAAATTGTTCATTAAGCAAGAAACAACTTGTATAAACACTGATTTAAATATTGTATTATATAATAATGATGATTATTCATGTGAATAAATCGTTGATTAATTGTAAAAAAAAAAATTCTTTTTCATTTTTCGTTAAAATTTAACTTTTTGTTCAATATTTTTTAATTATTATAGTTTTTTTTTTTTAAACGTGATCTTAAATTTTATTATAATAAATAAAAGCTGAAGTAAAGAATATTAAAAATTCATGCAATTTTTAACATTTTTTTTAAATTCTATTTTAAAAATAAACAATGTTGATAAACTTTGTTTAAAAAAAAAAACAAACAAAAAATTATTTTTTAAAAAGGACAACTTTTTCTTGGAAATGTTAGGGCATTATTTAACTTCGTATTATACGACTTTTTCGACTTTTTTTTTTTACAAAATTTTTGAACAAAATATTTTTTTTAATATGAAATTCAGATCTTCTTTATTTTAATTATTATATTAAACAAAATTTTTACCTAAAATTCTTCTCTAAATTAATTATTTTCAATATAATTTGAATTAAATAATTATTCACACAAATTCAATAAAAAAAAAAAATTTATAAAAATTCAATAATTTGTTTAAAATTTGAGAAAAAAACAACAAATAAAAAAATTAATAACATTTTTTTTGTTAGGGAAAAATTTTTGTTGTGTTAGGGAAATTGAAAAATTTATTCTTGTGGCAACCTTAATATTATCTTTATTTTCATTTATTTATTTAATACAAATTATAAATATTTGTCCTAAACGGTTAAATAGTTACAAAAATAATATTATAATAAATAAAAATGTAAAAATGATTAAAAATTCTATTTTTTTTTTTAAATAAATTTGAATAACTTTAGTTAAAAAATAAAAAATTTTGAATAAAAAAATAATTTAATCAGGTTTGCCACGGGTTAAGGAAATTAGGGAAAAGTCAGGGAATTTTATGAAAAATACTGGGAAATTATAATTTTTGAAATTTTCATTTCAAAACTTTTGCTTCTAAAAATTGTTGTGGCTATTAAAATAATAATAATAATAATAATAATAATAATAATAATAATAATAATACATTGTAAAAATATCTCAACATTTGTAAAGATTAGAGCTTGCGAATTTTTACTTCTTTTAAGTTTTATTAACTATTTGAATAAATTTTGAAAAACATTTTAAATAAGTATGTAAATAAAATGTTCAAAGTTATATGTAATAATAACTTAATTAATGAAAAAAAAATTTATTTACTATTATAAAAATATAAAATTATAAATTCAAAAAATATATTAAATTAATTATAAAAAATAATTAAAATGCATAAAATATATATAATTTTCGACTCGGTATTACAAAAAATCGAATTTAAAAAATAATTATAATAATTATTATTATATTAATTATCCATAACATGCAGACATTTTCACACCATGCATTACCATAAAAATCATTGAATGAGCCGGCAATGTTATAAATTGTCCAATTTGTTGAACAACAGGATTAAAAGGTGGCAAATCGCCATTCGACAATAATTTTAATTCCTCACCATTCATTTTAATTGTCCTGAAAGGAAATAACATTTTTTTTTTCTAAATATTTAAATAATTAATATTTTCTTTCTATATATATAAAATATAAAAATAACGATTAATTAATTTATTTATTAATTAATAATTAATCTACCTTGATTGTAAATTATCAGCAGTAAGTGTATATAAAAAAATTACACTATTTTTGAAAGATGATTTAAATCCTTGAATAAGAATTTTTATTGGATAATTATTTAAATTCATTCCATAAACAGTAATCGCTGGCATTTTATTAATAAGCGATTTATCCGCCGTACAATGTGCATAGAGTCTAAGTGTTCCAAAATTATTTGGCGTTTCAAGTTTCAATACTTTATTGGATACAAATTCTTTGTAAAAAACACTCAGCCACCAATCGGGATTTGGATTTAAATCAGGTCCCACCATTGCATAATTACCACCAAAAAATGATTGTCTAATAACAACTTGATGACCAACACTTGCTGAATATCCCAATTTATCGAGATAAAGAAAACCAGCAATAAATCTATCTGACATTTCCGGTGCACCGCCACCAAATGCTGAACCTGTCTCTGCTATATATTTGGAAAAAAAAAATTTTTTTTAAATATAAAATTAAAAATTAATTTATAATTTTTTTTAAAAATTCTTTTTCGATTTATTTTACTTACATAGCCACATTGAAATATTTTTCTCGACAGAATTAATGGCTTGTTGGAGAAATTTAATTTGATTTGATAAAATATTGAAAATTTGTGGATTCAAAAAATCTTCAACTTTAGCTTCTCTTCCATTGAGATAATATTGATGCCAAGAGACAAAATTAACGGAATTTTTATTGTTATCCAAAAATTCTTTAACATATTTATCACCACGTTGACTTTCGTTATCAGTATCGCCAATGTGATTTGCCTCAGGACCAATTAAAATACTATCTTCAAATCCAATTTCATTTAATAATAATCGTAAATTATAATAATCTTCCGCCAATTGTTGAGCCGAAATATTAATATTAAATACATGATGAAAAGAATTTGGTTCTATAAAATAATTTTTTTTTTTTTTTAATAAATGTTTTTTCAGGCCTCGGATCGACTTAAAAGCAGAAAAAAAGTTGTTTTAGTCGATTTATATTGCAAAAAAAGTCGATTTTTTTTATTTAAAATAAAAGTTTTGCGGATTTTTAAATAAATTTTTTTTTTTTAAATAATTAATAATTTTGAAAAAGTTAAAGTTGAAATTTTTAGAAATAATTGAATTTCAAAAGATTTACAATTGAAATTTTTGAAATTTATTTGAATGAAGAAACTTTTAAATTGAAATTTTGGATAATAATTTAATTTTAGTTGATTTTCGATTTAAAATTTTCATAATAATTAATTTTGAATAAAAATTTTTGAGTATAATTGAATTTTATTTGATTTTGAATTAAAAATTTTGAAAATAATTAAATTTTAGTTGATTTTGAAAATAATTGAATTTTATTTGATTTTGAATTGAAAATTTGGAAAATAATTGAATTTTAAAAGATTTTGAATTGAAAATTTGGAAAATAATTGAATTTCAAATAATTGAAAAATTTATTAGAAATTTGAGACAAAAATTGAACTTAAAAATATTTTAAATTGCGAAATGCTTTTCGATAATTGAATTTTTCGAAGAATATTATAAAAATCATTAAAATTAATTGAAATTTTTGCAAATAATTAAATTTCAAGTGATTTTGAATTAAAAATTTTGGGTAATTTTATTTGATAATTTTTTTTTAATTATAAACAATTATTAAATTTCACATAAAAAATTTTAATTGAAAAATAGTTTTAAATAATTAAATTTGTGATGAATTTCCATTAAAATTATTAAAAATAATTAATTTAATGAAGAATTTTAGTTAAAAATTTGTTAAATAATTGAATTAAAGAAGACCTGCATTTTATAATAAAAAAACGTAGTTTTTGTTTTTTAAAAAAAAAATTAAAATTTTTTTTAAAAAAAAGTAAATAAAAGTCGAAAAAGTCGCATTTTATTAAAATAAATCGAAAAAAGTCGGAAATAGTCGAAAAAGTCGTATAATCCGAGGTCTGTTTTTTATAAATAAAAAAAAAATACTATAAAAATAAATAATAATTTACCATTTCCAAGTTGCCAGTCAATAGACATTTTTTGTGATTTAGCAAAATTTAAAATCTCCCTTGCATTATTATTATTCCAAGTTCCATTGGAATTTCGTAATAAAACATTAAAATCAAAAAGCATTCGTAATTTTGATTTTTCCACAAATTTATATAAATGAAGAAAATCTTGTTCTGTTATTGTAAAATTGCTAATATCGTTATCAATAATTTCACTTGAATTATCTATAGTCTAAAAAAAATCACTTATTTTAAAAAATTTACTGTGATTTTTATTCCTGTGAGAAAAATAAAATTAATTTTACAAACCTCATTGAAATATAAACAATCAGCTGAAGTTCCACCAATTCTCACATAAGCTGGACTCAAGTGTCGTGCTAAATTAATAAATTTTTTCTCTAAAAGTGGAAATTTTTTCATATTTCTCAATAATGATGAGTCAAGGCCAAAGGATAAGAATTTTGTCGATGTTGTTTGTAAAAGAGATTGTTTGGTATTTAAAAATAAAATATGTCTCTCCGTTTTTTGTAGTGATCGAGTAAAATTCCATAAGGAGAAAATTAAGAAAACTAAGCAAACACTTAGTATTAAAGAACTTATTATGGAATGTTTTCGTAAATCTGAAAATAAATGAAAACAATTTTCTAACCTATTTCTTTCCTTATTATTTTTCTCCACTATTTTATTCTTTTTTTTTATATTTTACATATAAATAAATAATTTTATTTTATTTACTATTTAATAAAAATTAGTTATACACATTAAATTAAGAAAAAGCTTACTATTATACAAGGATGATCCATCTTTGTTAAGATTTTGATACTGATTATTTCCTCGATCTTTTCTAATTAAATAACTCATTGTAACGTTATTTGTATGCTACGATTTCCTATAAAACACTTATTTTTCACGAAAAAATAGAGTTAATAACAAAATTATAAACTCTAAAAACACCGGCTAGTTTTTCAAATGACAGGAAAAAACATGAAATTGTCTACATGAAACAGCTGATCTGTGATCACGTGATTGCAAAATTGAAGAATTCAAAATGAAGCATTCAAATATAGAAAATTAATATACAAAATATTTAAAAAATTTTTATTAAATATCAAATAATATTTTCTATAATTTGAATAGAACAGAAATTTTACTTTATTGGGAAATTTTTAATTTTCTTATAAATTATTAAATTCAATGTGAAAAATGGAAAACTATTTCAATTATTGCATTTTTTTCTCAAGTTGGCATATCATTTTATTTAGGTTGGCAAAATTGAAATTTTCAACTGCGCATGCGCATATCTTCATGCATCGTGCTGCAACAAGCACACCACACACAGTCATTTTCATTAATACGTAGAACGTAGAATTGTGCACATCTTGAGTGAAATGGTCAAATTTACATAAAGCAGAGAGAAAAAAAAGTAAGTAATGCAATTAAATTTAATTTATTACTTTTTGAAATAAAGTAAAAAATAATTAATTATAATATTCAATTTATAACTTTGCGGCAATATATTTAAAAGCTCTGAGACAAATTTACTCTACCGGTTTTTTTTCTCGTAAAATACTAACTATAAAACTATATGTGAAATTGAAAAAAATATGTCGATTTTTCTAGAATTATTTACAAACTTTATTAGCCCCTATTTATTTAAAAATTTTACATATAAGACAAGTGACAAAAATAGTGCCCGTGTAAATGATGTAATTTATTTTTTAAGAAACACGTGTTCTTTCATTCATTAATAAAAACGCTATGCAATTTTTTCTTTTACTGATTTTGCTATGAAATTTAGTTATATGCTTTTTTCCTAAAATTTATTTATTTTACACGTGTTCTTTTATTTTTACGGAAAACTCAAATTTTGCTAATAATTCTGATAATAAAATTCAGGTATTTGGATTTTTTTTTAAGTAGTCATTTATTGTAAAAACCTTTATTTTTTTTTAAAACTTTCCCCACAGTCCATAGGGATATTATTAATAGTATTTATTAAATTAATTATAAATATATAAAATTGTATTTTAAACTAAGAAAAAAATTTTTTTTTTTTCACTAAAAATTATTTTGAAAGAATATTACGTATATTTTGTAATTTTTTTCAATAACAACTTTCATTCAAATTTTATATAATGTATTTTTCGTTAAAAAAATTAATTTTTCAAAAGTATTTTTTTGGGTAGGATTATAGAAACATGTTGAGGCATGCTCAAGGTTATCTGTGTTTATATTTCAATTATCTGGGAATCTAAACAAAAAAAAAATGATCACAATGATAAAAGAGTATATTGAAAATAGTAGGCAGAGGTTTTTTTTTTTTGTTTTGTTTGAAAAAAACCCTAGCAAAATACTTATACCTACATAATTTATAGGTGTATAATATTTTATCAGTGTAATTTAATCTCTGAATGAAATATCGTTGAGGAATTAGTCTTTCTAATTTGAAAGTGAGAATGAGGTTTAGAGATTGCAGAGCAAATTTCTACGAAGTATTTGATACATATTTAAAAAAAAAACGTCGCGTCAACTAAAATTTTATCACTTCTTTAACTCGCTGTGTATATCAAAGTGAAAAATTTTATGCAATGAATTAATAATTATTTGCTTCAAATTTTTTTTTTTTTTTTTCTTTGACATTCTTAAAATTATAGATAATTCTAATTTTTCTTTTGTATGAATTTCTACTTATATTTTTGATTTTCTTTTTATTTTTTCAAATTTTTGTTTTTTTTACTTTTTCCTATAAAATTTACTTGTTTTGGGAATTGAGAAAATTTATTTATTTCATTATTTTTATAAACTAGGCTAAAATTTTTATTTTTTTCTACAAAATCCTTTTTTTTTTTTTTTTTTGATAATTTTAAAATTCTCTTTTTATTTTTTTCAACATTGCATTTCCTTTTCTTTAAAATAAATTCCCGCTTTCTTTTTTTATTTTTTTCAATTTCTTTTTTTTTATATTCCTATAATTCTCTATTTTTCATTTAATTTCTTCTAATTTTTCATTTTCTATCATTTCTCTAAAAATTTCGTACTTTTTTCTTGTTTATTTTTTCCTTAAACTTTTTTTGTTTTTAAATTCAAATTCATATAATTATTGTTGTTATTATTTCTGTCTATGGTATTTTATTATACACGTTACTAAATTTAATAAATATAAAATTATGTTCGAATAAAATTATTTCATTCATAAAAAATACACCTACAAACTTAATAAAATACGAAAGCAATTATAATTATATTTAATAATAATAAAACAATAATAAAGTTAAAAAAAATATTTTAATTAATAAATGTTTATAATATTATTTATGTATTAGTAAATTATTATTATTATTATTATTATTATTATTATTATTAAAAATATTAATATTTATTTGAAGTAATTAAAATAAATTTTTAATAAAAATAGGAATAACGAAAAATTGTTCTCGTAAATTTAAATTGAAAAATTAGTAATTTATACAATTTTTGCATTTTTTAAATTATTTTTTTTTCAAATTTTTATTTATTCACATTTTTTTTTTAGCAAAATTTTTCAATTCTCATTTAAAAATTTTTATAATTAATATTAAAAATAAATTTTACTAAATTTTCATATAAATTTTTTTTTTTTTTTTTTGTTTATTGATTATTAAATTTAGAAAAAGAAAGAAAAATTATTTTTTTCTCGAAAAAATCATGCATCTTGCAGATGCTTACCAAATTCCTAGAAACATATTTTTTGGCCATATGTTTTACAACTAGTCCTCCAGATTAGTCCCAAGGCGTCTCATTTTCCCGAAAAATCAGACCCAAGATACTCATTAAATTCTCATCCAAATAAATTGTATGTATAAGCTTATAAAAATTTTTACTTTACTAAATCTTGTGACTATGACACATATATAATAAAAGAAAATAGGTACATAGTGCGAAAATTATTAAAATTTTATTTATCAATTTCAATTAGAATTCTATTTAAGGGAGACTCAGCATTCTTGAAATTTTTATTAATTTATAAACTATACAAAAAAAAACATTTTTAGATACAAAATTTTATAATTTTCGATCTCAAAAAAAAAACGATTTTTAAAGAAATAATTTTTTAGAATGAAAAATTTTTATAAATTTTTGCCTGTAAATATTGCTTTGTAATGTTTATTAATTAACAAATTGTAAAAAAAATATTTTTTTAAATAAACTATTTTATAATTTTTAATATTATATTTTTCTTCTAATCGTTTATCATATATAAACATTGTGGACTTTAGCAACATCAAAATTGTTAAAAAAAATAAAATTGCTCACACTTTTATTGAAATATTGTTTGAAACATTATTTTATATGAACCGTACTTTTTTTGGAGTATGAAAAAATATTGTATTATGGCCTGGAAAAGTCATGAAATTATTTTCGAGAGAAATCGTACCAACACTGAAATAGGGGAATTTTATTTATTTTTTTTTTCAAGAATCATGGCTGATAATAGAGGTAGGGGTAGGGGTAGAGGTGAAGCAAAAGGAAGAGGGCAATCTCAATCACAGCAACAACAATCACGACAACAACAACAACAATCTCAGCGTCAACAACAACAACAACCACGACAGCAACAACCACAACAACAGCAGCAGCAACCACGACAACAACAACAGCAACAACCACAGCAGCAGCAACCACGACCAGCCTGGCAACAAAAACAACAGCAGCCACAACAACAACAGCCACAAAAACAACAGCAACAGCCACAAAAACCTGCGGAACGTGGCTCTGGTGATGCAAAATCATCTCCAAGAGATGCAGATTTATCTAAACAGGTGGCACAACTCTCAATTGGTAAGTATTTTTAAGAAAAAAAATAATAAATTTTCTAATAGGGTAAATGTACCAATTACGGCGCGTTCATAAAAAATAACTATTATTACTATTATATTTAATATAACTGTTGCAAAATGATTAAAAACAATTATTTTAATCTTTTTTTTTATACAATTACTTATAAAGATGCATATTTAAACAATTATTTATTTAATTATTCAAGATCAAATTTTTTTTCTCGCCGTAATTGAAACATTTGTAAGATTTCCATTGGCTTCAATTACGGCGGGCAAAGTATCTTCAAAATACACATAATTTTGGTCACCGAAATTGATACACCGAAACTGATACAAACGCGCCATAATAAAAAAATTACGGTATTAATTTTAATTTTTCATATTTGTTTAAATAATCAATTTTTATAAAGTTAATTTTTTTTAATATCTAAATAACATAAGCTTTAAGTTTAATAAGTGAGGCATTTCATATGAGAATACGGGGTCATGTCTCGGATTTTTCTCAAAAATTCGGTAAATTGTAGTGATAGTGGTGCTAAATAAGTGTACAAATTTTGAATTTGAAATTTTTAATATTTTTCGAGATATTTACAATAACAAATTTGAGCAATATTTTTTTGCTTTACTTATAACTTTTTTCCTATTAAAAATAGAGAAAAATGTTGTAAATGTTTTTTATGCAGAAGACCTTAAACTTTTTTAAAAAAATATTAATTTTTAAACAATTTGTTAAAAAAATAAAATTTGTTTATAACTTTTAAACATTTAGAAGCGCGAAAAAAATCATGAATGGGTCAAACCATTATATTTCGAATCAAGTCGTCGCTGACTAATTTTTAAAAATTATAATACTTTGCAGGAATGATTTTGAAGTTATCAAGATCACGAAATGAAAAGAATTTTATTAAAATTTTAATTATTTATTGCAAAATATGAATTTAAAGTATATGAGGTGCTGAAAACTGTCAATTTTTTAGCCATTAGAAAATATGCAAAAAAAACAGAATTTACCATAAAAATAAAAAAAAATTGTTGTAATTTACTAAGAATGAATAAATTTATCATTATCAATTGATATAATTATTTAAATATGTGAAATAATATATAAAATATGATTTTCAAGTTCGCCTGTCAAATAACCTAAATTTGCAAATTTCATCTATTAAGTGTGAGAAAGAGAAGTTATTTAATTTGAAAAAACCTTACCAAATATAAAGTACCTGTGACTAACTTTTAGTTTTTCTTAGCACTTTTTTCCTTTTTTATTCATAAATGTGAAATAAAAAGCAATAAAAATTGGCACTTTGCTTATTTTCACTATTTTCAAATGTAAATAACTTTCTTGGAGAAAACTGAAAAATTACAAAACTTGGGCAATATCTAATTGATCACTAACTACACACACTGGAAAAAAATTCGCTTTGGTCCCGAAGATACTTTTTGAGATAATTATGTTTAAATTTTTCACAATTTTTATCAGGTTAATCCATGTGATTTTTATAAAATTGAAGTTAGTTCAAAATTTTTAACCAATAAAACCTAACTTCGTCCTTAAAGAACTACATGTATTAACCTGATAAAAATTGTGAAAAGTTTAAACTTAATTAATTAAGTGGAGGTACTTTATATTTGGTAAGGTTTTTTCAAATTAAATAACTTCTCTTTCTCACACTTAATAGATGAAATTTGCAAATTTAGGTTATTTGACAGGCGAACTTGAAAATCATATTTTATATATTATTTCACATATTTAAATAATTATATCAATTGATAATGATAAATTTATTCATTCTTAGTAAATTACAACAATTTTTTTTTATTTTTATGGTAAATTCTGTTTTTTTTGCATATTTTCTAATGGCTAAAAAATTGACAGTTTTCAGCACCTCATATACTTTAAATTCATATTTTGCAATAAATAATTAAAATTTTAATAAAATTCTTTTCATTTCGTGATCTTGATAACTTCAAAATCATTCCTGCAAAGTATTATAATTTTTAAAAATTAGTCAGCGACGACTTCATTCGAAATATAATGGTTTGACCCGAATATTGTTTAAGTCATAATAAATTGATGGCTAAATTTTTGAGATGGCATTATTTTTTGTTTTCGAAATATTAATTAATTAACTAACAAAAGTTAATAAAAAATGAAATATTTTACGAACAAATAAAATTAGAGTAATTTTAAGAACATCATTAGAATGCTTATCAAAATCCGCATCCAACGAGCCCTATATGATAAATTTCTAATAAACGGATGTTCAATTAATAATTAATAATAAAAATTATTTAAATAATTAATAACATTTAAGGAAATAAAGATAAACCGTCAATTCTTTTTTTATTTGGAAAATCATTTAATTCTGTTTTAAATAAAACCAGTGTAAATAACATTTTTAACAAATCTAAATTATTAACAGATGTTTATTGAAAATTGAGGTTTCAGCACCCTACGACACAAGTTGGAGGGGGCTGGCTACCTACTCGGCATGGTATTTTTCAGTCTTTTTCTAAATAACATTTTATAATTAATTTTTGATTCTTGGTAATACTAAATATTCTTTTTTTGATACAGAATTAGATGGTCTTCCAAATGGTATTCAAATGTTATTAATTATTTAAATAAATTTTATTAATTATTATTAATTTAACATCCATTTTTTAGAAATAGTTCATATAGGGCTCGTTGGATGCGGATTTTGATAAGCATTCTAATGATGTTCTTAAAATTACTCTAATTTTATTTGTTCGTAAAATATTTCATTTTTTATTAACTTTTGTTAGTTAATTAATTAATATTTCGAAAACAAAAAATAATGCCATCTCAAAAATTTAGCCATAAATTTATTATGACTTAAACAATATTCATGATTTTTTTCAGGCTTCTAAATGAGAGAGAACATGTTTAAAAGTTATAAACAAATTTTATTTTTTTAACAAATTGTTTAAAAATTAATATTTTTTTAAAAAAGTTTAAGGTCTTCTGCGTAAAAAACATTTACAACTACATTTTTCTCTATTTTTAATAGGAAAAAAGTTATAAGTAAAGCAAAAAAATATTGCTCAAATTTGTTATTGTAAATATCTCGAAAAATATTAAAAATTTCAAATTCAAAATTTGTACACTTATTTAGCACCACTATCACTACAATTTACCGAATTTTGAGAAAAATCTGAGACATGACCACGTAATCTCATATGAAATGCCTCAAGTCTTCAATTGACTTTATACAATAGAAATGTCGAATTTTCTATTTCAAAGGTATTTTGACTCGAATCGTGCCGTAATTAGTACATTTACTCTAATGCATTTTGTTTAAAATTAAAAAAAAAATACTTATTCAAAATATAAAATGTTGTAATCATGTTATAAAAATAATTTTTTTTTTATTTTCATAAATAAAAAGGACCTTCAGGAGATGCAGGTAGAAAGAAATTCGAAAAGCCTGAAATTTTGCGAACACGACCTGATCATATAAAAATTAAAACAGGTATGTTTAACAGTACTTATTTTTATGGTTTTTTTTTAAAAAAAACATCTATAGGTATGTTATTTCTGTGTTTATTATTGAATTTTTACAGTTTTCAAGCCTCGGATTGTAAGACTTTTTTCGACTTATTTTAATAAAATGCGATTTTTTCTAATTTTTTTAACATTTTTTTTTTTACAAAATTTTTAAGCAAAACATGTCTTTTTTTAATATGCAATACATAATTAATTATTTTCAAAAATTTTAATGAAATTCTTCACAAATTCAATTATCTAAAAATATTTTTCAATTAAAAATGTTATGATTTAATAATTTTTTTTAACATTAAAAAAATCAGCAAATAAAATTATCGCAAAAATTTTAATTAAATATTAATTGTAATTCAATTATTCTCAAAATTTTTAATTCAAAAATTCAATGTTTTTTTTTTAAATTTTCCATCTAAAACTTTATGAAATTTAATAATTTCAAATAATATAGTGTCAGTTAGGGTAAATGGGGATAAGAGGTGTTGGAGCTTAATTTACAGTTTTAAAATGAAGTTCAACGTCAATATTTTAACCTCAGATCACCTACAAGAGGTTCTGAGTATTGCCAAGCTTTTATCTTGATAATTGGCAGCAAGATAAAAAAAAGTTATCGCTCAATGCATAAAAACTTGAAAATCAAAGTCAAACTGTTTCAGTATTTTGTCGAGCATTTCAAAGAAAACAGACTTAAAAATCAAACCAAATTTTTTTCTTATTCCTTATGACTCCTATAACAGAAATTCACTTGAATTTTTGATTTTTATCAATTTGGTTAATAATGACAAGCTGTCCCCATTTACCCTCAGTTTTCAAATTATTGGGGTAAATGGGGACAGCATGTCATTATTAACCAAATTAACAAAAGTCGAAAATTCAAGTAAATTTCTGTTATGGGTGTCAAAAGGAATAAGAAAAAAATATGGTATGATTTTTAAGTCTGTTTTTTTTCAAATGCGAGACAAAATACTGAAATAAAAAAAAATAAAAATAAAAAAATTTCAATTGGTTCATATAATTATATATTACAAATTTTTTTCAAGTTTTTTCATCCCATAATACAGTAATATAGTTAGGGGGATTTTGTCCCCATTTACCCCTATTTTTAATGATTTTTATAATATTCTTCAAAAATTCAATTATCTGAAAACATTTTTCAAATGAAAAATTTGAAACTCAATTTTCGTCTATAATTTCTAATAAATTTTTTTAACAACAGAAATCATCGAAAATTTTAACTTTTCTGAAATTAAATTATTTTTAATCTTTTTTTATTAATATTCTTCAACAACAAAAATCACCGATAATTTCAATCAAAAATTACCTGAAGTTCAAATATTTTTAAAAATCTGATTTATAAATCCTCGAAAATTCAATTATTTCTAAAAGTTTTAACGTTAATTCTTACAAAATTAAATTATTTTTAATAATTTTAATATTTCTTTAAAAATTCAATTATTTAAAAAAAAGTTTCAAATAAAAACTCCAAAATTTGAATTGTTGTAGGAAATTTAAAAAAAAACACTACAAAAGTTTAAATTTGCAGAAAATTTATTTCAAATTTAAAATGTAACTTAAAAATTTGTAAAACTTAATAATTTTGCTAAATTTTTTTTAACCATTAAAACTAAAAAATATGAAAAAATTTTAAATTCGAATAAATTGCTTAAATCAGACTTCAAAAAATTTTTAAAATGTAATTTAAAGAATTTTTTTTTAGAAATTTGTCGTATTTTAACTAAAATTTTGAAAATTTAGATTAGTTCGATTCTGAAATATTAGAAATACATTTTCTTGATAATATTCTTATAGAATTATTTTTATTAGATTTTATTTGATTTATTTTCTCCATTGTGTACTTATTACAAAAGTTTTACAATTGTTTTTTCTGCAAATTTAAAAAAATTAGTAATGAATAAAAATGATAATATGAAGAAATCATTCTCATTAACCCCTTCGCAGTTGAGACCTAAATCCCATAAGTGGGCCCCAAATGTCACTAACTTTTTGAAAAACTAAAATTTGTGCAAACGAGTATACTACTATATTTGAGGTTGCTGATTGCAAATCTCGCATCAGATTTTGAAAATTCAATATGGTGGACGACTTTTTCAAAAAATTCATCGGATTGACTTAATACTTATGTTACTCCTTCTTCTTCTTGTTGTTTAAATGGCCTCTTGTAGAAAAACTTGTTACTTGAGGGTTTTCTGGGTAATCGGGTAATCGACCCGAAAACCCCGGAGTAACAAGTTTTAAGTGAATCTGATGAATTGTTGAAAAAGTCGTCCGCCATTTTAAATTTTCAAAAAATGACATCAGATTCGTAATCAGCGACCCCGAAAACTCCCGAGTAACAATTTTGGGACAAATATATCTGTTTATCTAGCCATAAATCTGCTTGCGTGTACATATACACGTCATCGACAGTTTGAGCCCATTTATTTCATGACGTGTATACACGTCATCGACTGCCAAGGGGTTAAGGAATTAATAAAAAGAATGTAATAAATAATAACATTATTTATACAAAGTTAAAATATTAATCAACTAATTAAATTTAGTTAAAATAAAAAAATCGACTTTTCGAGTTTTTTTTTTTAAATGTAAATTGACTAAAACACTTTTTTTGCTTCTTAAAGTTAATCCGAAGGCTAAGCTATAAAATTAACCTGTTTTCTGTGCAACTTATCTTTAAATAAATTTAAAACAATTACATATACATATATATATAGTTTTATTAAATAATTGTCAAAAATGAATTGTACGGATATAAAAAATGATTATTACGAATTTTAATATTTTTCTCAAAAAATAAACCGCAACGCCTTTAGGTGAAATATACTTAATTGATTGATTATATTAAAAATTTAATTTCTTTTTAAGAAATCATTATGAAATAAATATTATTATCTAGAAAGAAGTAAAATTATTATCAGTATAAGTATTAAGGAGGAATAGGATAGCAGGGTGGCCAGCCAACTGGGAGAAAGCCGGGACTGAAAAATTAATCTGGGAGATTTTATGGGTTTTGTGATTCGCGCAATTATTTGAAAATTGTTCAACTTTTAACCATCTAAAATTTCGTGTTAATTATGTAAAATATATAAGCAATTCCACGTTAGATTGAAGGGTCTATCTTCAGATTCCTTCTATATACTACGTTTAATCTAATTCTGTGTCAAAAAAAGAATATTAAGTATTACTAAAAATCGAAAAGTAATTATAAAATGTTATTTAGAGAAAGACTGAAAAATACCGTGCCGAGATGGTAGGAAACCCCCGCTAAATAAACGGAGCCCGATAATAAGTTCAAAAATTAAAAACAAATTTTATTTTTTTAATAAATAAATAAATTAAAAACTTTAAATTTTTCAAAATTAATTTTTTTTCTTAAACTTCAATATTTTCTGAGTAAAAAACGTTTAGAAAACTTTTTTCTAGGACTAAAAGTGAAAAAGTTATGAGTAATTGAAAAAAAAGTTGCACTAATTTTTTAATGCAAATATCTCGAAAAATAATGAATATTTTTTTCAAAATTTTATTTACTCAATTGGACCCATAACCTCTACCCAAAAACGTAGTATAGAAGGAATCGGAGGATAGAGACCCCTCAATTTCACTTGGAATTGCTCATATACCATCAACAAAAATTAGCTATTTTTATTTCTCACAATAATACAACATTTTTTAATTCTACACTGAAAGAAAATATATAACAAAATTTCGTAAATACTTTTCAATTTAGGGAAAATGTGTCAAACTGAAAAAAAAAATGATATAAAATATATTAAATCTCAGTAAAGATTTTGTATGATTACTATAAATTATGTTGCAGTTCGTAAATATTTACTAAAATTTGAAATACATTTCTTAAAGACTGAAAAATATTTTCAAAAGTATATTATTTTTTGTATCAATATTTCCCATTTTTACTCGTTTTCCTTAAATTGAAAAATGTTTACTAAAATGTCTACTATACTTAATAAAATTTGTTATATTTTATTTCAATGTACTTCATAAAACTTAAATTTTATAAATTTTCATAGAGTGCTTTTGGTGTTCATTATTTTTTACAATTGCATATTACATAAATATAATAGATTTGTGTACAGAAAAAATGTATTTTATAACAGGGAGAAATCTCTTAATTTCTACCGGGAGAAAACCGTGAGGCAAAAATTCTAAAAATAGTGGCCACCCTGGGACAGACAGTTGGAAGAAAAGTTAGTCTAAATGCATTATTTCGATTTTTGAAATAGAAAACACATATTTTAGTGTAATTTTGTTCAGAAGTTGAGTTCAAACAGACAATCGTTTCAAAATGTCAATTTTTTTTTTAATTTACATCCAATTTCAATTTTCAATGACTCATTTTGTTTAAAATATAATTCTACACATTTCGTCTGAAAAAATTACACTAAAATTTGTATTTTCTATTTTAAAAATCGAAATAATGCATTAGGACTTACTTTTGTTTAAGACTGTCCGATTTCCCCTTAATATAAATATTAGTTGAAATTCACTATATAGTGAACTAGCTGTCGCACCCGTCTTCGACGGTTATAATATTTAGATTTAATAAATTTTGAAATTTATAATTACATCCAACTATACGTGTTCAATAATAATAATAATAATTTAAATATAATAATTGTTAATTTCAAAGAGTAAAAAAGTAATTTTCGATTTTTTATTTTTACAATATCTGATTTCATATTCAGATTTGCAATTATTAATTTTAAAATTCTGATAAAATTCTTAAATTAAAATTCTTAAAATTTCTTGTTAAAAGCATACTTAATTGGTCACAAAATTTTAAATAAAGAACGTTTAGTAAAGAATTATCAAAAAATAAAAAATGTTAAATTTTTTAAATTTTTTGAAAGTGTCATATTTTTGTTTAAATTAATATTTTTCATTGGTGTGCAGCTAAGATTGCGTTTAATACCCAACAGACTAAAAACATTATTGTTTTACTTATAAAAAGTTGAACATAACGAATTCTTATATTACAATGTTATTAAAAAAATTGGAAATTCAAAAATTTGATTTAGACTTTTAAATTCAGACTATTTACTTAATTTAATAAAAAAATTGATTGTATTTATGTGAAAAAATTAGGTACAAATAGTTTCAAATCAATCTGACAAAAAATAAAAAATTTGCATTTTTTTGATTTTTTTAAATTTTTTGAAAAAATGTCATAACTTTCGTTCATGTTAATATTTTTTAATCAAATATGGCTAAGATTTTAAGTTACGTTAAGACTGAATACACTGCCAAGTTTCACCTCAATCGGTTGAGCCGTTTTAAAGTTGTGCCGGTACAAAATATTGACGACAGACAGACAGACAGATAGACAGACAGACAGAATTTTTATTTATGGCATATTTGTTATCTTTACTACTTAAAATGATAAACTATGCAAGAAAAAATTAATTTGGAGCAATGTACAGACAAAAGTCTGATTTTATTAATATAGATTAAAATGAATTATTATTAAATATATTTAATAGTTTTACTCTTTATGAAAGAATTTATTATTTTTTGTATTAGAGCCATTTAATTGGTCAGTAAATATAAAATTACAATTATTTTTGTTTTCAGGAACATACGGTGCACTTGTGAAATTAGAAACAAATTATTTTAAATTTAACACAACTACAAATTGGGCGCTACATCAATATAGAGTTGATTTTTCACCAGAGGAGGATCGTACATTTGTCAAAAGACGTTTATTTAATAGAATTTTAGATTCGCCTTTTATACCCAACATTTTTGATGGATCTGTATTGACTACAATAAATGAAATAAAAAACGTAATTTAATTGCTATAGATTTTATTTTTTTTTTTTACATATTTTATAGATTATATAAATATTTTTTAATAATATACTTTTTCTTTCTTTTTTACAGCCTCTTGAGTATACCGTAACTCACACGGAAGATGAGAGCAAAATTGTGCATATAAAAATTCGTCATGTTGCCTCTTTGTTAAATAAAGCCGATTATGGATATATACAATTATTCAATTTACTTTCACGTCGTGCTTTGGAAAATTTAAAATTACAACTGATTGGAAGGAATTATTTTGATCCTAAACAAACGGTATGTATAATTTTAATTTGTTCTTTCTTTTTTTTTTAATGCTTTTTTTAATATTAGTTTTTCAAATTTTTATATATTTATTTTTAAAGAATTGCAAAAATGAATAATTTGCTTAAAATAATACTATTTGAAAAATAAATTTGATATGGTTTCTTTTTAATTTTGAATTATTTTTACAGATTGTTATTCCTCAATATCAATTGGAAGTATGGCCCGGATATTTAACTTCGATTCGCCAACATGAAAATAGTACACTCATGTGTGCTGAAATTGTTGGTAAAGTTATGCGACAACAAACTGTTTATGATATTCTCGCGGAATGCCGTCAAAGAAATAGCCGTGATTTTCAGGTATGAATTAATCAAAAATGTACTATTTCTATAATATGTGATTACAGTGTGACCACCAAACCGGGGAAAATTTCAATCGGGAAAAAGCCGGGACCGAAATTTTACATGGGAGATTTTTTCAAATTTTTTCATCCATCCGTTTACGAGATATGAATTTTTCAAAATTTAAAAATTTTAATGATTTTTTATTTTTGAATGCTCATAACGTTCTTATAAAGGCCTCAATTTTTAGGTTTTTTTTTTTTTTTAAATGTATGTTTTGATCTGAACTTTTTAAAAATTTCATGTAAAAAATTATAAAAATTAAAATTTACTATATTTTTTGTAATTTAAACGTTAAAATATGGTTTTTAAAACTGTTGGTATTCTTCGATTTCTTTTTTTTTAATTTTCAAAAAAACTACTTCCTTTTATAAAAATTTTAAGCCTGGTCTGCTTGTGGGCAAATGAGTCTTTCAATATTTTCAGAATTTTCAAAATTTCACTATCATTTTTGTAATTAGCGCATCAAAATACATAAAAGTTTGTAGTACAAAAAAAGTCGGAGATATTTTTAAAAAAATTCCGAAAATATTGAAAAAATTATTTTGCAATTACCAAATCAGACTTAAAATTTTTGTAAAAGGAAATAGTTTTTTTTAAATATTTAAAAAAAAATCGAAGGATATAAAAACAGTTTTAAGAACAAGATTTTAACTTTTAAATTACGAAAAATATAGTTTTAATTTTATAACTTTTTTTTCTTTTTTTTTTTTGATGAAAATTTTGAAAAGTTTAGTTAAAAACACAAATTTTGAAGAAAAAAAAACTTTTACAATTGATGCATTTTTAAGGAAGTTATGAGAGTTCAAAAATAAATAAATTTTTTAAATTAAAGCCAATTAGAATTGGATTGAATTTAAATTTAGATCTATTACAAATTTAATCAATAAATTCTGCCACTATTTTTTAAATTAAAATTGATGGAAATTTGTACTAACAATAAATTTTTAACCGATGAACAATTTTGATAAATTCATGTTTTTTTTGAAAATAATACAATTTTTTTTACTTTATATATCTCCACTTGGGGAAAATTATCTAAATTAATTAAAAATGGAATTTTGAATATTTTTGGATAAAATTTTAGTTTTTTTTTTCAAAACAATTATTTTTTTTTTACTGAATAATCGAGAAGAAGATTTGAATTTAATTTTGCAATTTCTAATCGATTTATATTTGAAATTGCAAAAAATAAAATGATTAATTAATTATAATTAGATATTTACTGTGGATTATTCATTATGACATTAAATTTATGTATTTTTAGCGAGATTTTAAAAATGAAGTAATTGGAACTGTCGTATTGACAACGTACACGGATCGTACGTATCGTGTTGACGATATTGATTTTAATGTAAATCCTGGACACAGTTTTGAAAAAAATGGAGAAAGGATAACTTATGCACAATATTTGGAACAACGATATCAAATCAAAAACATAAATATGACACAACCTATGTTAGTATCGAAAGCTAATGCTCGTCAAAGAAGGTCGGGAATGCCGGAATTAATTTATTTGGTACCTCAATTGTGCCGTACCACAGGTAAATTTTTTTTTTAATTTCAACTATTCTCGAATTTTTTTTTTTTTTAATGTGACTTATTTCCACATTTATAGTGTATAAAGTGAAATTAATCAATTTTTTTCATTCTATTAGTAATTTTTTTTTAAAAAAAAAAGACAAACTCACAAGTTGAAAAATTATTTAAATAAAATTTTAATATTTTTTGAAAATCAATTTTTGAGTTATATTTTTCAAAAATAATAGTAATAGTTAATAATATTTAAAAATAATTATAAAATATATTAACTAAATTTAAAATTATAATCTATAGAGTCAATTGGGGTAAATCGAAACAGTAGTTATTTCAGTTAACCCTTTCAGGGGCAGTGGGACGTATACGTCCCACCTTTTTTGTTGTATTTTTGGTATTTCCGGTATATTTATCTAATAATAATCATATATTTCTTATTTTTAGATTCTAAGGATATAATATAACGAATCTATAATATTGTTTATGAATAATTTATTATTGTTAACTTAATATTATTCCATCAATCTGAAAAATATGCATTTTTTAAATAATTAATTCAGCTATTTGTAAACGCGAAGTGCTACGACTTTGAAAATCTTTACTCGGGGGTTTTTGGGGTCCCTGATTACTAATCTGAGGTCAGTTTTTCAAAATTCAAAATGGCGGATCCAATATGGCGGACGACTTTTTAAAAATATAATGAAACAAAAATTTGTATGCTTAGAATAATGTGCCCCTGAAAGGGTTAAATAAAAAAAATTTTAAATAAATACGGCCTTAAACCTTGTTGGAGGTGATCTAAGGTTCAAGGTTTGAGGCTGTATTTATTTAAAAAAATGTTTATTTAACTGAAATAACTACTGTTTCAATTTACCCCAACTGACCCTAATTTACTTTATTTATTTTTTAAAAATATTTAATAAAATAGTTCACGTAATTATTGTTTTTTTTTTTATGATTGAATAGGTTTAACTGATCAGATGAGAAACAATTTTCAATTAATGAAAGAAGTGGCAAAATACACATGCTCAGAGCCAAGTGTGCGAATTCAAAAACTTTTGTCATTTAATCAAAGAATTTCACAAAATGAGAAAACAAGCGATCAATGGAAACAGTGGGGACTTTCTCTTGGTAGAGAATTAGTACCGGTAAATGGTCGACAAATGCCACCAGAAGAAGTTCATTTTGGAGGTGGGGCTGTCGAAAGAACTGATGACTGGACACGAGCACTACAATCAATGAAACCAATTGTATCGCAAGGAGTTTTGAACAATTGGTTCATATTACATCCGAAATATTCCAAAAGCATTCCGGTAAAAATTTTATATTATATATATTTTTTTTATTTCAAAATTTATTTATTTCTACATTCAAATTTTTTTTCTATAAACCGAATTTATTTCAATTAAATTTTTTTTAAAATTAATAATTGTTTAAAATTAACAAAAAAAAAAACAAAAATTACCGAAAATTTTAATTCAAAATCAATTGAAATTTAATTATTTTCAAAAAATTTAATTTCAAACCTAAAATTTAATAATTTCAACTATAACTCTTCCGAAATTCAATTATTTTTCATAATAATTTTTAACAACAGAAATCTGCGAAAACTATTTTTTACAGCTTTAACAGGCCTTGGATTATACGATTTTTTTTCAAAAATACAATTTTTTTTCGACTTATTTTTAAAAAATAAGAATTTTTCGAATTTTTTTTTTACATTTTTAAACAAATTTGTAAACAAAATACGTTTTTTTTAGTATTCAATGCAGATTCAGATCTTCTTTATTTCAATTATTTAACAAATTTTTAACTACATCTGTGTTTGATTAATAAAGAATTTTTTTAATTAAAAAAAAAAGAAGTAAATTAACCTTTTTTTTTATTTTCTTCTTTAGACATTGCTTGATTTGATGCTAAAAGCATCAAAAGGAATGAAATTCACAATTGGAAAACCTCAATGTGTTCCTTTGGAGAACGACAATCCTGTAACTTACGTGAATATGATTGAAAATATAATGAGCAAAACAACACCGCAAATGATATTTTGCGTTGTATCAAGTGCGGCTGCGAATCGTTACTCTGCAATTAAGCAAAAATGTTGCGTCGATCGACCGGTTCCATCGCAAGTCATAAAGGAAGCAACAATTAATCGCAGAAATGCATTATCAATCATGACAAACGTTGTAATACAGATGAATTGCAAAATTGGAGGTGTTCCATGGAGAGTTCCTTTACCCTCTAATGACGTTATGGTAATTGGTTTTGATGTATGTCACGATACATCAAAAAGTGGTTATGATTATGGTAAGATTTCTTCTTATAATTTAAATTTAATTGGTTTTTTTTTAAATTTTATATATTTCATTTAAAGCCACTGCTGTTTTTAATAATTATCCCACAATATTCTATAATAATATTATTTTAGAATTATTTTTTAATCGCCTTATATAATATATGGGTAAGTTTTTTAAATTATACTCCTAATTAAAACAGGTTGAAATCTACTAATTGCAAAATTAATTTCATTTAATTAAGTAGGAGAAATAATTATTTAAAAATTGTCAATTGTTTACTAGGGGTATAATTGAGGAGCAAATTTTCAAAACTTGATAAATCCATTTTTCAAAAAAATGGAGATAACCATAAATTTAATATTTTAAGGACCTCACAAATCGATCTGTCACTGTTAAATTTAAGAAAAAAAATTTATTAATAACAAATTTTTTATTTAAAAACTTATTGACATAACCAAGATGATTTACAATTTGTATGTTTTATATTAGAAAAAATTACCAAAACCTGTAAATCACTCAATTATGACAAAGTTCAATAATTAGAAACATAACGTCTTGAATATAAAAACATTGTTATAGAAATAAATTATTATAAATTTTTTATTTTAAAATTAACTCTAGTGGTTATGTGTGGAAAGTCATTTGTTTGAATTTCTCGAAATAAGAAAATATGGATTTATCAGGTTTTTTGGTGCATCAGATGCGCATTCTACGGTAGAACTGTTGTAGAGCTGTGCAAGTTTTTAAAATTCGAACCGCTCCATAAGAATTAACTTGGGCTCGAATCGAATATTCGATTTTGCACAGCTCTAAACTGTTGTACTATGGGTTGCGGGCAACTGTTATCCTGATTTGGCGTGTCAGAAGCGCTGAAAGGGACATCAGACGCACTGTACGGGACATAGGTTGCACCAAACCGGGATAACTGATGTCCGTTTTTAAAGTACAAAATTTTTTTAACTAACCAGTACAACCGGTGCACCAAAATTTTTTCCGTGCAGGTGAGATTTTGATTTTTTCGGAGTAGGTTAACCGATTGCAATGAAACTTTGGAATTTTGTTATATATAGTAAGACTAATCTTTAACGTAAATTGCAGCTTAAAATATTCGTTAGTTTACAAGATTTGCAATAATAACAAAAAATTTAAAACTGCTATATCTTCCGTTCTAATAATCGGATTGAAGTCTACTTTTTTTTAAAATGTCAAGGAAAATGAGAGGAATAAATCTCTTTCAGAACAATTTTTTATAATTTTACAATTAAAAAAAATTATTAAATAATAATTGAATAAATTTCACGCGACAATCTAAAATTCAATCACTTAAGGTATCACATCGGTAAAACCGTTTTCTATAAATTTTCTTGAAAATTTTATCATATGTTCTTATTATCATTCTTGACAAATTTGCAAAATATGAAGAATTTTCGCCCTACGAAACCAGAGATATTAGCAATCAAAGTTGCTTATTTTGCATGGGAGACGGGACTAATGTATGGGGGAGAAGTACATTTTCATAAATATCATCAGAAGTTTTCTATAAATTTTTTTCAAAAAGTAATGTTGAATTCACGAATAAATTTGGAACTAGAATATACAAAGAAATTTATAATTTACCGTGCCGTTTATTTGTAATTATAAATTAAAAATTCTATTTCATTACGTCATTTGCAATATATAGCACACCCGCCACTTTGATGTGGCAACATCGCAGGATGGTAACATTAGTTAGAGAGAGACAGTAGTCCACAGTAGTCAAAGCGAGACTTATAGCGACGTTGTCAAACCTCCTACTCCTTCCAATCGCTGCTAGTGTGGGGTATACGTGTACGAGTGTATTTGTAGAAGTAGGTACAGTATGGGCTGAGAGTATAGGGAGTTGAGGGCGAAAGTATAGTGCGGGAAGTAGTAATGCAAGCTACAAACTTTTGACTCCGATTAGTGCCGATGTGATACCTTAAACGCTAAAATGAATTTAAAAATCGTTTATCATAAACATTGCGTACTTCAGCATCGTATATTTGACAATAATTTTTTAAAATTTCGTTTTAATTTTACTGATGAATATTGTAGTGTAAAAATGTTATTTTTAAATATTTGACAAAATTTAAGAGAAAAAACATATCTGGAAAATGTGGAATTTCAATTTAGTTCATAAAATCATAAAAATTTCATAGAATTTTTGGTTTAAATCATCAAATTTTTTTTTTATTTAATTTTTTCATCAGACGCGTATTTATTGATTATACAACTGAATTTACTATTTACCTATTTCAACTATTTTGATAATAATTTGTCATTTGTTTTTTTACATATAAAGCGATTCCCCTCACGTTTAGATATTTAAAATTCAGAAAAAAAATAAACTGGGGTATAAACCACCGCAGGGTGGGGCAAATAGGGGTTACTTAAAAATGGATACTTGGATGAATTCAAAATTAAATAGATTCAAATTTGGATAAATTGAATTTTCAATTAATGGTTGATTAGAATTAGAATGAATTTAAATTTTTTGAAATTTGCTCTAACATGACTGAAAGCTTGGTGCAATGCAATTATTTATAGAAAAAATAATCTATAATTTTGTATTCGCTAAATTAATATAAGCAAAGGAATGTAAGAAAATAATTTATTTGATTTAAATAATCGGTTACTTGACTATTATATCAAATAAATAAGTATTTGCATTAAATAATTATTATTTGAATCAATTAAATGGTATTTATTTCAAATACAGAAATTATTGATTCAAATTAAGTTTATTTAATTCAAATAAAAATTATTGTGTTCATGTAAATATATTCATTTGATTAGTCAAAATAATCCATTATTTACCTCCATGAAGTTGGCGTTGACGTTCAGCGCCGAAAATTGTTTTTTACAAGATCAAAAATGTCAAATTATTTTTTTCAAAAAAATTTTTGCTCGAAATAATGCCTTGAAAAATATTTTTTAAGGTATTATGTTGACCCAAAATCTTTTTAAAAAAAGATTTTTTATTTTTTTAATTTCGTGAAAAATAATTTTCAACGCTAAATGTCGACGCCAACTTTATGGAGGTGATTATTTGAAATACATTTTTTTTTTTATTGTACATTGTAAGAAAAATTCACGGTTTTTCCGGTCAATTTGAATTTCCGGTTTTTTCCCGGTTTTTCTATGATGTATTCCACATCAACTTCGAAATCCATTCGTAATTGCATTTCCGACTTTTTTTTATTACTAATTAAAATTACTAATTGAAACTAGCTTTTATGGTTTTTTAAAAATTTTTTTAACAAGCCGTTTTCGAGATATGAATTTTTTTTAAAAATTTCAGAATTTTAATGAATTTTAATTTTTCTCAATTGACGTACTGATCGATTTTTTTTTTTCAAAAAAAAAATTTACTTCCTTTTACGAAATGGAAAATTTTAAGCTTAATCCGATCGTGGATAAATTCTGAAATTTTTTAAAATTCATATCTCGAAAACGGCTTGCTAAAAAAAATTTGAAAAAAATCATAAAAGCTAGTTTCAATTAGTACTAAAAGAAAAAAAAAAAAGGTTCAAAAAAATCGGAGATGCAATTGCAGATAAAACTTCGTATTTAGCGTGGAATTGCATCATAGACACCCTATTATTTTTAATATATATTTAAAAAAGTCGTATTTTAATTTTCAGGCGCCACAATTGCGTCGATAAATCCTGATTGCACTCGTTACTATAGTGCCGTCAGTGAACACAAAAAAGGTGAAGAAATATGTGATACTCTAGCAGATCAAATCAATAAAGCTCTCAATAGTTATTTAAAAATGAACGGGAAACTTCCCCATCGTATTTTTATGTTTCGCGATGGAGTTGGCGAAGGCCAACTCAATCAGGTAACTAAAGTTGAAGTCAATCGAATTCAAGGTATGCTGAAGAGAGTGTACGCCGAAAACAATATGCCACTCGCTGCTCTAACTTATGTTATTGTTACAAAAAGAATTAATAGTCGCTTCTTTTTACAAAAAAATAACCCAAATCCAGGAACAATTGTCGATGACGTTATCACAGATCCGGATAAATATGATTTCTTTTTGGTATCTGCAAAGGCTAATGTTGGCACAATAACGCCAACTTATTATAATGTTATTTTAGATGAAAATAAATTAAGGCCTGAGATGCTCCAAAGGTTCACCTTTAAATTAACTCACCTGTATTACAACACGAGTAAAACCGTTCGAGTACCAGCACCATGCCATTATGCGCATAAATTGGCATTTTTAGTTAGTCAATTTATACACCAGACCCCATCGGAATCACTTGCCGAATTGCTTTACTTCCTCTAAAGCAAAATCTTGATTTCTCTGTTCATTAATCTTTACCAAAGGGTATTTTTTAAATTTCAATTGTTGCTTGCTTAAATTTTAAGACAAAAAAAATTTCAGTTTTTCTTTAGTATTCATTGTTTACCAAGATAATTTTTATTTATATTAATTCGTTATTACATTTAAAACGAATTTATTTTATTTCTATTTTTTTTTAGTTTATTTGTTAAAAAAAGTAAAGTTTAAAATCTTTACGAAAAGTTAATTATGAAAGAGGGAGAAAATTTATTTTTTGATTTAAAAATAAATAGAACAAAAATGAATGTACTTTCGTAAAATAGAAAATGATAAGAAACGAAAGTAAAATAACTTTTAGTATTTAAAAGACTAATGTAAAAGATATATATTTGTATTAAAAATGGTGATTTAATTTTACCTTACAAATAAAATATATTTTTTTTTTTTGTAATGAATTTCTTTGTTCTTTTTCCTACAACTATTTTTCAGTTTTTTTTTTTGCAGTAAGTACCTATTTTTTATTTTTTTATTAAAAATCAGATTATACGACTTGCTCTAACTTTTTTTTAATATTATTTTACAAAATTTTTAAACAAAATACGTCTTTTTTGGTATACAATTCAGATCTTCTTCAATTCTTGTTTATTTCAATTAATTAACAAATTTTTAACTAAAACTTTTTTTCTAAATTAAATATTTTCAATAATTTTAATGAAATTTTTTATAAATTCAATTATCTTAAATTATTTTACAATTAAAATTTTTTATGAAATTCAACAATTGTTTACAGTTTTTAAAAAAATCAAATAAAATTACCAAAAATTGCAATATAAAACCTTTTAGAATTAAATATTTTTTTTAAAATTTTCCATCTAAAACTTTCTGAAATGTAATAATTTTAATTATAATTTTTACAAAATTCAATTATTTTTTTTAATGATTATATGATATTCTTTGAAAATTCAAAAACTGAAATCATTTTTAATTAAAAAATTTTAATGTTTAATTTTTGTCTCTAATTTTTAATCTTCAACAACAAAAATTTCCAATTCAAAATCAGAATAAAATTATTTTTAAAAATTTCTATTTAAAACCTTCTATAAAATTTAATTATTTCTAAAACTATGAACTGTAACTATTCTAAAATTTAACGATTTTAAACAATTTTTATAATATTCTTCAAAAATTCAATTATTTAAAATTATTTTTCAATTAAAAACTTTTGAAATTCAATTTTTCGTCTGTAATTTCTAATAAAATTTTCAGCTACAAAAATCACCAAAAAATTTCAATTAAATATCACTTGAAGTACATTATTTTCAAAATTTTTTAAATTATTTGATAAATTATTTTCAATTGTGTAAAATTTAATTTTTGTTTGAAATTTAATAAAATCTTTTAAAATTCAATTATTTTTAATGATTTTTATATTTTTCAAAAATTTACAGGGTATCTAACGGTCAGGGAAAAGTCAGGAAATTTCTGTAAATTTCTACAAAAATTAAAATTTTTTGTGAATTTAAAAATTTTTTAATCTAAAAAAATTTGAATGGTTTTTATTACCATTTGTTATTACCATTAAAAATTAATTTATTGTTAAATATGTCAGTAACAATATTTTTGTCTAAAGAAAGCAGAAATAAGTTTATTAAAAAGTCAGGGAAAAGTCACGGAATTTTTTTCTCAATCTTTGTTAGACACCCTGATTCAATTATTTGAATTCTGAAAGCATTTTTCAATTAAAAATATTTGAATTTCAATTTTTGTCTGTCAATTCTAATAAATTTTCCATAAAAAATAAATCACAAAAAATTCCAACTAAAAATCGCTTGAAATTTTTTTTATTTTATTTATTTGCATCAAAAATATCCCACGGTTTTAAAACCATCAAAGGGCATTAAAGTTCAATTATTTTCAAGAATATGAATTGTGTAAATCTTTGAAAATTTAAATTTAAAACCTTCTAAAATTTTTCATATAAAACTTTCTGAAATAATAAAAAATTCAATTATCTGAAAGCATTTTTCAATTGAAAATTTTCAATTCAATTCAATTATTTTTAATAATATTAATATTTCTTAAAAATTCATTTATTTAAAAAAGTTTAAAATAAATTCTCTTGAATTGAATTGTTGTTAGAATTATTTTTTAGAAATTTGTCTTAATTAATTAAAATTTTAAAAATTTACATCTTTGATTCAGAAATATTAAAAATAATATTTCTTGATAATATTAGAATAGAATAATAAGAGAATTAATATAGAATTATTCTTCTCCAAAAAAAGTCGATTTTTTTATTTTAATTAAATTTAAATAGTTAATAAGTATTATACTTTAAATAATTAATGTTATTAGATATTAAATCAATTTTAGTAAATTCTTAATAAGAATTTTAATTAATTAGGACAAATTTCTAACAAAAAAATTTTTTTTTGTTAACAATTTAATTTTGGAGAATTTTATTTGAAATTTTTTTTTAAAATAATAGAATTTTCAAACAAATATTAAAATTATTAAAAAATAATAATTGAACTTTGGAAGATTTATAGTTGAAATTTTTAGAAATAAATCAATTTTAGACAATAATAAAATCGACTAAAACGACTTATTTTTGCTCCTTAAAGTCGAACCGAGGCCTGAAAATAGGTAAGATAATTTATTATTTTTTCAAAAAAAAAGTGCCCAAATTTTTCTTATAAAAATTTTCTCATACTTGTTGCTACCCTGAATAAAGCTGTTAAAATTAATTTTTTTTTTTTTTTGCAGAAATCGAGTCAAAAAAAAAAATAAAAAAAACTTTCAAATATTTAACATTTATTTCACGGCAAAGAAAATTCATATTACAAAAGAAATGATTTTTGGAAAATTTCATTTTACTCAAGTTTTTCTTTAATATGATTAAAAAGCTTCTTAATTATTGCTTGATGTATAAAATAATACATAATAGTCTCGCTTGAGTAATTAAAATTTTATTTTTAACTTTTTTACTTAATTCTAATTTTGAAAAGACGATGATATCCAATTATTATTATTATTATTATTATTATTATTATTATTTCAGCTAAATGTACTTTTAAAAGCGGTTTTTTTAATTAATTTATTTTTTTTTGAAGGATTAAAAACATATTAAGTACGCGAATAGAAAAAGTACAATTGACGCGAGAGTTTATTTTGTTGTTTTTTTTTTTTTTTTTGGATTAGCTCAAGTTAGTCAAGAAAAAACCACGATTAATTAATAGTTTTTAATGACGTTAGCTAATCGATAATAATAATTATTATTATAATAGATTTGTTTTGTTTTTTTTTTTATATATAAAATTATATTAAATAAGGCTAGGTGAGCTTCTTGGCTTTCTGATAAAGAGTGTCGACAACTTTTCCCATGCTGTGTATCGTATCAAGTGCTATTTCATAAGTTTTATCGCGAGGCGTATCTTCGAAAACAATAAGTACACCTTCGCCCTGATCCAAGACACCTTTTAATTTCTTATCGAGTATCATTTGAGACAATTTTTTTTCAACTTGAGCGATTGGTAATGATATGCATGTAGCTATATGAGCCACCTGAAAAAAAAAGAAAATTCAATAGAGAAATTAAATATATTTTTATATTTTCTAATTTCTATAATTATTAAAGTAGTATAAAATTTTTATTTCTATATTTTGAATATATCTGCAATTTAATTAAGTTTATTGAGACGTATGATTATAAAAATCATTAATTAGAATTTTTATTTTAAAATATTTTAATAGAAATAATTATTTTTAAGACAAATTTTCAATTTTTCAATTAAAATTTGAATGATTTTCCCGTTATACTAATTTCCTCATAATAAAATTTTTAGCTACCTAATTTTTGTTTGGAAAAAAATTTTATTTTACAGTCATTTTCTTTACATGACTTTTTATTTTAAAAAAAGGTATTTTAATTTAACACAATTCTTATTCAATCGAATTTTATGTGATTCGAATTTTTAAATGACAGAAATTCCAATTCACCGAATTTTAATTTGTCCTAAAGACGCTGAATTTTTATTTGTCCGAAATTATAAACAGCCAAAAAAAAAAACAATCGACAGAATTATTTCAGCGCAATTTTAAAAATTGACCAATCACAATTTTCTTGATAATTTTTTCAAATTGGTCAATTTTTAAAATAGCGCCAAAATCATTCTGTCGATTGATTTCTTCAGCCATTTGTAATTTTGAACAAAAGAAAATTTAGCGTCTTAAAAATTCAAACAAATTAAAATTCGGTGAATTAAAAATTCTGTCATTTAAAAATTCGTATCACATAAAATTTAATTGAATGAGAATTCTGCTAAATTAAAAATTGATTAAATTAAAATTTTCTTGAATACAAAAGTCATGAAAATTAAATGACTGTAAAATAAAAATTCTGCCAAACAAAAATTCGGTAGCTAAAAATTTTTGTTAAGTAAAAATTTGTATAAAAAGAAATTCCATCAATTGCTAATTTGAAAAAAAAAGGAAAATTCGTCTAAAAAATAATTATTTTTAATAAAATTCTTTAAAATGAAAATTCTAATTAATGATTTTTATCGGACAATTATGCGCCCCATTAATTAAATTGAAATTTTGTTTCAATCAACATCATAAACGTTAATGTGGACTTGAGAATTTTTGCCCTTTGTATATAAGAGAATTTAGATAAAAAATTTAATTTTTCCAATTTAATGCTACAAAATAACATTTTGAATTTAATTTTAAATTCTATCATTTAATTGAATCAATTATTTTTTTAATTAATATGCAATTAAATTTACCTGCACACGCGAATAAGGTTCGACGATACGACAAAGATTTTGTTCCAACATTGAATCGTATAGTGATCCAAGATGAGCTCGAACAATAACATCCTCCTCGAGTTCCTGTCGATATTGTTTAACAGCGGCTTGAAAATCGGCTAATGAACGTTTATGACTTGCATCAGCGACTGAACGCATTGCATCCAAATCTTTGCCCGCATATTTCACCGTCAATTTACCTGACATTATTGATTGAACGTCTTCTGGTGTTCGTAACATTATTTTCGACAGTAACATATACTTGAGTGCGGTCAATGCTTTTGGACATTCCACACTGTCATATCTTTCAATAAGAAGAAAAAAAAAAAAAGTTTAGAAAATCGAAACTTGATGGAAAATATTATTTATTTAAACGATAATTATAAAAAATTTTACCCTTCAAATGCTTCGTAAAAATAGGAATAGGCAGTCTTGAAATCTCGTTCGTCAGCTGCATGTAAAATGCCCGATTGAAGATCAAGTGCGGCTTGCATTTTTGGTGGGCAGTAAATGGCATTTGCTGTTGTACGTGCACTAGTCAATGCTGCCCTTGCTTTCGATAGATTACTAAGTGCATGATAAGTTTTACTCTCGAGAAGTTGAACTTCAACGAGTAATTGTTTATCATCCAATTTTTTCAGTTCCTTAAGAAGCGCCGAGCCCAATTGCAATGCATCGCTAAACATTCCCGTATCGAAATAAAGTGCAATCAATCTTGCCTCCAATGATTGTCGCAAAAATGTTCGACGTTCCTCTTTTGCCCATTCTATACATTCTTTGCATAGTTGAACCTATTATTTAAAAAAAAAGACATTTTTATTTTAAATAACTAATATTATTAGATATTAAATCAATTTTATTAAGTCCTCAATTTTAATTAAGTAGGACAAATTACTAGAAAAAAAAAAAAAATTCTAAAAACAATTCAATTTTAGAATTATAGTTAAAATTTTTATAAATAATTAATTTTCCGACAATAATTTAAATTTTACAGAATTAAAAATAATTTATCAAATAATTTTAGATAACATTTTTTAAAAGTAATTAAATTTTCAATGATTTACAATATTCATATTTTTGAATTTCAATACTTCAAGTGATTTTTAATTGAAATTTTTTGTGATTTCTGTTGATAAAGAATTTATTAGAAATTATAGATGAAAATTGAATTTCAGCAGTTTTTAATTGAAAAATACTTTTAGATAATTGAATATTTTGAAGAATATTATAAAAATCATTAAAAAAATAATTGAATTTTGAAAGAGTTATAATTGAAATTATTAAATTTCAAAAAGTTCTAGATGGAAACTTTTAAAAATAATTAAATTTTAAAAGGTTTTAAATTGAAAATTTTTGGTAATTTTATTTCCTGATTTTTTTTTTTAAATTGCAAACAATTGTTAAATTTCATAAAAATTTTTAATTGAAAAATATTTTAAGATAATTTAATTTATGAAGAATTACATTAAAATTATTGAAAGAAAAATTTATTTAGAGAAAAATTTCAGTTGGTTAGTTCTATACTTAAACAAGACATATTTAGTTAAAAATTATTTTTTTTTTTCAATGTAAAAAAAAGTAAAAAAAAGTCGCATCTTATTAAAATAAGTCGAAAAAAGTCGTATTTTCGAAAAAAAAAGTCAGAAAAAGTCGTATAATTCGAGGCCTACAAAATAAAAATAATCTACGAAATTTACAACGTTCTTGATCATAAAACAAATATTATTTTTTTAAACAGAAAATTATAAAATTTTTTATCTACAAAAAAAAAGTTTTTCATAATTTTTTGATCAATAAACATTGCAAAAAATATTTGAGACGAAAGAGGAGGATTTTCCATTCAAAATAATATTTCTTTACAAATTGTTAATCAAAAATGAAAAATATTTACAAATTATAATTATTTCTTTCACTATATTAGAAAAATATTATAAAATTGTATAAAAATAACAAAACTTTTGCAAATTAAGAAAAAATTTTTTTATAAACTCGAAAATTTCTAATGACTTTTAGTATATTTGAAGAATTTATTTAAAATATGAAACATTATAAATAACTTTACTGTTTTTTTTTAAACAAATAATTTTTCATGAAATAAATTAATAAAATAAATAAAAAAAATTTTCATAAAATAAATAATGTTTTTCAACATGTCTATTAAAATTTAAAATTTTTTTTTGTTTACATAAAAAATTATTTCGCAACAATTGAATTTTTATAACCCAATAAATTTTAATACAAAAAAAAAACTAAACTTGGATAATTTAAATATTATTAAACAAATTTACGTGTTTTTTTTTATCTCAATTTTTTCTATATTTCTTCTTCGGAATTAAAATATAATATTCTATAGAATGTGTATAAACGTGTAAAGTTTTGGCTATTGTAATTAAAATTTTGTTTCAATAGAACGGAATATAGAATAAAATTCTTTTAAAAAAAAGTTGATTTTCTACTCCAAAATGTAAAAAAAAATTATTTTTTTGAAATTTAATGATTATCTTTAATGATTATTAAATCAATGAAATTCATTAAAATTACATTAAATTAAACAAATAATTGCAATTACACCTTCAAGTAATAAAATAACTGAAATTAACTTCAATTAATTAAAATCAAAAACGAAGAATATTTGTAAATTATAAACATTTCTTTCACTATATTATAGAAAAATATTTCAATAGTATCAAAACATAAATTTTTGCAAATTTATAAAAATTGATTTTCTAACCTCGAAATTTCTAATGACTTTTAGTATTTGAAGAATTTATTTTAAAAAAATCTCGAAACTTTATAAATAAACTATTGTCTAAACAAAGAATTATTTATATTTTTCAACATCAATATTAAAATTTTAAATTTTGTCTGTAAAAATTATTTCTCAACAATAAATTCAATTAAAAATTTTGCAATCCAATAAATTTGAATAGGAAAAAAAACTAATTTTGAATAATTTAAATATAATTAAACCAGATATTTTTTTTTAATTATAATTTTTTCTATATTTTTCTCTTTAAAATTAAAAATATAAAATTGTATAGAATATGAATAGCAAAACAAAATAAATAGAAATATAAATTCAATTGCAAAAAAAAAAAAAAAAATTTGTTTTACCTCAATACCAATACCAGCTTCTAAATCGAGGAAAAAGTCGACCAAGGACCTGACGAGTTTGGCAGCTTTTGCCTTGCTGATGAGACTAAGAAAAGGCCTAGTTGCTTTGATAAGGTCAGCTAATTCTTTAGCTTTTCCCTCTTTTTTATAAAGTTCACCCAATTGAAGGATGCCTTGTTCCTTAATACGAATATTATCCTCATCATCATCGGCGATACTTGGATCGGAAACAATTGCATTAAGCTGATTGATGCCTTCATTTCGATTTGTCATAGACACCGCCAACATCGTTGCACCGGCCATTTCTCTCTTTTAAATAAAACAAATACAAACTTAATTAATAAATTCACTAATTTTCTTTTGATAAATTAAATTAACTTTTCAAAAAATGTTTTACAGAATTAATTTTTTTTTGCTTTTTTGCTTTATTGTTTTGTCAAATTTTTTTCATTCACTTTGATTTCACTTTAATATTTCTCTCTCTCTTTCTTTGCGAGCAACTGTAAAACTCGTGTCATGCTTTAGAAAAAAATGCTGACGAAGATGAGAAACAGCGTTAATTTACTTTCAATCTCATTGTAACGATTTACTGTCACTTGTAAAGGGCATCAAGACATAAATTTAATGTAATTTATCATATTCTACGTTAATTTGCCAAAAATAAAAGAATTTTATTCAATTTCTACAAACCTTGGAAATAAATAAAAATCCCAAAAACTTGACTATTTTCTAATAAAATACAAATTATAAACAATTTATTTTTTTGGACGAAAAAAATTAACTCAACCTTCCTAAAGATTAAGTAGAAAACTAAATTTTTAGGTTAGTTTATCTAAACTCGATTTGTGATTGGTTGGTGTTGTTTTTGTAATGGAGTCGTGGAAAGAAATGGCGTCAAATTTAAAAAAAAAAAAAAAAAAAAAAAAAAACAGTTGTCATTCTTTATTTTTTAATAAAAATATTTCCTAGTTGCAATTTTTTGAATTTTCTAAATATTTCATTAAAAAGATCAAAAAAAAAAAACCAAAAAGATTTAATAGGTAGATTTATTTTTCTTTCAAACAAAATTTTAAACAAAGTAAGACAGCTGATAAACATTATGCGCAAAATGGATGCGCGTTAATTTTTTGAAGGTAAACGTCAAAAGTGACAGCAATGGAGTAACAGTAAGCTATGTACATAGCTGTATCTGACTTACATACACATACCTGGATTTACATACATCTAACTGGAAATAAAATTTAGTACTGGCTACCTGTATATACAAGAGGCCATTTAAACAAAAAGAAGAAGAAGGAGTAACAGTAAGCACAAGGAGAGTTCAACACTATAAATTCTCCTCTTCGCATTATAAAATAAATAAACTTTCTTGACAGTTATTAGTTATTTTATAGTGAAATGTTTTAATAAAATTAGTCATATATTCTAATAAAAATACAAATTTTCTTTTTGAATCTAAAATTTTCAAATTTTGATATTTCCATTCTTTTTTTTTTTTTTGTCGCAAATAATTGGCAAATTTAACTTTTAAAATTCATTGTGAACTCGCGCCCAAGTGCCTTTATAATAGGCGTCGGCTATATCTCCTTGTCGTCGAATCAACAATTTCATCGAAATATGGCTAATTAAACGTAAGATTTTATTTCTTTTTCCATATTGCATATACAGTCAAGGACTCGCGTGAATTTTGCGAACCTGCGTTTTTACTGAAATGAAATAGGTTATGCTTGGCAAAGAGAGGCAATCATCATCACTCTCACTCCTGCAGTGAGAAGAAAAGAACGTAAAAAGCGGTAGTTCGGAAATCGAGAAGTCGCGTTAACATGTACAGTGAATTGTAATTATTTCAAAGGTAAATAATACAAATGAAATCATATAGAAAGACCATAAGTGATTTTATGTGCATTTTGTGAGGTAAATTTCTCGCGCGAGAGTGAATCTAATTTGTCGTCGGACTTCTGTACATTAACCTAGTTTTTCTGTGCGGGGGGCATGGACCCCCCAAGGTCTTCTCGTTAATCTCATTTGTATATATATATACACACCAACCGTATATTTGTCGATTCACACGCCTTCTTCTTTTATTATTATTCTATTGAAAGTGTTTCTAACAGGAAATTATACTTTTTTCTTTTTTTTATTTTTGGACATACATTTCGCGATTAGATAAATATACATCACACATTTGCAATATTTTCTGACTCATTGTGACTCATATGTATGTGTTGGTTATAGTGCCGGAATTATATACATATGACATGTTTTCTTTTTTTGTTTTGTGTTTCTTGATGCACAAAAATTTCTTATAATTGTTTGTTATTTGTGTTGTGTGATTGCAGGAGTTTTTAGTTAAAAAAAACAAAATAATAAAAATGCCTGCTCCACCGCCTCCACCACCTCCTGGATTCAGCTTAACGAATTCTACATCTGGAGATCAAGGCAGAAACCAATTGCTTCAATCAATTAGAAGTGGAAAAACATTGAAAAAAACTGTCACTAATGACAAAAGTGCACCAGCAATTAGTGGTATTTAATACATATTTATCTATCTTTTTTTTTTTTTAATCATAATATCCGCATTTCGTGGAGAAAGCGAGAAATTTATCACTTATTTTTTTTTATCTTTTGTACTTTCAAATTAATTTTTTCTTTAATTTGTTTTTAAATATTTTTCTTAAATTTGTTTTGAAATTTGCTTTGATTTTCTTTTTGTTTTAATTTTTTTTTTTCAAAACAATTATTTTATTAAAAAATGTGTTGGAAGCATTTTTTGTTTAAAAACTTGTTGAGAATATATATATATATATATATATATGAGTAAATCGCATTGTTAACAATAAATTCCTTCTGATTAGCTGTTTGTTTATCAATTCGACATTTATGTGTGTGCGATGAAAGGTCGCATGTAATATTTACAGGAAAAACGTAAACAGTTTCTAATCTTATTTCATAATTTTATTTTTTCAATTAAAGAAAAGAGCTTTATTAATAAATTTATAATTTTAAATTCTTCTTTTGTTTTTTGTTACTAATGTTTATTTATTTTAGAGAGAAATTTATTTCACAAATATAATATACATAAATTAACTGATTTTAATTTTTAATTGTAAATTTATTTATTGGAATTTTTTTTATTTATTTATTAAAAAAATAAAGTAAAAAAATGTTTTTTTTTTAAAAAAAATAAAAACAGTTTCTTTATTTATAAATAATTATAACGGAATTTGGAATAATAGAGAAATATTCTCAAGATGATATCTTGTAATTTTATTTATTAAATCTGTGTTACTTTCTGTAAATGATAAAAACAATGCTACTTATGAAGCTCATAAAGTTATAATCCAATAAGAATTGTAGTGTGCTCCACATATTTTGCTTATTGAATTTCATGGAATAGTTTATGGTTTATTAAAATGATATAAATTTTTGTTTTTATTTTATATTTAAATACAAAAATAAAAATTTTAAATATTATTGTACTAATTACAGTGAAAGAAAAAATCAAAAAAGAATCAAATTAATTCAGTCATATAATTAAATGTATTTTTATAAATGAATTTTAATTTCAAAATTTCTTTTTAGTAAAAATATCGAAATTATTTTTCTACTTTTAGAAAAATTGTGATTTTTATTCAAAAATGCAATTTTTAATGGTCAGGCCTTAGATTATACGACTTTTTTTCGACTTATTTTAATAAAATGCGACTTTTTCGACTTTTTTTAACATTTTAAAAAAAAAATTAAACAAACTATGTTTTTTTTTAGTATACAATGCAGATCTTCTTCAGATCATCTTTATTTTAATTATTTAACAAATTTTTAACTAAAATTCATCACTAAATTAATTATTTTTAATAATTTTAATAAAATTCTTCACAAATTCAATTATCTTAAACTATTTTTCAATTAAAATTTTTAATGAAATTTAATAATTGTTTATAATTTGAAAAAAAAAAATTACCAAAAATTTTAAAATAAAAATCACTTGAAATTGAATTATTTGCAAAAATTTCAATTATTTTTAATGATTCTTATAATATTCTACAAAAATGCAATTATCTGAAAGCATTTTTCAATTAAAAAAATTTTGAAGTTCAATTTTTGTATGTGATTTATAATTTATTCTTCATCAATAGAAATTTTTCTTATTATAATTTATTATTATCTGAAATTTAACACAATCTTTTGAAATATAATTATTTTCAAAAATTTCAATTTAAAAACTTCTAAAATTTAATTATTTCTAAAAATTTTTGAAATTTAATTAGTTCAATTATAACTCTCTTGAAATTCTATTATTTTTAATGATTTAATGATTATTTTACTTGAAGTTAAATTAATTTCAGAAAATCAAAATTTATAAATCTTTGAAAATTCAATTACTTTTAAAAAATGTTATCTACAATTATTTGATAAATTATTTTCAGTTCTGTAAAATTTAATTATTGTCTGAAAATTAATTTAAAAAAAAAATTAATTAAAATTTTTTTAATTATCAAAACTAAAAACTATGACAAAATTTTAAATTCGGATAAATTGCTTAAATCAGACTTGAAAAAATTATAAAAATTGAACATTTAGAAATTTTTTTTTTTTTTTTGAAATTTGTCCTACTTAAATAAAATTTTGAAAATTTTTCTTACAATTAGTTCGATTTTGAAATATTCGAAATAAATTTTCTTGATAATATTCATTATAGAATTATTCACATTACAGAATTAATAAAATTAATATTAATTAATATTAATTATTTAAAGTAAAATATTGATAAACCAATTCAATTTTGTTAAAATAAAAAAAATCAACTTTTTTCGAATATAAATCGACTAAAACGACTTTTTTTGTGCCTTAATGTCAATCCGTGACCTTAAAATGGTTCAAAATTTAAATTTTTTACTCAAATTTCCTGAAAATTTTGCCTTTATTCAATTCGATTGAAAAGTATCGAAATTAAATGAAAGAAAAAATATATATAGAATAATATTATATTTCAAGTTCACTATTCAATGTTCATAATTTAACTAACAAAATTTTTACAATTAATAGCAGGTATAAACAATTATAAATATCTGTTGATGGGTTTTTTCCTCTTATACACGCAAGTATAAGATGTAATTAAATTTTATAACTTTAAATCAAACTTTTGCATATCTTCGTCTAATATTATTATTATTATTATTATTATTTTGACTTTATTTAATAATAGATAACAAAATAAGAAAAACAAATAGATTCTTTCTTAATTAATAATTTTACAATATATTGTTTTCTTAGAATGAATAAAAGTCTCTTATTTAATTGTGAATTAATTTTTCAGGAAAAATAAAAGTAGCAAATTCAAATTCATCGAGCATTGGAGGAAATAATAATTCGAATTCCAATGTAACGAGTAATATCAGCAGCAGTAGCAGCATTAGCAATGGAAGTCCAGCGGGACTTGGTGGCCTTTTTGCTGGGGGAATGCCAAAACTAAAACCCACTGGACTGAGGGGAAATTTAGAGGAAAGAAGCAATGGAAATAGTGTAAATAATACTAGTAGCAATAATGCTCATAGCACTCATACAATTCCAAGTGTGAAACGAGGTCCGCCACCTGTGCCGCCACCAATCACGCAGAAACCACAGGTGAATATAATAATTAAAGAAAAAAAAAAAGAAAAATTCACTTTTCTCACGAACATATATATATTCTCTAAAATCCTGAATCACTTCTCTTTATTTAATAATAATTACCACGTGAATCACATCTATCTCTCTTTCTCACTGTCAATATAATAACCATCAATCATTTCTATATCTTATCTAACGTAGATTAACAATCATTTTTTTTTATCCATTGTTTCTATTATTCAATTTTCTGAAGAAAAAAAATAATAATATACCAAAAGTTTGAATAATACTTTATGTAAACGATAAATTGTCATTAATAGTGTGACCCAATCAACTTTGAAAACTTGCAAATCGTCCAAAAGAAATCGACTTGAAAAAAAAAAACTTTAAATTTACGTTAACTTTTTCGTATACACTTTGCATTTTTTAAATCTTTCATTAATGATATTTCAATTTTTAGACTACTTTGACAAAAAAAAATTGGGACTTTCTCTTTTAATTATATTTTGAATTTAAAAAATTTAATTTTTTGAAAAAGAAAACATTTTTAAAATCCATACAATTGTGTGTTCAAAATTATACGAAAAGTGTAAAAAAAAAAAAAAAAAAAAAAATGGAGATGAAAAATATTAAAAATTGTGGAAAAAAGTTGAAATTTCAATTTTTCCTAAATTTTAAATTCTACATTACAAAATTTGTAAATTAATAAATTTTTTTTCTAAATCCTAAATACAAAAATTCAAATATTTTATCAGAAAGTTATACAGGGTGATTTTTATTTTCTGGACCCATTGAACTTTTTTTTTTAATCTCATTTTTTTTTTGTTTTTTATACAAAAAAAAGTGGAATTAAAAAAAATGTTTAGGTGGTCCGGAACACTTTTTTCAATTTTTTTTGACACTTTTTACAAAAATTTTTAATTCAAATACATTTTTTTTGTATACAATACAGATCTTCTTTATTTCAATTATTTAACAAAATTTTAACTATAATTCTCCTCTTAATTATTATTTATTTTCAATGATTTTAATGAAATTTTTCATAAATTTAATTATCTTAAACTATTTTACAATTAACAATTTTACGAAATTCAATAATTATTGTTTAAAATTTAAAAAAAAAACCGAAAATAAAAATATCAAAAATTTTAATTAAAAATCACTTGATATTCAATTATTTTCATAAATTTCAATTTTAAACCTTATAAAATTTAATTATTTCAAAAATTTTCCATCTAAAACTTTCTGAAATTTAATAATAATTTCAACTATAACTCATTCGAAATTTAATTATTTTTTAATGATTTTTATAATCGAAATTCAATTGAAAATTGAATTATCTAAAAGTATTTTTCAGTTAAAAACTTTTAAAGTTCAATTTTTGTCTGCAATTACAAATAAATGTTCCCTCAAAAGAAATCAAAAAAAATTTCAACTAAAAATCACTTGAAATTTTTTTTTTTTTATTTATTTATTTGCATCAAAAATATTCCATGGTTATAAAACCATTAAAGGGCATTAAAGTTTAATTATTTTCATAACTATGAATTCAAAATTTTTGAAAATTCAATTATTTTTAAAAATTTCAATTTAAATAACCTTTATAAAAATTTAATTCTTTTTAAAAATTTTCACCTTAAAATCTTTTGAAATTCAATTACTACAAAAAATCTAAATTCTAAATCTTCGTAAAATCAATTAATTTCAAAAGGATTATCTAAAATTATTTGCTATTTTTTTCAATTCAAAAAAATTTAATGATTTTATTTATTTATTTTATAATTTATTAAATTATTTCTAAATATTTCAACTGTTACTTTTCCAAAATTCTTAAAAAAAACAAAAACAAAACTATGTCAAATTTTTAATTCAAATAAATTGATTAAATCGAATTTCAAAAAATCTTTTAAATTAAACTTTAAAATTATTTTTAGAAATTTATTCTACTTAATTAAAATTTTGAAAATTTGTCTTAGTTCGATTCTGAAATATTTGAAATAAATTTTCTTGATAATATTTTTTTAATAAGAAATTAATATAATGAATTTAATAGTAACATTAGTTATTTAAAGTAAAATATTTATTTACTAATTAAATTTAATTAAAATAAAAGAAAATGTACTTTTTCGACCTTTTTTTGGGAATGTAAATCGACTAAAACGACTTTTTTTTTTTACTTTAAAGTCGATCCGAGGTCTGTATTTATTAACTAATTCATGGTTGCCCCGGTCAGGAAAAAGTCGGGGAATTTTATGAAAAGTACTGGAAAAATATCAAATTTCTAAAAATGCTATTAAAATTATAATTTTTGAAATTTTCAATTCAAACTTTTGCTTCTAAAAATTATTGTCTTACATTTTCATAACTGTAGGTCTTGGATCGACTTTTGAAAGAAAAAAATGTCATTTTAGTCGAATTTGTAGAATAATTTAATTTTAGAAGATTTTAATTAAAATTTTATAAATAATTAAATTTTCAAGAGTTTGATTTAAAATTTTGAGAAGCAATATTGAATTTCAGGAGATTTTTAATTGAAACATTTATAAATTCAAATTAATGAAATTTTTTTTTACAAACTTCAAACAATAATTGAATTTTAGAGAATTTTCAACTGAAATATGTTCTAAATAATTAAATTTTGATGAAGTTCAATTACTTTTTAATAATTTTAAAATTTCTTTAAATATTCAATTGTATTTAAAAAAAAATTTCAAATAAAAACTCTAAAATTATAATTACAGTTGACGAATGCAGATTCAACATTAAGCAACACAACGGATGGTCAAAAGGGTTTTGGAAAATTGAGTCATGCACCGCGACCACCGCCGCCAACGATTGCGGCACCAAAAAAACCATCGCCACCACCGAAAAAATTAAGTCTCACAGCGGGAACAGTTGCAAGGGCGCAAAGTATGCGATTACCACGTTCATTGCCTGTTTTAGCGCCAAATCCCTCGTCACTTCATCAATCGCAGGATTGTCTCAATGTCACGGAAATGCAACAGAGACGAATTCTACGACCACCAATTGTCAGACCGCCATCGCCGCCAATATCGAGAGCAAGTAGTACAACAACAATAACAACAATGAGAGCAGCACCGCCACCGCCAACGCGTGTTCCTGTGACAGCGCCAAGTATACCGCCACCACCACCTCCACTTCCTCATCGTGCAACGGCCGGTCCCACACATCAAAGGATAGCGCCACCACCTCCACCCACACCTCCCACACGTGGCTCATCAATTAAAAATGGTCAGCCAATATCAATTGATTTAGAAGCAAGGTTTTCCCATCTGTTTCATTCGATTGCCGAGTTCCCGTCACCCGAACCCTTTACAGGATGTCCCAAGGTCTACAATAGTAAATTAGTCGGTGAGGACAAAATGCAAAGCCTTCGTCAATCTTTAATCAATCTCACACTTAAACGTCATACATCTTCTACTTTTGATGTTTAGAAAAGAAAAAAACAAATTAATTCGATCATTATTAAAATGATTGCTCTCTTTCTCTTTGCACTAATTCAAATTTCTTTTTTCCTTTTTCTTCATTACGCATGTTTTTTCAATGCGCACGATTTTTTTTTTTTTTGGTAAATATTGGTGTCTAGATTCTTCCTTTTGTATATATATTTCAAATAAGATTATTTCAAATAATCTATAAGTGAAAATAGAAGCTATTTCTAAAACTAGTTTTATAGGAGTTTTCTTTGCTTCTATATACGATATATTGCAAATTATTAACAAATTATTAAATTCCATATGCAATTACATCTCCGATTATTTGGAAACTTTTTTTTTTTTCTTTTAATATACTGATACATTCATGATTTTTTTTCAATTTCTTTTTGTAGCAAAATTTTTAGCTATCGCAATTTTGTTTGTCAGAATATTTATTTTACACGCATCAGTGAAGTTTACAACGTTTATAATAATTGATTAAAAACAAAAAAATATTTTTTACACGAAAAATAATTAAATTTTTTATTTTACAAATTTATTGTTCGAGGAACGTTGAAAAATATGATTTATTATTTAAAATAATTTCAATTTACACGAATTTTAATGTAAGAAAATTTTCATTCAACTGATTTTTATCTGATTCGAATTTTGAAATGACAGAAATTTTCAATTCATTGAATTTTAATTTGTACAAATTTTCAATTGATAGAATTTTTGCGACGCCGAATTTTCATTTATCCAAAATTACAAATGACCGAACAAGCAATCGACAGGAAAGATTTCGGCGTAATTTTTTAAAATTGACCAATTAGAAAGTTATCAATAAAATCGGACAGGGTTTCTATAAATCCTGAAAAACATGAAAATTTCATGGAATTTTTTTTAAATTTTCGTATCTAAGACTCGAATTTATCACCTAGAAATTATTGATAAATCATAGAATTTCGTGAAGAAAAATTTGTAATTTCAGACGAATGAAAATTCATCGTTTTAAAAATTCTACCTATCAATTAAAAATTCGTACAAACAAAATTTAAATAAATTAAAATCCGGTGAATTGAAATTTCTCTCATTTAAAAATTCGAATCACATATAAAATTCAATATTGAATAATAATTCTGAATTTTTTTAAAATAAAAAGTCATGTCAAAAAAATGACAGTAAAATAAAAATTCTGACAAACAAAAATTCAATGGCTAAAAATTTTATTAAATAAATATTCGTATAAAAAGAAAATTTGTCAAATTTTAATTCAATTAAAAATTCGTCTAATAAAATACATATACTTGAAAATAAAAATTTTAATTAATGATTTTTAATGGGAAATTCATTTGTCTCGTTTACAAGATATGAATTTTTCAAATATGAAAAAAAATTGCTTGCTAAAAAAAATTGAAAAAAATCATGAAAGCTATTCTCAATTAGTACTAAAAGAAAAGAATGTTTCAAAAAAATCGGAGATGCAATTGCAGATGGATTTCTAATTTGAAGTGGAGTATATCATGTGTAGAATTTTTTTTTTAAATTTGTTTAATATTCATATAATAATTTTCTTGATTTCAATGCTATTGATCACTTAGAGAGGAAATTCTTGTAGTCACTTTCTTTGGTATTTCATGGGTATTTTCTTGTTTTTTTGATCTTTTTTACAATACTGAATTTCACAATGTTTAATATCAATGATCTTTGTCACCTATTTCATCTATTTTGATAATTTTTTTTTTTACCTTTTTCACCTTTTTTTTCAATTTGCGGATGTAATATTTCGAAAAACAATTTAATTTACAATATAAGAAGCATTAATTTAAGTTTATGAATGTTGTTAAAAAAAATCACAAGTTTAAAAAGTACTATTATTTAACATTTCTGAGCTTATATTAATTTACAGAATAAAAAATTACAAATTTACATTTTTTCTATAAATAACTAAATTGATTAAAATTAAAATCTATTTAAATTTAAATTCATTTTAATCAATCAAAAATTCAATTTATCCACATTTAAATTTTAATTTGAATTTCAATAATTTTAATTCATCAAAATTTTAATTTAATTTAATTTTAATTGTTTCAAATTATAATCGATTCGCAAATTTCAATTTAATTTCAATTCCTAAGTGACATTATTTTTAATCAATTATTCTAGTATTTTTATTGATCAAAACAAATTTATTCATTAAAATTTTAATCAAATGCAAATTCAATTGATCGAAACTTAAAATCAATGAAATTTCAATCTATCTAAAGACTAATCGATTTAAGTTTCAAATTATCCGAATAGATGTAAATTAATTATTTTGCACATTAATTGGTTTTAATTATCAGTTTTTTTATAACTGTTTTTTTTTTTAAATAAAAAATTCCCTGAATTTTCGTCTCAAAGATATTTCTTGCAATGTTTATTAGTCAACAAATTATAAAAAAAATAAAAATATTTTCAGATAAATTTTATAATTTTCCATTTGCAAAGAAAATTTATTTTACAATCGTGAATTTCAGCGTTGTAATCTTTTTCTGGTTCTCTTGATTAATTTTCTTGATTTCTTGGGTATAGAATTCTCATAATTCGCAATATAATATTTACATTCTGTTAATTTCATGTTTAATTCTTTCACGATAATAATTAATTTGCGGATAAATTTTAAAAGGTTTTCCTCTGTGTATATTTATTAGAAATTTACAAGAGCTATAAATTTTGTTTATTATTATTTTTTTTTTACAGATATGGAAGAGTGGGTCCTTCTTTAAGGAACATAAATAATTTATTATATATATATATAATATAGATTTAAATTTTTGTCACTTTATGTTAAGCAATTAATTTATTTATTATTATTTTGTTTATAAACTTTAAAAAAGTGTTCTTGTGATTAAATTCCAAAGAAATTAATACCATTTTAAGATTTTTGTTGTCTTTTTTTTTTCTTAATGACCTTGAAAATTGAAATTCTGTTCCAGTTTTTTTCTTTCTTTTATAATTGATTAATTTTTATCAAAGAATAAAAAAATGTATTAACATTCTTTTGATAAAAAATAATCAATTATCAAAAATGAGGAGCAATTTTTCAAAAAAATTGAAATAAACACAGATTTAAGATATTAAGGACATTACGAATCGATTTGTCAAAGTTGAATTTATGAAAAAAAAAAAAAAAAAATTTATTATCAAAGAATTTTCAATTTTAAAAACATTTGGGCCTAATCTAGATGATTTGTAATTTTTTTTTTTTTTTTTTTATTGGAGAAAATAGCCAAAATCTTTAAATTCCCTAATTATAATGGAATTTTATCACAAACAAAAAACATCTTAAATCCAAAAAATATTTGTTTAAATTTCTCGAAATGACAAAATATAGATTTATCAGCTTTTGAAAAATTCCTCCTCAATTGTCGAAAACAAAATTATTTTTTTATTAATTTTTTTTTTTTTTTTTTTAAATTTTCCCATACTTCTCGGTAAAATTTTTTAATATATTTATCTTATCTGTATAATTTTTGAAAATTTATCACAAAAATTTAATAAAAAATCGTTTTTTTTAAGAATTTTTTTTTTTGAGGACATTAAAAACATTGACGGAAATAATCATAAATAATGCTCTGATATGAGAAAAACAAAAATTTTTAGCACGCTTTAGTTGTATTTTCAAATGCTTAATTAAGAGGAAAAAAACACACACACACACATATACATACACTGCCTAACTAAATATTTAATCCAGACTGCTGCCCTGTTTTTGAGATCGCATGGGATTTTTGATAAGTTTTTTTTGCATACGGCATGGTTACTTATCTTGGTTTTTCTCTCTATATATTATTAATGGCTGTAAAAAAAGAAAACAAATTTTGGTGGTTAAATGAGATATTTTGAAAAATTACAGCATCCAAACAACAAGCTCCACCACCACCGCAACGAACGGCACCTGCCCCAAGTTCGATGGCCCCATTAAAATCTGGGGGTAAACAGTGGCAACAGAATGCGGCTTCATCAGCATGTTGAGAGAGAGAGAAAAAAAAAAAAACAGAAAAAAGAAAAAGAGACCCAATTTTTAATCTACGTGATATCTCGTTCTTATTTATGAGTCGCCTAGTTAGCTTATATTATATAAATATATAATTAATTAATAATTAATAATGTTCTTAAAACATTGCCAAATTTTAAGAAAAGTGAGTAACAAAGAATACGGAGTAAAATAAATAAGGACCTAGGCATCAAAGTTACAACAAACTATAGTTAGAAAACTTTCCTTCCTCGTTGTTTAAAAAAAAAAAAAATGGCAAAAAACAAAAAAAGGAAAAATAAATTCATCCCATCTCAGTATTTTCTATTAAATGCATATCTTTGTCTCTTTATCCATATCAAAAAAAAAAAAAAAATTCAGGCATTTTTAATTTGTATCCTCGATGTTATGGAGTATTAGAAAAAAAAATGCTAAATGAAAATTAGTTTCTTAGAATTTTATTTTCTTCAATCGCTAAATAAAATCGAAAAATAATTTTCTTTGTTAAAGAAGAGAAAAAAAAGGAAATAAAAAATAATAAAAACTAAATTTCCTCTACGGAGAAAGATGAAAGTAAAAAGCGATTGAAAGTCAATTTATTCTCACGCTCCTTGTTTATAAAAAAAAAAAATAAGAAAATGATAAAAAAAAAAGTCTTTTAGACGAGGGAAAATAGTTTTCTTTCCTATGTTATAAGGACAGACCTATATTGTTATGCACACGGTGCACTGAAATGGAAGATTTTACTTTATACAAGATGTGAAAGATGATATGCACGATGCATTTCGATAAGACAGAAATTAAACTATTTTTTTTTTCGTTTCATTTTTTTAAATAGTAATTATAATAATAATTATAATAATAATGATAATAATAATAATGAAAATAATCAAAAACCTCGGGAATGAGAAATTTATTAAATTGCCAAAAGACAATTTACAAAAGTCATTCTGTTTTAAAGTATTAACACTATTATAAACATAAATGTATTCTAATTTTTTTTTTTGTGTTAATCTTCCTTTTTTTTACCTGTTTTAACAAATATTGTATTTAATATTTTTAATTTTTAGTCCCAAACGATTTTTCAGTTATGCTCTTAATTTTTCCTGTCTTACATGTTTTAATGTAATTCGAAAGACACGAATCGAGCGTGTGTGCATAATCTTGTAATATTGTTGAAAATATAATACATTATATAATTTTAGCTGTTGTTCTCAGTTTTTATTTATCAATATATCTTTCAAATATTTGATATTTTTAGATATATTTTAGGTACATTATCATTTTTTTCTTTTTTTTTATAATAACAGAATGTCTACTAATTTCGTTCAACAAAATTTTCGATTATTTTCTAATTTTTCCCGATTTATTTTTTCTTGTTAACATGAATAAATCTACAAATATCTACGAAAATTGACTAAATTCAATTATCTTAAAATTATTTTTCAATTAAAAATTTTATAAAATTCAACAATTGTTTCCAATTTTTAAAAATAAAACAAATAAAATTACCAAAAATTTCAATTTATACATATCCATAAAGAAAATTGGTGCACTCGGTATTAACTTACATAGTATTTTTGAAATTGTTTCTCGTTATTTATTGAAGTAAAAAATAATTTTTTCAAGACAAATTGATAAATTATTAAAAAAAATTCCCGACTAATTTCTGGTTTTTCCCGATTAGTAGACACCTTGAATAAATAAATAAATACTAGCCTCAGTTGACGATAGTTAAAATTTTAGAATAACATTTTCTAAAGTTTTGTAAATAATAAATTTTTTATTTAAAAATTTATTATTTTAATTTCTCGAATATTAGATATAGTTTTATTAAAAAAAAAAAAAAAATTATTTATCAATTGCAATTTCATAAAGGGAAGTTCATAAAATTATTTTATGAGAATAAGGGAAAATTTAACAATTATGTTTTTATTTTATTAAATAAGACGTGGTCAACAGTAAATATGATACTTATATATTCAATCCAGTTTTTAATTAAAATCAAATTGATTTCGTCAATTTGAAATCTTTTTGAAAAATTTACTAATTTTTTTTTTTTTCTTGATTAACAATTTAAAGCGCATTTTAATTACATAGCTAAATTAAATTCTACATTTCCAATTCCTTTTCTATAATTTTACGATATTCATCAAATCCACCTTCTATACATTTCACTGATCCACCTCCACAAACCCAGAGTTCCTTGCAAACCATGCGAATCAGCCTTTCATCATGGGAAACTAATATTATACCAGCCTGGCGAAAAAAAAGTTATTATTCATAAAATAATAATAATTAGTCATCAGAAACTTACGCGCAATAAAAAAAAAGTTATAAATCGATCACGAAATTGTAATTTAGACAAATTTCTAAAGTCAGAATATTTAAAATATAAAATTTTAATTCTACAGTTAACAAAAATTAAAATGATAATTCGATAAATAAATATTTAATTACAATTATTGTTGAAATTAGGACAAAAATTAGAAGAAAAAAAAATTCTTTCACTATATACTTTGAAAATAAAACCGAGTGAAATAATATAAAAATGAAAAAAAAAAAGTTATTAATAATTCGAATGAAATAATAATGTGAATATTAAACAAAAACAAAAAAAAAAAATATTGTAATTGAAAATTTAGAGAATTTTTTAATTTAAAAAATAAAAAATAACTTACTTGACAGACGTTAAGGGCTTTGCCCAAAGCCTCGATTGATTCAATATCAAGATGATTAGTCGGTTCATCGAGAACCAAAAAATTAGGCATCGCGGCGCACATTAATGCAAAAGCTACTCTCGATTTTTGCCCACCCGATAGTGAATTAATTGTTTGAAGAGCGAGATCTCCACTCACTCCAAAACTACCCAACATTCTTCGATATTCTTCAATTGGTTTGCCTAAAAATGAAAAATTAATTATTTTCAACTTTATTCTCAATATTGAAATAATTGTCATTTTCATTAATGATTTTTTATCAAAGACCAAAGATGAATTAAAACTTGGTTTAATTAATTCCATAAATAATGTTATCTTGAAACTGTAAACCAATTTTTATCTAATTTGGTAAAAATAAAAAAAAAAAAAAAATTATCAAAATAGTAAAGAAAGATGATAGTTAAAATGTAAGAATAATAACAAAAAATCGATTATGAAAAGCGATTATCAATAGTTATTAATTGTTTATAATTGCTTATATAGTACCTGGAAAATGATTTTGTAATAATTCAACAGGACAAATCCTCATGTCAAGTTGATCAACGTGATGTTGACTAAAATAACCAAATTTCAAATTTCGATGAATATGCACTGAGCCTTTTGTTGGACTCAAACCGCATGTGATAATTTTTAATAATGTCGTTTTTCCCGCTCCATTCTCACCCACAATACAAATTCTCGATTCCAAATTAGCTGTGAGATTAACATTGGTAAATAAATCGGGACCCTCTTGATAGCGAAAGGAAACTTCATTTAATTGAAGAATTGGAGGACTCAATGGTTCTACATCAGGAAATCGTAAAGTCACTTCACTTTCTTTTTCCATTGGTTTCAATTCAGGCCTGAAAAATGAAAATATAAATATTATAAATGATAAAAAGAAAAAAAAATAATAATATTTACAATAATTATTATTTTTCAAATATTAACTTACATTTTGTCGAGCATTTTTATTTTACTTTGCACACTTGAGGCACGATTGGCATTATAACGAAACCTATCAATGAATTCTTGAACGTGAGCCCTTTTAGCTTGTTGTGCTTCATATTCTCTTTGCTGATTCCTCTCTCGTTCACCTTTCGTTTTTGCAAATTGTTCATAATTACCGCGATATGCCTCAATTTTTTGCGCCTTCAAATAAAGAATATCGGTCGGCACCTGTGAGAAATAATAACAATAACCTTTTTTGTTTTCTTTAACAATATTCGATATTTTTCCCAAATTTAATTCGATTTGTTAAAAAAAAAAAAAAAAAATGACAGGATGTCCATCGATTCTTGAAAAAAAGTCCAAAGATTTTTCAAGGATTAAAATCATTTTTTTTTCAAAATTCACTTTCTCAAGAATTTCAATATTCGGTGGACATCTTGAAATATTAAAAATATAACAAAAAAAAATTATTCGTACAGTGTCGAGAAAATTACGATCGTGCGATACAACGAGCAATGTTGTTGGCCAGGATTGTAAATATTTTTCAAGCCAAAGAATTGCCTTGATATCCAACATATTTGTTGGTTCATCGAGAAGCAATAAATCAGGTTTAGAGAAAAGTGCACGCGCAAGAGCAAGTCTCATTCGCCATCCACCGGAAAATGATTTTGTCGGCCACGATTGTCGTTCAACGGAAAATCCTAAACCCGTGAGAATCATACTAGCTTTTGCTGGCGCTTTTTCCACTTCGGCCATTTGCATTGCTTCATAGACACGTGCCAATTCTTCGCCAAGTACTTCTGATTTTCCTCCATCTTTTTCAATAGCCGCTTGTAATTCGGCTTCACGACTAAGTAATGCACTACGCTCATAATCACTCTCTAAAACAGATTCCAATGCTGATGTTTCATCGCCAGCGACTTCTTGTTCCACGTGTAAAACACGAATGTGCGACGGTATTCGAAGTTGTTTACTGCGCGAAAAAAAAGTAGTTTTATATTTCAATTTAAAATAATAAAACAAAAAAATTTTTTTAAATATTTCCAATATTTGATAATTTTTTGTACACTTAGAAAACAATTTAAATTTACACCCTCCTATTATCTTAAACGAATTTTCCTTTATATTTGATTTCCTTTTATAATAAAAGAAAAGTCCTTTAAATTATATCCATTATTAAAAGAATTTAGTTAACTATTAAAATGAAGCATTTTGGAAACAAACGAAAATAGATTACTAATTTTTTATTAATATCATACCTCTAGGAAATTAACGTCGACGCTTAACGCCGAAAATTATTTTTTTTTTTAATTTTCATTCCAAATAATGCCTTGAAAAATAGTTTTCAAAGTATTATGTGAACCCAAAACCTTTTTAAAAATGATTTCATATTTTTGGTTCTGTGAAAAATAATTTTTAACGCTAAGCGTTGACTCAAACTTCATGGAATATTATTAGTAACTAATTAATTAATTATTATTATTTATTAATTTAAAACAAATAAATTGAATAACTAAAATTAATAAAAATTATTAATTTATTATTATTAATAATTTAATCAGAGAAAATTATATTTCATTTTTAATTGAATTTTTAAAGAATTATAATTAAAATTTCTTTTTCAACATTGCATTTTTGAAGAAAATTAATTGACATTTTTGAAAATGATTTGAATTTTTGAGTATTTTTAAAGCATTTGTTTTTTAAATTAAATAAAGAGGATTTAATTTTGCAATTTTTTTAAAACAATTGAAATTTCAAAGATGTTACATTTTTGAAAATAATTAAATTTTCGAAAAATTATAGTTTGAATTTTATAGAATAATTAAATTGTTCTAGAGACTTTAATTGAAATTATTTTAAATAATAATTAAATCATCAAAAACTTTTAATTGGAACTTTTGAAAATAATTAATTTTTTCATGAACTAAAGTTGAAATTTTTGAAAATTATAATTGAAAGTTTCTAATTTTAATTAGATGAACTTTTTATGTGGTTTAATTTTGTAATTAAAGAATTTTAATTCAACAGTTTGAAAATAATTGAATAAATCAAAGACCTTTTAATAAAAATTTTCAATTTAATTTAACATTTTAAGAATTGCAGTTGAGATTGTTGTTTTCAAATTAATTTCACAATCTGAGAATTATAGTTGAGATTTTTGAAAATAATTGAATTTTTAAAGACATTGATTGAAAATTCTTTAAATAATTGAAATTTTAAATGCATTGATTGAAATTTTTTTAAAATAATTTAATTTATGATGCTTTAAATAAAAATGTTGGAAATAATTGAATTTTTGAAGAATTTTAATTGCAATTTTTTGAAACGAATTAAATTTTTAAAGAATTTGAAATAAAATTATTGAAGAGCGTTTAATTGCAATTTTTTTTTTTTTGAAGTAATTGGATTGAAATTTTTCAAAAATAATTGAATCTTAGGGTATTATAATTTATTTAGTTTTTCAAAGAATGCAATTTTCAAAGAATTTTTGTTGAAGATTTGAAAATTATTGGATTTTTCAAGAATTTTAATGGAAATTTTTTTAAAATAATTTAATTTATGATGCTTTAAATAAAAATGTTGGAAATAATTGAATTTTTGAAGAATTTTAATTGCAATTTTTTGAAACGAATTAAATTTTTAAAGAATTTGAAATAAAATTATTGAAGAGCGATTAATTGCAATTTTTATGTTGAAGTAATTGAATTGAAATTTTTCAAAAATAATTGAATCTTAGGGTATTTTAATATTTAGTTTTTCAAAGAATGCAATTTTCAAAGAATTTTTGTTGAAGATTTGAAAATTTGAAAGATTTTTCAAGAATTTTAATGGAAATTTTTGAAAATAATTAAATTTATGATGGTTTAAATAAATATGTTGGAAATAATTGAATTTTTGAAGAATTTTAATTGCAATTTTTTGAAACGAATTAAGTTTTTAAAGAATTTGAAATAAAATTATTGAAGAGCGTTTAATTGGAATTTTTTTTTGTTTTTTGAAGTAAAAAAAAAGTAAACAAAAAGAGAGATTCATATTTACGATAATTACCATGATATCATTCTGAGTAGTGTCGTTTTTCCCAAACCATTACGTCCAATAAAACCATAACGTCTACCAAAGGCAAGTGTTATATCGGCGCCTTGCAATAAAATTCTGTCGCCATAGGCAACGTCAAAGTTTTCAATTCTAATATCCTGTGTTTTATTTACAGAGCCTTTCATTTCCATTTTACTTTCTTTTTTACTCATCATTTGACTTGCACTCGCTGTTTCTAAGGCTGGCACTGAATTATTAATTATTTTCATTCCCGTTGAATCATTGCCTGTTCGTTTTTCTTGTTTTTGTTGTAATTTAGCTTCAGCTTTTTCCAATTTTTTTGCATCTACTTTCTAAAGAAAAAATTTTTTTTTTTTATTTTATTATTTTGCTACTAGTTTTGAAAGAAAATTTTTTAAAAAATATAAAAATAGTAAACTTCTAAGTAATGCTAAATTTTTTGTAAAAATTCTATTTGATAAAATTATTTTTCGTTGTTTTAAAATACTGACTGAATTTGATGCAGATAAAAAAAAGAATCAATACTAAAATTTGTTTTCACAATATTCTTAAGCAAATTTTTATTTTAAAAATAAAGAAAAAAAAAATTTAGCGTTGAAATGGACGTAATTTATTCTAAAATTTTTAATTTTCAAATAATCGAAAAATAGTTTTTATAAAATGAAAGATTTTTAAAAATTCAAAGTGAATTTACATTTTTTTTTTTAAATAAAAACAAAATTTACGTAGTTTTCTCAAATTTTAATGTTTCAGTGATCAACAAGAGAAATAATAAAGAAATTGTTAGAAATAAAATAAAAAATCAAATTTACCATCCCATCGTCACGTGTCGTAACCCAAATACTCTTTATTTGTTCAACTTGTTCTTCTAATGTTGCTGCCATTGATCCCAAATGAACCGGAGCATTTAAAACTTTATTCTCACCATTTTTTCTTTCGCTTGATCCATTTTGAGTTCCATTGGTCCCTCCTTTTAGCATTTCTAATAATTTCTTGCATATTTGTCTAAATATGAAATTACAACAATAATTTTACGTTATATATATATATATATTTTTAAAAATATTTGTTTTTTGTGAATTTATTTTCTTATATATTAAACTGTGCACGCAATAAAAATTTAATAAAATAAATTCATTAACGAATAATAATTATTTAAAAAATTATAAAAATCATTTTGTTTTTAAACTTAAATATTTAATTTTCAATTTGTATTTTTTGTTGTCTCAATTGAAAAAACATGAGAATAAATTAATATAACAAATATTAATTGAAAATTACAACTAATTTTTTTTAAGCAATAAAAATTTAAATATAGTTGTATTCATTGAAACAGAATTTAAAAAAAAAATTTCTAATCATGTAAATGCAAAAAAATCTTATATTAAAATGATTGTCTTGAATTTTGAAAAAAAATTGCAGAAACAATTGTAAATGTCAATTATTTACTCAACTGAAGTCAATTGAATCTTAGATAAATGTTGTTATTATTATTTAAAAAAAAACTATATACAGACTATCACCGACCTAACCACGATTTCTGGCTTCTCAGCTACTTCATGCAAAACTTCTCCAATTGCTTCATAAACTTCATTTTCATCTTCGAAGTCATCTTTTGAGCTGTCAAGAATTCCTAAAACCATCCCCCCAAAAAAAAACCCAATTTTTTTATATTTTATTTTTCAAAAAAAAAAGTGGGCATGGCTCGCAATTCGCGTAAGAATTGTTTTTAGGTTAGGAATTTACAAAATTTACCTTCCACATATTGATAAAGATCATCGTCAATTGTTGGAAATTGACTTTTAATATATTCACCACACACGGCCATTCCACGCACAATAAAAACTTAAATTTTTTAATCTACTTCAATAAAATAACAAGCCGGAAATTTTTAAATATCTTCCCAAAGAGCGGACGTCAAACGTTCGAACCTCATGAACACATGTTTACGCCATTTTAAAATTTATACGTATTCTTATAGAAAATTAAATGGCCAACAAAAAAAAAGTGATTTAAAAATCATAAGAAAAAAATTTAATTAATTATTCAATTTTGCCCCAATTATTTAATAATTTATTAAAAATAACAAATTTAACTAAAGGAATATATGACATATATTTTTGTTATTGTTATTTTTTTTTTTTTTGAAAAGAAAACACGCCAGAGATTGAGCGCCATTTTGGAGCTGTCAAAGTTCTCTCTCTGCGTGTGTATATATTGACATTTTTGTTCATTATTTTCTTTGTGCAATGAAACGCTGATATCTTCAAGTTATTTTTCTTATCAAAAAACAATCTCCTTGTGTTTGGAGATGATTTTAAAAAAGGATTACAATATCAAGGATGATCGTTAAAAAGGGAAATAAAATAAAAAGACGCAAGAAACTCAGGAATTTCAAGGGCTTGGTTTAAACGTCATATATATTTTTCACGTCATTCCCACTATATATATTAAGTGCGATTACACATCCGTTTAGGTTAATCAGTTTAAGGGTGTATTTCTATAATTAAAATAATTCAAAATAGAAAGAATGGCAACTGACGTGGAAGAGTCCGATACTGATGATCATGATCGACCGGATCCTCCAAAACGGCAACGCACACGTCCTACTGTCACAAATGTTGAACATAAGGAAGAATCGGTGATTTCCTTTCATTTTTCACTCCATTGTTTACTGTACCAGGTTAATTGGCTGGGTCATTGACCTTTGCTTTTAGCTAATAGAGATCGCAATTTCTTAATAACTAGGTCAGGGTTGAAATAGATTATTGAGTCACATTCTTTTCAAATATTATAATTAATTAATTTTACAATTAAAAATAACGTTCACCCGATGTGATAATTGATTTATTCTAATTAAATGCAAACAACTATCTTGCATAATTTATTTATAATTCTCTTAAATTTGCAGAGAATTTTTCAAAATATTATTTTCATCATAGAAATTTCAATGTTTTTAATTAAAAGAGGTTATAATTTTTTTTTTCGATTAATTTCTTTTTTTAAATTTAAAAATTAATTAAAGTCAAAAACTAATTTATAAAAGTGTTTAGAATTTTTAAAATTAGTAAATTTTCTAACTTTGATTTTTTTTAGAAACTATAAATAAAAAAAGATGCAACGAAAAACGAAATAAAATAAAATTACAGTTTAAAAGTGCTTTTCAGTGTAAGTGTAAACAATTTAATTTTTGACATTTTCAAAAAAAAAAAATTAAACTCAATTTAAAAATTGCATTTAAATGAAAAATACAATTTTCTGACAAGTATCATAACCTAAAAAGTAAATTCTATTTTTTATTGTTAGAAAATTTTAATCTCTCATCTCCAAATTCAATTTTTAATTATTTAAAATGTTAAAAAAATAAAATTGCCAACACTTTTACTGAAAGCTTTCTTAATTAAAAATTGTTTTTTTGTTTTTATAAAGTTTTTTTAGAAAAATGTTAATTATAGCTTTTGTTTTGACTGTCGTTCCAATATTTTCGTTTTTAAAAATAAAAAAAAATTCCTACAAACAATCAAAACAAAAGTTAATAAAACTTTATATTTTTGAATTTTAAATAAGAAAATAATTTTAGATTTTAATACTGTTTCTGAGCAAGTGTAAATAATTAAATTTTTAACATTTAGATTCATATTAAAAGTTGTACTTTAATAAAAAAAAAAATTAATAAGAAATAATTTATGCAAAATAATCTAAAATTTTACAATATCTTTTCTTGATGTTTTTTAATTTTAATTCAAATGCAATTTTTAATGATTCAAAATGTAAAAAATAAAATTACTAACACTTTGTTTTTGAGAAAAATTATATATTGAAAAAATTTATTTATTTAAAACTACAAAAATGAGAAGTTAAATTAACTTTTGATTTGACTGTCAATCTAATTTTTTTTCATACAAGTTAAATATTATTTTTAAAATAATAATAATAATAATTGTTAATTTTGGAAACATAGCCAACAATTTTACAATATCTTTTCTTTTTTCGACTTATTTTAATAAATTTCAATTAAAATTTTTATGAAATTTAATGATTGTTTATAATTTTTAAAAAAAATTAGCAAATAAAATTACCCAAAAATTTTAATTCAAAATCACTTGAAATTTAATTATTTGTAAAAATTTCAATTATTTTTCATGATTTTTATAATATTCTTCAAAAATTCAATTATCTGAAAGCATTTTTCAATTAAAAACTTTTGGAATTCAATTTTTTTTATGTGATATCTAATAAATTCTTCATCAACAGAATAATCACTAAAAATTTCTCTTGTTATAATTACACTGTCCGACAAAAATGATTTTTTTTTCTGCCCCTCGGATAATTCCGGTCACTTTCGATAGATTTTTACACGCTGATTACGAATCTGCAAATAAAAATGCTCTAGCACGTCCAGTTTCTGAGAAAATTAGTGTTAAAAAGTCGAAAATGCGTGTTTTTGGCCATATTTGAATTTGAATAAAATAAAAACAAGAGGTGCTAGAATCTTGTTCTTGGGTTCAAATGAAAGCTTGAAACTTAAACAACAATTCCATGAAGGGAAAAATTAAAGGCATAATGATAAGGCTGTTAAAACTTATTTTTTCATTTGCGATTAATTTTGTCATTTTTCATATTCAACGAACACTGTATATAACCCTAACATTTTGAAACAAGTGACAAGCAAGTGAATGAAACATCATTCGAATTTGAAAATTTTTCAGTTGACTTTCAGGTTACTTATTATCTAATTAATTTTCTATTAACTATTTTCGTCAATCGTGACGAGTATAAACACACAAACTTTAATAAATAATAAATAATTATCACAAATAACAAAATTTCACAATACACCTAAAAAAGTTTATATAATTAACATCTTATTAGTTTCATTTAACATAAAATACACAAATACAATATTTAAAATTCTATACGATAGATAAAAAATTTCAAAATATATCTTAAAAAATTTTCAAAAGATGTCTTTGAATTTTTAATATTCATATTTTTAAAATTCACACTTTAAAGATATTATTATTTAAAATCAGTTTAATTTTGTTAATTTTGCAATTTTTTTCTGGTTTTAATTTTCAAAGTTTGTGTATTTAAATTTTTAATTTATTCGTTATTTACAATTGTAAATTTACAATTAAAATTATTATTGTCTGAAAAAACATTTATAAAATTTAGAAAGACGAGAAAAGTTTGTCTACATTTGGATTGCTAAATAAACCTCATTTAGCCATATTTCCATTTATTTATTGCTCTTTGTAATCTTCATTTATATATCTGAATTTTCAAATAAATGAAATTAAAATAAAAATATATCCGAAAAATAAAATTAATTAAAATTTTTGATTAACAAAAACATTTTTTATAAAATTTTTAAATTTTTATTTAAATATTAATTTAACCTATATGTAATAATTGAAAGTTAATTATTTATTACTGTATTTTGTTAATAAAAACAATTCGGCCCAGCGTTCTGCAGAAGTCTTCAAAAAACTGTATAGTGAACATTATCTTATTTAAATATGGTTTAAAGAAGGTAAGTTTAAAAATTAATAGATAATAAGTAACCTGAAAGTCACGTGAAAAATTTTCAAATTCGAATGATGTTTCATTCACTTGTTTGTCACTTGTTTTAAACTATTAAGGTTATACACGGTGTTCGTTGATTATGAAAAATGACAAAATTAATCGCAAATGAAAAAATAAGTTTTAACAGCCTTATCATTATGCCTTTAATTTTTCCCTTCATGGAATTGTTGTTTAAGTTTCAAGCTTTCATTTGAACCCAAGAACAAGATTCTAGCACCTCTTGTTTTTATTTTATTTAAATTCAAATATGGCCAAAAACACGCATTTTCGACTTTTTAACACTAATTTTCTCAGAAACTGGACGTACTAGAGCATTTTTATTTGCAGATTCGTAATCAGCGTGTAAAAATCTATCGAAAGTGACCGGAATTATCCGAGGGGCAAAATCATTGTCGGACAGTGTTATTATTGTTTGAAATTAAACACAATCTTTTGAAATTTAATTATTTTCAAAAATTTCAATTTATAAGCTTCTAAAATTTAATTATTTCTAAAATCTTTCCATCTAAAATTTTTTGAAATTTAATAATTTCAATTATAAATCTCCTGAAATTCAATTATTTTTAATGATTTTTATAATATTAATATTATATATAAATATATATTTATATATTTTCAATAAATAAATATTCTTCGAATATTCAATTACGTATATGAAACAATTCTTCATTTAAAAAGTTTTAAAATTATTGTATTTTTGTCTGTAATTTCTAATAAATTTTTTATTTCACAGAAATCATTAAAAATTTTAAATTAAAAATCACTTGAAGTTCAATTAATTTCAAAAATCTAAATTGTAAATTATTGAAAATTCAATTACTTTAAAAAAAAAGTTATCTAAAATTATTTGATAAATTATTTTTAGTGCTGTAAAAACTAATTCTTGTAAAACTTGAATAAGTATTGCCTGAAATTTTTTTGACTATCAAAACTAAAAGCTATGACAAAATTTTTAATTCAAATAAATTGCTTTAATTAGACTTGAAAAAATTATAAAAATAGAACTTTAAGAATTTTTGTTAGAAATTTGTCATATTTAAATAAAATTTGGAAAATTTGTCTTACAATTAGTTCGATTCTGAAATAATCGAAATAAATTTTCTCGATAATATTCATTGTAGAATTATTCTCATTAGAGAATTGATAAAATGAATTTAATAACTAATAACATTGTTTTTTTAAAGTAAAATATTCATTAACCAATTAAATTTTGTTAAAATAAAAATAGTCGACTTTTTCGACTTTTTTTATATACCTTAAAGTCGATTCGAGGCCTCGAGGTTTTTTAATTTTAATTCAAATACAACATTTAATAATTTAAAAACATTATTAAAAATAAAATTTCTCACACTTTTATTTAAAACTTAAATATTTAATAAAATTTACTTTTTTTAATTAAAAAATACAAAAATATAAAGTTAGACTAATTTTTGTTTTGACTGTCTATTCGATATTTTCTTTAAAAAATTGCATTCGTATAAAAATCACAATTTTCTAAAAATAGAAAATTAATATTTGACAATTGTTTCTAATGTTGATTAAAATATTTTAATATTCATCTAATTAATTTAGAGTTTAAAAAGTAAAATTGAAAATTTTTAAAAATTAAAATTAGAAAAATAAATTTATTTTATTTATTAAAAAAATAAAATTATTAATAAATTATTTTTATGATTTAGTTTAATTTTTTAATTAGTCATTATTTATTATCAAAACTTTTATAAATATTTATAATTTAAAAAACAGAAAAATATGTGAATTATTTTTAGAATATTTTTTATAACACTTTATTGAGAAAATTTCTAAATTTTCGAAATATATATATATATATATATATATATATATATATATATATATATATAACTAACGATTTGAAAAATTTTTCAGACCGTAAGAGTACGAGACAATGAATGGGCACCTGTCGATGAAGAAGAAACGCAAGAATTTGACGAGGAAGAAAGATTGTCAAGGGAAAAGCTTAAGGGCTGGCAGGCCTTTCAAGTTGCAAAGGGTTTTGTTGACAATACAATAAATCATGTAATGGAACACTATATAATGGCAACAACTGGAAATTTTTTCCTCGAAGATCCATGGATGCGTTCATTTCATGGCGATGAAATGGAAGACACCGCAGTCTCAATGGCAATAAGAAATCATGGATTAGTTCCATCAATGAATAATTTATCGCAAGCAAATTCATTTTTTGCCGGAACGACAGTTAATTATTTTAGTAATCAAGATTATTCATTGAATTCAACTGGAATCAATGATAATTTTACTGGTTCAACATCGTCGTCATCATCATCGTCATCATCAACCACAGCACCTGTAATGACATCAGCTCATCATCATAATCATCAAGTGGAAATTAATTCCGAAAGAAATTGGATCGAGGAGAAAACTGATGAGAGCGATCAGGAACATGATTTTCTTGAGCGTGCTGTTGCTGAAGCCATTAAAAAAAAGGGACTCAGTACATTGAGCGTTGATTATGGATAAATTATTTATTCCTTTAATTTCCGTCCACAAAAAATATTAACATCATTCTTAATTCATTATTATTAATGGTTCGTATCTTTTTTTCTATTTTATTTACAAAAAAAGAAAAAATCAAAAAATTATAATTTTTTTTTAAAGGAGAATTAATAGTCAAAACAAAAGTTAGTACAAGTATTTTCCATGTTTTTAAATTATAGGAACAAACAATATTTCATTAAAAAATGTGGACAATTTTATTTTTAATTCATTGAAATTTGCAAAAATTAAGAGAAAACAAGTTTTGGACAGTAAGAAACTATTTTTGGGGATTACAGTTTCTTTTTTCATGAAAAATTAATTGAAAAAATGAATTGTTTACCGAAAATAGATTACAAAATGGTGATTAAAAAAAATTGATAGCTAGAACCGATTAATTTCTTTTAAAAAAAAGTTAATTTTCATTTATTTTAAATGTTAACTAATTGAATCAAAATAAATTAATTTGATTATTATTGATTATTAATAATAATAAATTAAAATTTGGATAATTTGAAACTTAAATTAAAACAAAAATTAACATTCTAATAATTTCAAACACGTAAATTAATTCAAAATTTGGACAAATGGAAATTTTGAGAAATTAAAAATTAAATTTATTAAAATTCTGATAATTTGAAACGTAAATCAATTAAAATTCGTAAAAAAAAAAAAAGTGAAAAGGGTAATAAATTTTTAGAAATACGTGAATTAGGCGAAAAAGGGTAAAACTGTGATCCCTGTATTTTACTATTTTATTTTTAAATTATAAATTAATGTTTTATTTAGAGAAAACGAAAATATAAAATTGCACCAATTTTTTTTTGATCAGTTAAATTTTTCTTTTTCATAAACGATAATTCATTACAATCAAAAGTTTTATTTAAAAAAAAAAAACTTGGACAAATTAATTAATTTTTTTCAAAATCTTTTTCATTCATTAATGTTTAGAATAAACGAATATTATTTCCGTGAAATAAAAATGCAAAATACAATGAAAATAAAATGCAAAATATATGAAAATAGAAAGTAATAATTAAAAAAAATATATATATAAAAATAGAAGTGAAAATTTTAATAATTAAATAAAAATGAAAAAATAACAAAAAAAAAAGTAGAAAATAACTATAAATAAAAGTAGAAGTTAATAAATAAAAATAGAAAATTTCAAATAAATAATATTCGTTTATTTTTAATCATTTTCGTTTTTTTTCAATTGACAATTTTTTTTTTTTATTGAGACAGATTGAGACTTTATAATATCCACGGTAGATCTGATTATTATTATTATTATTATTATTATTATTATTAATTTTCATTAAAATAAAATATTTCAAATAAAGAGCCTAGTCCTCTAGAAAATGTGCAATTGGACAGATTACATTTAAGAGTATTAGATTTCTTTTTTATTTTAAGATAATATCTCATCTAAAATATACAAGAGAGAGATATTTATTATTATTATTATTCCTGGAAGTATATCAATCCAAACGCACATTATAATGTTCTCTAATATACTGTGAATCCATAAGTTTTCTTATATATAAAGAGAAAAAACAAAAAAGTTAGAGTTGTCTCTATGCCAAGGGCAGTGCCAGAACAAAATAAATTTTAATTCATAATTATCATCTATATGTAAAGATAATTGCGATAAAAAAAAAGTCGACAGCTACGGTATTATTATTAGTAATAACAATAAAAAAATAATAATTATTATAACAATAATAATAATAAAATACAGTCAAACCTCGTTAAGTGAGATTCATTCAGGAAATAATTCGTCTCACAAGAAATCACACATTTGTCCGATGACAGAATTTTTTTGGATTTAAAATTAATTTCATTTTTTTTTTTAAGAATACATGAAATTTCACTTAACGAGGTTTGAGTGTAATAAAATAATAATAATAAAACTCAATGTTCCTTTATAGCGAACTTGCTTCGTATATTGATATCGAATATAAGACTTTAGCTTTGTCGACATTTTAGTATATAGTATATATTTGAATATTGAACAAAGATTATTATTATTAATATTATAAAATGAAAAAATAATTTTTTAGAGAAAAAAAAAAGACAATTTTCTAAGAATATTGTAACCATTCCACTAGTTTTTAGTAACTTCACATTTATATAAAGACAATTTTATATATAATTTTTTTTTTTTTCATTCATCCAATAAAATTATTGTGACATTTTTGAAAAATAAAAATTCTATTTTTATTTTTAAAAAATGCATCAAAATAATTATAATTCAATGTCTATACTTATATAATATATCTAAACAAAATATATTTACAAAAGAGTATATATTCGTATTAAAATTTTAGTATTTGTCGAATTAGTTTGTAGCTGATAAAAATACTATTTAACTAACTAATTGTTAAGTCAACTAAAAAAAAGTCAAATTAATTGATTTAACAGTTTTAGTTAATTACATTTAATTATAAATATATGATAAATATATATATTATTCCAATTCATTAGATATTACTTGTTTAAAAAAAAAAGACTTTATATTGTCCATAAAGTATTACTCTCATTTTTTTGAAAAAAAAAAGATAAACAGTGTAGTAAGATTTTAAAATTGAAAGTTTTTGACAATTTTAATATTTAATTAATTCAATAAGAAAAAATATAATCCCGGTTAACAGTAACTATATAATATTTAAATTGCCTTTAATAATAGGAGAATTTATCAGTCTCGATACTGCGCAAAATATTTAGTGAAAAAAAATAATAATATATATATAAATATATATATTTATGAAATATGCTAGCTTCTCCTATTTAAAGAAAAAGACGAAAAACAAAAGATACATAAACTGTGTAAATATTTTTTAAAAATTAACAAAAAAAAAAAAAAGTAAATTTGCCGCCAAATAAAAAGAAAAAAAAATTGTTTTTAAAACAAAAAATGAAATTTCTGTAAAAAAAAAAAAAATGACAATTCAAAATATTGTTTAAATTACACATAAATATTGTATCTTAATAACACATCTCGTATAATAACTGTGATCTATATCGTTTAATATCAAAAAATAAAAATATTTACAAAATGATCATAAGAGTTTTTATTCTTTATCATTTTGTCATTTTTTTTTTCTAAACTAGCTATTTCAACTATAGTTATTTCATAAAAAAAAGTTCCAAAAAATAAAATAAGTTAAAAAATATTTTTTTTTAGTAACTGTATTGTAAGAGACGGAAAATTTAATTTTTATTTGTAAAAAACTTTTTTTAATTCGTAAAAAATTCAAAAAACATAAAATAATTTTTAAAATTTTTTTTGTAATTGGTATTTTAAAAGAAACTGGAAATTTAATTTTGTAAAAAATTTATTTGTTTACATTTTTAACCTTTTTTTTCATTGAAATTATTATTCTTACATACAGTTGAAATTAATATTAAAAAAAATCACAAATTAAATAAAATCATTAATCTTTTTAGTAATAAAAATTTTCTTACAAATACAAAATAAATATATATATATATAAATATATATATTTTTAGTTTTATATATAATAAATAAATAAAAAATACTCTCCAAATGTAAATGTGAAAATATTTATTATTATTAACTTTTCTAAACACAAAAATTTACTCAACACTTATAATAAAATTCACAATAAAATAAAATAATAAAATTTTCACTTGCAGAGGGAAAAAAAAATTTTTTTCAAAAATTTTATACAAAATGCCACTTTAAATATTTGACAAAAAAAAAAAAATGAGAAAAAGAGATTTTTAACGGAAAATAAAAACAAAAGTGGAGAATTTTGGTAAAAAGGGAAAATTGACGATTATTTATTTTTTTAATTATTTAATTTTTATTTAATTTATTTTTTTTATTATTTTATTTAAATTTGTCGGCCTTAAACTGCAATTAGTAAAAATTATTTCATATACTTTAAAAATTTTTTTTTTTTAAATATAATTTTTTAAATTTCATACAAATTTTCGTTGTGCATTTTTTTTTTTTTTACAAACTATTAGGAATTGTATTTTCTTTTAGATTTGATTTTTGGAAAATAAATATATTTTTTAAAAATAAAAGATAATTGTAACAAAGAAAAGAATAAAATATTTTGAGACAGTTATAATGATGAGTACTGAGAACTAGGAAAATAACTGTATTATCAATTATATGTCATTGTCCTCTGAAACTTAAGATTTAGAAATAAATATAAATTTATTAAATAAATTATATTGTCAATATAAAAATTTATGTAAAATTTATAAAACTCCAGATACTATTTTTTTTAATTTTAATGAATCATACTTAATAATAATAATAATAATAATAATAATAATTATTATTATTATTATTATGCATAATACTAATTAAATTATTTGTTAAAGGATTTAAAATCCATACAAAGGAGTTTGATTACATTTTTTTATAATAATATTAATAGTAAATTAATTAATAAAAAATTAAATTAATAATAAATTAAAATTATTATTAAAAATTTTGCATTTTATACAATATAAAAATAAAAATATAAATTTTCCCCTTTATTTTTAAATATAAATTATTAATAATATAGTTTGAAACAAAATGGAAATTTGATATGTGGCATGGCTTCTTCATTAAATTAAATGAAAACGGAAGTCAAAGGGAATGTATTGATTTTATTCGAGTTGAAGAAAGGAATATATACATGTGCAGAAGCGAGTTTGCGAGAAATAATTATATATTCATTTCATATTACTTCCCCCCCCAAAAAAAAAAAATAATAAAAAATTTACAGAAAATAAAAACTGCTTTCACAAAATACAGAATCTGACAATAAGAAACTTAATGTAAAAAATTATTTATTAAAATAAGAATATTTATTTTCCCGCAAAATAAATTTAATTATATTATAATTAGTGTAAATGCATTTACAAATATAATTTACAACAGGTGGATATTTTTTTATTCTATTTTCATAATATGACCATGATACATTTAAAAAAACATGATATTTTTTTTATAAAATAATTAGAATACTTTTTTTTGCACAAAATATCAATATCTTTTAATATCATGGAATATAAAGCGTGGAGGTAGGGAGATGGCAAAAAAAGAAAGAAAGAAAAAGAGAGCATTTACCGGGGATAAAGGATACAAAGAAGGGGAAATCTCATCCTGGAGGGGATTTTCAAACTCAAAAAATAAGAAGTGAGGGGTAAAAAGGGATTGTAAAAAATTTTAATCGTAAAACTTTTTTTGATATTTGCAAAGAGATGAGGAAAAACGATATTAAATTTCCCCTATATAACTAATTACAATGCAAATTCGTGGAAATATTACCGCAAATTTTCCAAAGAAAAGTCAAGATGATGTCCTTTTTTCTTTATTAAATAAAAGAATTCAAAAAAATTTGATAATTGAAAAAATTTATTTAAAATCAGATATACAAATGAAAATAACCTACAAATAAATTCAAAATTTAACAAAGAAACAGTAAAACAAAATGAAAATAATTTTATAACATTTACAGTTCTATTGTTATTCTATTTTTTTAATTTTTCCTTCTACTGTCATTATCGGTAAAAATTGTATACGTATAATTACACATGATAATATTTAAAGAAATTAAAAATAATATAAATATATCTCATTTTCAGTTGAAAATGAAAAAAAAAGTAAGAAGAAAATTATACTTGTTCTCTTGAATGTGCTTGAATCCTTGAAAGTTCTTGTTCTTGGTTAAATGCTTTTCTTTTCAGATGCGGTAAAATTACCTTTGTAATATAACCTCAAAAGCAAGTTGGATGTTTTAAGGGGGCTATATAGCGTAGTGGGGGTAAATCGGGTGTGCGAAAATGTGAAAGTGAGGCTCGGGGGAGGGGGGGCAGCTGTTTTGTATAAGTGGGGAGGGGTATATATGAGGAATAGGGGAAATTTCGAGCAGCGACGAAGGGGAAATACAACACGAAGGCACTATAGGAGAGAGAGAGAGTTGAAAGAAGTGACGGCGGCCACGCCGAAGAAGCGCGAGTGTACTAGCATCGTTGTATGTGTAAAACGTTAATGTCGAATTTTCGCGCTGATTATTGTGTTATCGTTGATATCAGTGAGTGACTCCGTTAAATCCGGCTAATTCACAGCTGGTGAAAATGGCGTCCGATGAGGAAGTTGATGAAAATTATGCGGGTAAGTGAATTTTTCATATAAAATGAAAAAAGGCAGCGTCAAACTTCTTAAACCGGAAAGTTGGCCCGCACGCAGGACGCGCGCTTTTTGTATGATGGCTGCCATGTCAATTGGTTCCCGTGCAATTTTTCGTCATCACTTGCCGCGCGCATTATCCAAAGAAAAATCAAATTAAATTTTTTTTATTATTTTACTGTTTTATTTTAATAATGCCTGTTGTCATATTTTCTTTGTGAAAAATTCTTATTTATAATAGTTATATTCTAATGGGGAAAATTTTTAGGGTTAACCTTATTGTCAAGACTTGGGAAAAAATTATATTTTGTCATTTTTGACGAGGTAAATTATTTGTAAAGAAAAGTTATTTTCATGAGTCATTGATAAGTGAAAAAAAAAATTTGACATTGTTTTGAAGTATCACATGTCAAGATATTTTTTTTTTTCACGTGCTGTAAATTTTGTTCACTTTTTACAACTATTTCTGGGAATATGTAAGAGAAAAGTCATGGAAAATTTTTTTTTTTTTGTCTAATTTATAAAGGAGATTTATTTAATTAATTATTGATAAATGTCATTGTGTCAGATTTGTTTTGAATGTCAAATATGAAATTGGATAGAATTTTTTTTAAATTGTTGAAAACTGGAAAAAAAACTTGTTTTAATTATATATGTGAATGAAGAACTAGAGAAGGTATTCGGCGTTCAGCCATCTGGTAGCGTTGTGTGTACGTTTCATTTATGTTTAGCATTTGTATTTGTATAAGTAATACTTTGCCGGTTAGGGATTTATTGAAATTTTTGATTTCTTGTTTTATAATAAGATTTTATTGTAAAAAGAAAGTTATTATTCTTTTTGTTGATATTTTGTTAATTTAAGAAAATGGTGAAAATTTTCTATATGATTGAACGATATGATGATAAGATTATGAGCATAGCGTTAAAAGATAGGTATCGAGAGTGCGGTATGCCCTTCCAAAGAAAATGGCGGCCGCACACTCTCACAAAGCATTCACTGTACGCGGATTAGTTCTTGAGACAATTTTTTATGTTTAAGTAAATTATTCTCCTTTAAAATGGCTATCGGCGTCCTTTTGCTTTTTGAAATTTTCTTTAAATACTCCATTTTTGGCGGGGTTTTACTTTTTTAATTTTTTTTTTCCTTTTTTTCTATTTTTTTTTTTTTTTTTTTTTTTTTTGAAAATCGACCTCATTCCATCTTTAGGTGTCTACGTAATTCATAAATAATTCTATGAATAAAAATTGTATTCGTGTGGTGGATATACATTTTCTGTATATATATATATATATATTTTTATACACTACTGTCCTTTCGTATAGAAACGACGCGAGACTTTTTCCTTTTCAGTTCTAATTAACTGGAATTCGATTTTTTTTTAAAGATAATTTAAATTTATGAAAATCGATTTTTTTGAGAATCTTTTACTATTTATAGGATTTTAGAAAAAAAAATTGTTAACTTTTCGGAATATTTGAGCCAATGTTTATTTTTAGCTTAATTTTAACTTCGTTTTAGATGATGAAATATTTCTGAAGTTAATTTCAATGCATCATCATGCAATTCTGAATTTGTGAACAGAAATTTTTTTTTTCTTATCTAGAAAGAATCGGATAAACAATCAAAACAAAACTTAACCCTACTTTATATTTTTGTATCTTTAAATATGAAAGAGATAATTTTTTTTTTTATTTTCAATTACTGAAAGTTCCATTTTAAGAAAAGTTAACTTGACAATGAAAACGATTTAGTTAACATAACCTAGAATTTAACAATCGTTTTCTTGGTAAAAAAAAAATTTTTATATTCAAATGCAATTTTTATTGATTTCAAAGTATTAAAAAGTAAAATTTCTCACACCTTTACTGAAAAAATGTTTAATTCAGAAATTATTTTTTTTAATTTAATAATACAAAAATAGGAAATTGGACTAATTTCAGTTATTTAATCGTAATTTTAAATTTATTTATTTATTTACAGTATAAACGGAATTATCGAAAAAATTCAATTCATTGGCATAAATTTATAAATTATGAAAATAAACAGTAATACCAAATTATTTGATTTCGTTTATTTAAATTTCTATTTTTAAGTATTAAAGAATTGGAATACTAAGAATAAAAAGTAATTTTATTTATTAATTCCAGGAGAAGATGATGTAGAAGAATCAAGTGGTCCAGTGGCGAAAGTTGGCCAAGTCGATGGTTCCTCCGATGCTGAAGAATCTCAGCGTCAGGTAAATGTTCGTCTTTTTTTTTTTAAAAAAAAAAAAAAAACAAGAAAATATATTTATATATTTTTTCCTAAAAAATAAATGTTTTGCCTTTAAAGGAGGAAGATGACGATTACGAGCCGGAAGAGAGAAAAAAGAAGAAGGGAAAGAAACGAAAAGCACGAAGTGAAGACAAGAAGGGGAAGAAAAAAAAGAAAAAGAAAAAATCTGATTCTGGCGACGTAAGTTGAATAAAAAAAAAAAAAAAAAAAAAAATTATTAAAAAGGTTTTTATTTCTCATTTTATGTATCTTTTTTTTAGGAAAGCGATTTTGGTGGTGGAGACAATGCAGATGTGGCAGGTGATGATAGTGATTTTGCGAGTAATCAAAAAAGTAGAAAATCATCATCGCGAAAATCATCGAGTCACAATACATCATCGGCTGCACAAAGTCAAGAACCATCAACGGGAATGCCAACAATTGATGAAGTTTGCAATACATTTGATTTAACTGACGTACATATCGATTATTCGGACACGGATTTTCAAAATTTAACCACGTACAAATTATTTCAACAACACGTTAGGCCTCATTTAATTAAAGAAAATCCCAAAGTACCAATGTCAAAGCTTATGATGTTGGTCGCTGCAAAATGGAGGGATTTCTCTGAAATGAATCCGCACACACAGCCTGAAGTTGAAGTATCGTCTGGTAATTTAGAGGAGGAGAATATTAAACCAACGAGGTCGAGTCGTGGAACAGTTGCACAAGAAGTTGAAGATGACGATGATGACGAAGAGGATAGTGAATTTTATAAACGTAAATCACGTGGTTCACGAGCTAGAAAGGGCAAAAAAGCATCGAAAGTTCCAACATTGAAAATTAAACTTGGAAAACGTAGACGAGCCAGTTCTGTAAGTATACAATTTTTAATTGTTAAGTAAGTTAATATACGAAGCTGAAGTACGCAACGTTTATATAAACGATTTTTAAAGAAATAATTTTTTAAAATGAAAAATTCTATAATTTTTTGTCTAAAAAATATTTTTTTAAAATTTGTTGATTAATGAAAACTACAAGAAACATTTTTTAGGCAAAAAAATCATTTTACCATAAGGTCCCTTTCACCGCGTCAGGACACATATTATATCTCAACTCTTAAGTATTTTTAGAAAATCTCAAACAAATAACATTCTAAAAATTAAAAAATTGATATACTTTTCTAAAAGTTTTGGAGATACGATTTTTTAAAGTCAAATTTTAGAGATCAAAGTGTGAAGATAAAAAAAAGGCCTAAAATAATTAGAGAATTTAAATAAATAAAACAGTTAAAGAATTATATGCAACAATAATTTCACAAAATTGTTGTCCACATTCTGCCAATATAATTAAAAAAAAAAAAAAAAAAATTCGTAAATAAACTAATGAATTATCAATTGATTACAAGATTTTAAATATATTTTTTATTTTCTCTTCAAATTAAAAACAAAGCATTCTTAATTTTTTTTTCCATTTTCAACAAATATTTAAATATTTTTAAATTAATTTATTCACAATAGAAATAAATCGTCTATTTCTCCAAATTTTAACTTTACTTCTCTACTTTTTTTTTTTTTTTTTTTTAATTTTCTAAATAAGAAAGATTTATTTAAAAAAAAGAACCATTTTCTGAACACTTTTTAATTTTAAATAAAAATTTTAACCAAAATCGCGGTACTGAAATTATTAATTTTTTTTTTTTTTGAATCGATCAATAAAAGTGATTAAATTTACAAACGAATTGAATTTTAAAATTAATTTAATTTCGAAAATAATTTAGACATAAATCGATAAATTTTTGAAAAATATTTAATGTTTTGAATTTGAAAAAGTATTATAAATTCCTTGATGTTTCAATTTATAATTCTGTTATTTCTAATGAAAATAAAAATTGTTTATTATTTATTGACAAGGAAATTGAGAGAGTTGTCTGTCTCTTTAATTTAAAGTTAGAAAAATATTAATTTCTATTCTAAAAATTAGAAATTATTATATTTCCTCTTTTTTCCATAAAATTTATTCTTTCTATAAAAAAAATATTGTTCTTCTGGAAATTCGTAAAATTTATTTATTTTTTCAAACTGGAGAAAATTCTCCATTTTTCTCTTCAATACTTTTTTTTTTTTTTTAATTTCTAAAATTATCTAATTTTCTTCTTTTCTAAGATGAATTTCTATTTCCTTTACATGTTTCTCGATTATTAATCATTAATTATGAATAAAAATTTAAATTCTTATTATTTGAATAATATTGAAGATAATTTCAATTTTTAAAAACAATTTCAATTATTTGATTGAATAATAAAAGAAAAATAATGATTCTATTTTCTTAAACCTTTTTTCTTTTTTTTTTAATAGGATGAGGAAATAGAGAATGCAAGTGCGGGATCAATGCGAGATTCCGATATGGAATTTGAGCAAATGATTGCCGACGATGAGCCAGCAACTGAGGGAAGCACAAAAGGTGCCGAGGAAGCTAGTGTTGAACCACCGGCCGATCCGCCAGTTCGGAGAAAGGCGAAGACAAAGATTGGCAATAAGAGCAAAAAGAAAAAGAAGACGAAAACAACATCGAAATTCCCGGATGGAGAGGAAGGTCTCCAGGTAGAGTTAAGCTGCTTATGGCTTGTGCGTTCGTTGCTGTTTCAAATTTTGCTTTTTCAAAATATAACAAAACAAAAAACAAAAATGAATACCATTTTTATTGTCCAATTTTCAAATGAAAATAAAAAGCTTCTTTGCTTTACTAATCATTTGACAATAAATTTTTCCAATGGAACTTTTGAAGATTTTTTAGTTTTTTATAAAAGAAAACTTGCTTTCTCAATGGAAATTAAAGTACCGAAATTTTGAAAACCAAAAACATCATTTCATATGTCTCTCTGTCTTTCTCATTAGCAATGTGAAAATTGCATGAATAAAATATAAATGATTTTGATAAATTTAACGTTAAGAATTTTAAAAAAAAGGAAATTTAACGAACAAAAAAGAACGCATATCCTTTGTTGCTTAGCTCTGCCTTAATAATTTTATTATATTAATTAACACCTCATGTGCAAACTAAAAGTAACTTTGATAGGAAAAAAAAAATCGAAGTTGTTTTCAGATTTGTATAATATGGTTTATTTAAGGAATATTTAGATGTTTCTGTAAAATAATCAAGAATTTCTTTTTTTTTTTTTTTTGTTCTCTTTCTACAGACTGACCATCAAGATTATTGTGAAGTCTGTCAACAAGGTGGTGAGATTATTCTTTGCGACACTTGTCCAAGAGCTTACCATCTTGTTTGTCTTGAACCGGAATTGGAGGAGACTCCTGAGGGCAAATGGAGCTGTCCTCACTGTGAAGGAGAAGGTAATTTCAATTTTATTTTATTTTTTAAAAAAAAGACAATTTAAAAAAAAAATAGTGTAGCAAGTGTAAAATAGTTTTAATTGAGTACACTTGACAGTTGAGTGTTGTAATTTGTGTAATTTTTAAATTAATTTTTTCAATTTTACAAGAATTTTAATTGAAAATTTGTATTTAAAAAAATTTTTTATTTAATCAAACTAATTGTTAATTGACGGTATTTTCTTTTGAACTAATTTTTATTTAATTAAATTTGCATTTGACAAAAGTTTTGCGTTTACATTGAATTTTCATTTTATTAAATTGTTATTTAAAAGAATTTTCATTTCATTAAATTTAATTTTCACCCATTTTTTGTTTAATCGAACTGTTGTTTAAGAGAATTTAATTTAAAACAAATTGACTTTTGTTTCAATCAAGAAAATTGATAGACTTTTTGTTTCGATACCAAATCAAAATTCAAATTCAAATTGACTTATGTTTCTATAAGAAAACTGAAAGTAATGAGAAGTGGACTTTTGTTTCTAATGAATCAAAATCAAAATACAATTGTATTTTTGTTTCGTTTCCGAATATCGAAACAAAAATAAAATTCGACTTCCGTGAAGAATGAATATTTTTCTATGCAAATTATTATAATTTGGATAAAAAAATATTTTTTCTTCTACATTGTTGATGATAAACGTTGTGAATTTTACCTAGCAGGTTGTCTAGTGACCTGGAATTCCTTGAAAACTTAGAAAAGTCCTTCAATTTTTTTTTTTTTTTTTTTTTTTTTTTTTTTTTTTTTTTTTTTTTTTTTTTTTTTTTTTTTTTTGCCTTGAAAACCTGGAAAAGTTTTTGAATTTTTCATCAAGTCGTGGAATTTTTATATTTCGTGTAAGAATTTTTTTTACAACTGACTTTGGAAACACAAAATTTGTGAACGTTCTTTAAAAATTCTATTATTTAAAATATTTTTCAATTGAAAGTCCTTTTAAATTCAATTATCCAATTTAAAATTTCCTGAAATTCAATTATTTCTAAAAAATTTTATTCCTAAAAATTTTAATTGCAATTTTTTCAAATTTCAATTACAATTTCTAAAAAATTTTTCAAATTTCAATTATTTCTAAAAAAAAAATTTACAAAATTCATTTTTTTGAATATTTTAATGAAGTTCTTGGAAAAAATTATTTAAAAATTATTTATTTATTTATACACGGGACTTCAAAATAAAGTACCCTTTAAATACAAATTGTATAATTGTATATCTGTGTAACGCTTTTCTAAACTTCTGAATTCGTACAATTTGCATAAATCATATTTCGAACATTTTTTTTTTCTTAATAATTTTAAATTATGTTTTAAAATTTGTCCTATACTGAATTGAATTCTTGAAAATTTTTCTCAGTTTGATTTTGAAATATTGTAAATAAAATTTCATTAAAATATCCCTATGAAATATTTTTTTTTAAGGAATTAATAAAACTTATTTAATTTCTAATAACAATTGTTTGATAATAATAATAATAATAATAATAATAATAATAATAAAATATTATAATTGTATTTATTAAAAAAAAAAAAAAGAAGAAGAAGCGACTTTTTTGAGTTTTCTTGTAATGTAAATCAACTAAAACGACTTTTTTCTTCCTCAAAATTCGATCCAAAGTCTGAAAATGATAAAAATTAAATTTATTCATTACGAGTTTATTATAAAAAGAGAGATAAAATAATTTAATCTTGTACATTTAATGTATTTTTGTTATTATTTATATTAAAATAATACATACCTGGAAAAAAAAAATTTTTAACTTTGAAAAAATTGTGGAATTTTATTTAGCAAAAGCGCTATGTAAAATCTGTTGAAATAAATTTCCATTAGAGTCGGGGAAAAAAATTTAAATTCTGACTAGAGATCAGGGAAGAATAAAATAAAATTTTCCTGACAATTGTGTTGAAAAAAAGTAATTTAAAATTCTAAAAAACCTTGAAAAGTCTTTGAATTTTTTCTTTTAAATTGCTGAACACCCTGTTATTATTATTACTAATATCGTTATTATTCTTTAATTAATTAATTTATTTTTATTAATAGGTGCAGCTGAAGATGACGACGAACACATGGAATTTTGCCGCAATTGTAAAGATGGCGGTGAATTATTATGCTGTGACAGTTGCACAAGTGCATATCACATTCATTGTTTAAATCCTCCACTATCAGAAATACCCGATGGCGATTGGAAATGTCCACGTTGTTCGTGTCCACCAATTTATGGTAAAGTACAAAAAATTCTCACATGGAAATGGAAGGAATGTACCGAAACACCATCAGAGGAGCCATCAACAAGTAAAGCCGCACCTAAACATCACAAAACACGTGAATATTTTGTTAAATGGTCCGAAATGTCATATTGGCATTGCGATTGGATATCTGAATTACAACTCGATGTTTTTCATCCTTTAATGTTTAGAAATTACATTAGAAAATATGATATGGATGAGCCACCAAAACTTGAGGAGCCATTGGACGAGAGTGATACACGTTATAAACGATTACAATTACAAGAGGGACAAAATCAACGTGATGAATTTAATCTTGAGGAACGTTATTATAGATACGGTGTACGTCCCGAATGGTTAATTGTACATCGTGTTATAAATCATCGTTTACAACGTGATGGTCGTGCAACGTATCTTGTAAAATGGAGAGAATTGGGTTACGATCAAGCGACATGGGAGGAGGATAATGATGATATTCCCGGTTTAAAGCAAGCGGTTGAGTATTATTTAGATTTGAGAAATGCAATTTGTGGCGATGGTTCATCATCATCGCGTAAAGGTAAAAAAGGAAAGGGGAAAAAATCGAAAACAAGGGAAATAATTGACGATGAAGAAAAAGCGCCAAAGCGTTATACACCACCGCCCGATAAGCCAACAACTGATTTAAAGAAAAAATATGAACGTCAACCGGAATATTTAGATCAAACGGGAATGCAACTTCATCATTATCAATTGGAGGGTTTAAATTGGTTGAGGTATTCATGGGGACAGGGTATTGATACAATTCTTGCCGATGAAATGGGTTTGGGTAAAACAATTCAAACAATAACTTTTCTTTATTCTTTGTATAAAGAAGGTCACTGTAAGGGGCCATTTTTAGTATCGGTTCCACTATCGACGATTATTAATTGGGAGAGGGAATTTGAAACATGGGCACCTGATTTCTATTGTGTTACATATGTAGGCGATAAAGATTCACGTATAGTGATACGTGAAAATGAATTGGCTTTTGAGGAGAATGCAACACGTGGTGGACGTGCAACAAAAATTCGTTCGGCAAATATTAAATTTAATGTATTATTGACGAGTTATGAATTAATTTCAATTGATTCAGCGTGTTTGGGTTCTATTGATTGGGCAGTATTGGTTGTCGATGAGGCACATCGTTTAAAATCAAATCAATCGAAATTCTTTCGTCTATTGGCTTCATATAATATTGCCTATAAATTATTATTAACTGGTACACCATTGCAAAATAATTTAGAGGAATTGTTTCATTTATTAAATTTCTTGTGTCGTGATAAATTCAATGATTTGTCAGCTTTTCAGAATGAATTCGCCGATATTTCAAAGGAGGAACAAGTTAAAAAACTTCATGAAATGTTGGGACCTCATATGCTGAGAAGATTGAAGGCAGATGTATTGAAAAATATGCCAAGTAAATCAGAATTTATTGTAAGAGTTGAATTATCACCGATGCAAAAGAAATATTATAAATATATATTGACGAGAAATTATGAGGCATTAAATCCAAAAGGTGGTGGACAACAGGTGTCATTATTAAATATTATGATGGATTTAAAGAAATGTTGTAATCATCCATATTTGTTTCCGGCGGCGTCACAAGAAGCGCCAACGGGACCAAATGGTAATTATGAAACATCGGCGTTAATAAAAGCGGCTGGTAAACTTGTATTGTTGAGTAGAATGTTGAAAAAATTACGTGACGATGGACATCGTGTATTGATATTTTCGCAAATGACAAAAATGTTGGATATACTTGAGGATTATTTGGAGGGCGAGGGTTATAAGTATGAGAGAATTGATGGTAATATTACTGGTACACAGAGACAAGAGGCTATTGATAGATTTAATGCACCAGGTGCTCAGCAATTTGTGTTTTTATTATCGACACGTGCCGGTGGTTTAGGTATCAATTTAGCAACGGCTGACACTGTGATAATTTATGATTCCGATTGGAATCCACACAATGATATTCAAGCTTTTAGTAGAGCGCATCGTATTGGACAGGCGAATAAAGTGATGATCTATCGTTTTGTCACGCGTAATTCAGTTGAGGAACGTGTCACACAAGTTGCTAAACGTAAAATGATGTTGACACATTTGGTGGTACGTCCGGGTATGGGTGGAAAGGGTACGAATTTCAGTAAACAGGAGTTGGATGATATTTTGAGATTTGGAACGGAGGAATTGTTTAAAGAAGAAGAGGGCAAGGAGGATGAGGCTATTCATTATGATGATAAGGCGGTTTCTGAATTACTTGACAGAAGTAAAGAGGGTATCGAGCAAAAGGAGAATTGGGCAAATGAATACTTAAGCTCGTTTAAAGTTGCCTCTTATGTGACGAAGGAAGGTGAAATTGAAGAGGAGGCCGATACGGAAATTATAAAACAGGAAGCTGAAAATACAGATCCGGCGTATTGGATTAAATTATTGAGGCATCATTATGAACAGCAACAGGAGGATATTGCACGAACACTTGGTAAGGGTAAACGTGTTCGTAAGCAGGTGAATTATAATGATGGCGGTGTGACGGGCGATCAAGGTGCAAGGGACGATCAGCCATGGCAGGAGAATCTTTCGGATTATAATAGCGATTTTAGTGCGCCAAGTGATGACGATAAGGAGGATGATGATTTTGATGAGAAGGGCGAAGGTGATTTATTGTCGCGACGAAGTAGACGTCGTCTTGAGAGACGTGATGAAAAGGATCGACCATTGCCACCGTTACTTGCGCGTGTCAATGGAAATATTGAGGTTCTTGGATTTAATGCGAGGCAAAGAAAGGCATTTCTCAATGCAATTATGCGTTATGGAATGCCACCGCAGGATGCATTTAATTCACAATGGTTGGTGAGGGATTTACGTGGGAAATCGGAGAAGAATTTCAAGGCATACGTGTCATTATTTATGCGTCATCTTTGTGAGCCTGGCGCTGATAATGCGGAAACATTTGCCGATGGTGTACCACGTGAGGGTTTGAGTCGTCAGCATGTGTTGACGAGAATTGGTGTTATGTCACTTATTAGAAAGAAGGTACAGGAATTTGAGCATATTAATGGTTATTATTCAATGCCGGAAATGATTAGAAAACCAGTGGAACCGGTGAAAGCTGGAGCAGCTGGTGCTGCAGCGGCGGCGGCGGCTGCTGCTGCTGCTGCTGCTGCTACTACTACTACTGCCGCTACTGCAACAGCAGCAGCAGCAGGAGAAACAGGAGATGCAACAACTGGAACGAGTAGCACCAGTGCAACACCCGCTACTTCCAATGCTCCAAGTCCAAGTCCGGCTGCAACACCAACTCCAAATAATGCCACTCAGGCTGTTAATAATGATACGAGCAAAATGGACACATCGGAGATTAAAGACACAAAGGAGGAGGCCAACGATAAAAAGGTAATAAAAAAAATTTTTGTTATTTTATTCAGGGTTGCCACGGATTAGGAAAATCATGAAAAAGTCAGGGAATTTTATGAAAAGTACTGGAAAAATATCAAATTTTCCAAAAATGCTACTAAAATTATAATTTTGGAAATTTTCAATTCAAATTTTCGCTTCGAAAAATTATTGTCCTACTTTTTTATAATTATATGCCTCGGATTGAATTTTGAAAGGAAAAAAAAAAAGTCATTTTAATCGATTTACATTACAAGAAAAGTCTAGTCATTTTTTTTTTTTATTTTGAATAAATTTAATAAGTTGATAAATATTTTATTATATTATTAACAATTTATTATTAGAATTTAAATAAAATTTATTAATTCCATAATAAGAATGTTTCATAGAAATATTTTCAAGAATTTTTCTTTTTCAAAACACAGGAATTTAATTGAGACAAATTTTCAATTTGGTTTGAGAACAAATTTTGAAAAATAATTTAAAGTTACTTAAAGTAAATAGGTTTAAAGTTGTAATGAAAATTTTTCAAATTTTAGACGACTGAAACAAAGGACGTAAAGGAGGAAGATAAGGAAACAAAAGAAGCCAAGGACGATGAAGAAACATCTGGCGAGAAAGATAAAGAGAAAGAAAAGGAGAAGGATAAAGAAAGTGCGGATGTTAAAAAGGAAAATGAAGACACTGAAATGGAAACAAATGACAAAGATTCTAAGGATAAGGATAAAGAAAAGGAGAAATCAGAGAATGTAAAGGATGAAAAATCACCAGTGAAACCAGAGGAGAAAACCGAGAATTCTGATGCTAAACCCAAAGTGGAAACTGAGGAGGATGTTGTTATTGTGAAAGACGATGAAGATGAGAATGAAAAGAAAGAAGTATGTATATTAAAAAATCTATATGATCAATTTTATTATATTATTTAATATTAAAGAAATAAATTAATTAAAATTATATTTATAATTTTTATTTTTTAGGATAAAGATTCTAAAGAAAAGGACACAAAAGACAGTGAAGCGGAAGTAAAGCCGAAACGCAAATTCATGTTTAATATTGCCGATGGTGGATTTACAGAATTACACACTTTGTGGTTGAATGAGGAGAAAGCTGCTGTACCTGGACGTGAATATGAAATTTGGCATCGAAGACATGATTATTGGCTTCTCGCTGGAATTGTCACGCACGGTTATGGACGTTGGCAAGATATTCAAAATGATATAAGGTGAGTTGATGAATTTTAAAAATCTTTTCCCGTAATTACTTTTTTTAAAAAATTATTTAGCATAAAACAGACTTTTAAAAAAATCAACGTTTTAAAGAATAATAGTAATTAGAAGTTTTATTTATAAATTACAATTTTGATGATTAAAATCGAATTTAGTTTAATTATTTCGTTTATTCATACAGATTCGCGATTATCAATGAGCCCTTTAAGATGGATGTTGGTAAAGGTAACTTCCTTGAAATTAAGAACAAGTTCCTTGCCAGACGTTTCAAACTTTTAGAGCAAGCTTTGGTAATTGAAGAACAACTGAGACGAGCCGCGTATTTGAATTTAACTCAAGATCCAAATCATCCAGCAATGAGTTTGAATGCGAGGTTCGCTGAAGTTGAATGTCTTGCCGAGTCTCATCAACATCTCAGCAAGGAGAGTCTTGCTGGCAATAAACCTGCGAACGCTGTCCTTCATAAGGTTGGTTCAAAAATTTTAAACTTAAAATTTCAATAATAATTCAATTATCGAAAAATTTATTCAATTATTCTACATAAGAAGGCACACCATCACCCCCTCTCTTAAACTCTATTTTATACAATTTCCTTTTATGTATCTACTCAGGTATATTTTCAGATAACCTTTTATACCCTTCGATTTACAACGACAAAATACCAAAAATCATAATAAACAATTAATTTTTGAAAACTAAATGAAAATTTCAATAAATATAATTGAATTTTCGAATATGTATATTAAATCAAAAGAATTGTAAGTAATCGTAAAATTTTATTGAAAGCTTTGAAAATAATAAAATAATTTTCTGGCCTCATAATTTTTTTTTTTTTTTTTGGTAGATTTAAATTAAAATTGATTTTCCTTTCTTTTTTAATTTAGGTGCTAAATCAATTGGAGGAATTACTCTCTGACATGAAATCAGATGTGAGTCGATTGCCAGCAACTTTAGCGAGAATTCCACCAGTTGCTCAACGTCTTCAAATGTCGGAACGTTCAATATTGAGCCGTTTAGCTGCAACGGCACCAGGCGGTAGTAATACACAATCTGGACAAGCGGCTTTATTGGCTCAACAATTCCCAGCTGGTTTTCCCAGTGGACAATTACCAGCCTCTTTTGCCGGTGCAGCTAACTTTGGTAATTTTAGGCCAAATTACGCTGTTCCAGGTCAAGCACCACAAGGTTTTACGGGTAAGGCATTTTTCTTTTAAATTTTACAAAATTTTTAACAAGATTCAAAAAAAAAAAAAAAATCAGAAATAGACAAAAAGTTACAAAGGTTTTTAGAAAAAAAAAAAAAATTTCAAATAAATGGTACATGTTAATGTAGTATAATAATTAAATATTAATTAGAAAAATAATAAAATCAGAATTTAATTAAAGTCCTTTGGGGTAAATGTAAATAGAATATCTATTATTCAAATTTCAAAATGTCGAAAGAGATTTTTAAAAAATAATCAAATTTTATTAAATTTCGCTGCTCATTGACTTTTGGAATATACAAATATCAAGTCATTTTAAAAAATAAAAATTTGTTATTTAATATTGTAAGGAGGTGTAAAAGAAGACACAATTTTTTTTATCTATGTAATTTTATATTGCCAAAATAATGTGGTTGTGAAATAGAAGAAAATTCATTAAATTATTATATTCTTTTTAAATGCAGTTCAAGTTCGGTTTACATTTAACCCGAGTTTTCAAATTCTCTAGATAAATGTAAACAGTTTATTATTTATTAATTAAATTGACAAAGGTCAAAAATCAATTTTTGTTATAGCATTAATAAGAAATAATTATAAATGCTTTGAATTTTTAGTTTATTTTTATGCAAATACAAGTTAAAATACTGAAACTGTGAAACTTTGATTTTTATTATATTATTTATTTCGGAGGAATGTTCCGCAAATCGAAGTCAAGGGAGCTTTTAGAAAAAAATATTTTAAAAATAATTTTATAAAATCAGTAAACTAATTTTGAAGTTTATTTACGTTGCAACGAGTCAAAAATGCAAAGAATTTAGGATAAAAATATCGTAAAATTAAATAACCCTAAATAAAATTAAATCTAATTAAAATAAAGTTAAGACAAAAATTAATTTTTATCTTTTGCTTTTGTAGCTTGAACTTATTTATCGGAGCAGCAGCAACAGCAGCTCAAAAGAGGAAAAAAAAACTCAATGGCGCAAACGACATTCCCACCTGAATAAAAATGCGCTGTAATATTATTTTTCGTAAATTACAATTTCTAGCTGAATTTTCACTAGATAAGGATCTAAGGTTAATTAAGCATAAAAAAAAATTAATTAATTAATAATAATAATTAATAAATCGCTAATTATAATATCGTATGCTAAGAAAATGAAGGAATCACATACATTTCTTGTATTTATTATGTGTACATTCGTCGTCCGAGAAAAGCGTGATTATCATGTTTTTTGTTTTTGTTTGTCTTTTTTTTTGTATCGGATTTAAAGGCGGGTTCGTTAAAATGCAGAGAGGATCGCGTTTTTTTTTTTATATATATCCTTTTGGACATTCGACGTCTGCATTAATACATAAATAATTCTAACGATAGCAACAATTATAATATAATTAAGAAACATTTTACTTAAATTTATTTAAGAAAAAGAAGAAAAACAAAAATCTCGCACATTTATATTCGTTGGGACTTGTCAAGTTAAATCGAATTTATTAATCGAATGATCTGTTGATAATAATAATTTATTCATTGATTTTCAATAGTTGGTTTTTTTTTTTTTTGCCATTTTGAAAGTGTGGCAAAAGTTTGCGTTGCTTATTTTATTTATTTTTTTTTTCTAATGTAAAAGAATTGCCTTGAATAATTTTAATTAAGACTGATGCTTTATTAAAGCATTGAATCAAATTTTAATTTTACGTCCTGCAACGAAACAGAAAGCACATTAGTTTTTTTCTTGTGCTCTAAAATTTAAAGTGTCGAGAATGGATATTAAAAATACACATTACACACACACACACACACGTAAATGGGAAATTTTTTTTTTTTTTGCTCTTTTGGGAAGAGCAAAAGAAAATAGGAATAAGTTTTTAAAAATCTTCTTTTTTTTTATGGAGAGGATTTAGCTTGCATTTGTGAGAGAGCATCACTATTAGTGTTTTTATTTTTTTTTTGTCCTTTTTTTTTTAACTGAATGTCGGGCGAAAAAAAAAACTTTGCAAGTAATTTTTGATGAATATTAATAATAACAGGTAAATAAAAAAAAATAAATAAATAAAATAAGTCTGGAAACAATTTTTCAAATGCTTTATAAGGCGCAAATTATTTCTCTGTAATATGTAAAGTTATAATACAAATGGTAAAGGGGATTTTTTATGACATTTCTATTTACACCTTTTTCGAATGGCTTCATTCATATAAATATATATATTATAGTCTAATATTTGTTCTTGAGCAAAATGCAGCGATATTCGTACATGTATCTAGATTATTCGGTGCGCTCTGACTTAATTTTTATTTCACATCTACCAAACTCTGTACATACACAATGTGTTGCACTGAAAACTCTGAAATATAAATGTTAAACTGAAAATAATATTTGACAATATTTTGTCCTCTGCGTATTTTCTATTTATAAAAAAAAAAAAAAAATAATTGAAAATTTCTTTTCTTTTTTAGATAGGAACTCTTTCATATTACTGTAGATATATAATTTTTAATTTTTAATAACTGCTAGAGAAGATTTTTTTTAACTTGTGTATTCCTATAATTGGAATAAATTACAGTAATACAGAGAAATGTTTTTTTAAAATTCTGCAGATTTCCTGCTTTCTTATTAATTTTTTTTTTTTTATTATCATTAGGATATAAATTCAAAATTCAGGTTTTCAGTTTTATATTATTCAAGACTACAATACAATTTATTTCGACTTTTATAATGTAAAATGTTATTAATCGACTTCTTTATAATTTGAAAAGTATTTTTTCATTTAAAATTAGAATATAGCAAAAATTGTTTCTCATAAAATATACTTTATTGTCGCATAACACAAAATTATTATAATTCATTATTCATTTATTAGATATATAGAAAGATTTATTTTCAAACACTACAAAGTCTGAGAGAAATAATTCTCTAAGAAATTTTTTTTTTGTATGGGTTTTTTTTATTACATTTTATCTAAAGTCGATGCGGACAATTTATTTTTGATAATTATTTAATAATAATTTGTTTGTTTTGGCCGTTTATACTAAATAAATATATATTAAAAATAATAATAAATGTAAATTAGATCATTTTAAACAATTATCAATTAAAAAAAGTCAATTTTTTAATTTTAATTAAATTTAATTAGTTAATAAATAGGTATTTTACTTTAAATAATAATTAATGTTATTTGATATTAAATCCATTTTATTAATTCCTTAAAAAGAATAATTCTATAGAAATATTATTCAGAAAATTTATTTCGAATATTTCTGAATCGAAGACGTAAATTTAAAAAATTTTAATTAAGTAGGACAAATTTATAAACAAAATTCTGACAACAATTCAATTTTAGAATTTTTATTTGTAACTTTTTAAAAAATTTGAATTTAAAAAAAAAATATTAAAAATTATTAAAAATAATAAAACTTTAGAAGAGTTATAGTAGAAGTTTTTTTTGGGAAACAATTAAATTTCAAAAAAAATTTTGTTAAATTTTAGACAATAATTAAATTTTACAGAATTGAAAATAATTTTTCAAATAATTTTAAATAACATTTTTTAAAAGTAATTAAATTTCAGACAATAATTAAAATTACAGAATTGAAAATAATTTTTCAAATAATTTTAAATAACATTTTTTAAAAGTAATTGAATTTTCAAAGATTTACAATTCAGATTTTGGAAATCAATTAAAGTTCAAGTGATTTTTAATAAAAATTTTTGGTGATTTCTGTTGATGAAGAATTTATAAAAAATTACAGACAAAAATTGAATTTCAAAAGTTTTTAATTGAAAAATGCGTTCAGATAATTGAATTTTCGAAAATTATTATAAAAATCATGAAAAATAATTGAAATTTTTGCAAATAATTAAATTTCAAGTGGTTCTTTGAATTAAAAATTTTTGATAATCTTATTTTTATTTATCTTATCAATTATTAAATTTCATAATAATTTTAATTGAAATATAGTGTAATATAATTGAATTTGTGAAAACTTTCATTAAATTCATTAAAAATAATTAATTTAGTGAAGAATTTTAGTTAAAAATTTGTTAAATAATTGAAATAAAAAAGATCTGCATTGTATACTGAAAAACGTATTTTGTTATAAATTTTTTTTAAAAAAAAGTCGAAAAAGTCGCATTTTATAAAAATAAGTCGAAAATTAAAGTATTTTAGATAATTGAATTTACGAAAATTATTATAAAAATCATTAAAAATAATTGAAATTTTTTGCAAATAAGTAAATTTTAAGTGATCTTGAATTAAAATTTTTTGGTAATTTTATTTGCTAATTTTTTTTAAATTTTACACAATTATTAAATTTCATAAAAATTATAATTGAAAAATAGTTTAAGATAATTGAATTTGTGAAGAATTTCATTAAAATTATTAAAAATAATTAATTTAGTGAAGAATTTCAGTTAAAAATTTGTTGAATAATTGCCTGGGAATATTATCAAGAAAATTTTTTTCAAATATTTTAAAATCGAAGTAGGACAAATTAAATAATTAAATTTCAGAAGATTTTAAATTGAAATAAAATTTTTAAATATTTGAATTACTGTAGTTTTTTTAATTTCTGACAACAATAGAAATTTTAAAAATTTTTATTTGAAACTTTTTTAAATAATTAAATTTAAAAAAATAATTTAATTTTGGAAGAGATATATTTGACATTTTTTAAAATAATTGAATTTGAAAGGATTTTAAGTGGTAAAAAATTTTAATTTATCAATTATGTTTTTAAATTTCAGACAATAATGAAATATTAGAGAATTTTTAATTAAAAATGTTTAAATAATTTATTATTATTGCTTGACAATAATTTAACAATTAATTTAAAATAATTGAATTTTGAAAGAGTTATAATTAAAATTTTTAGAAATAATAATTATAAATTTCCGAAAGTTTTATATTTTAAAATTTTTAGAAGTAATTAAATTTTAAAAGTTTTGAAATTAAAAATTTTAGAAGTAATTGAATTTCAAAAGATTTTTAAAAAATGTTTTAAATAAAATTGATCTTTTTAAAGAACTTAATGGAAATTATTATTAATTATTAAATTATTATAGGTTCAGATTTTTGGAAATAATTGAATTACATGTGATTTTGAACTGAAATTTTTGATAATTTTAGTTGACAAAATGGTTTTTTTTTTTTTTTTTTTTTTTTTTTTTTTTTTTTTTTTTTTTTTTTTTAGAAATTTCAAACAATTATTGAATTTTTAAAAATATTTAATTGAAAAATATTTTCAGATAATTTCAGGTTATTAAATTTTGGAAGAGTTGCATTGTATATTAAAAAAAAAAAGTCATATTTTATTTAAAAATGTAAGAAAAAGTTGCATCTTAAAATAAGTAGAATAAAGTTGGAATTAGAATAAATTTAAATCGATTACAATTTTAATTAACAAATCCTTTAACTAATTTTGAAATTTATTGAAATTTGGCTCCTCATTTTTACTGTTTGTAAATTTGTTTTTTTTGTTTGTTTGCAATTAAAAGTTTATCATTCGGACACTTTCTATGGCTAAAAAAATAAAAATTGCGTTTTGATATAATAAAATAAATTTCATTTATCCATAAATACAATAAAGTTTATTTTTTAAAAATCATTTATTGTGTAAGATGTCAATGAAAAAAAAAAAATGAATAATAAATCACATAGTAAATACAAATTGTGCGAGTCCATTTAAATCGAAATTAACAAAAATGAAGAATATTTCAAAATCCTATAAGTGCACGTATAAACAAAAAAAAAATTTCTCACATTCCCTTTTTTTAACCAGACGATTCTTTCTTTTGTCTTTGTTGCACCATTTCTCGAAGATTATTTTCACTTTCTTTTAAACTATTTTGAAGATAACTTTTATTGCTATCGAGAAATTTAATTTTTTCATCAGCATTTTTTATTCGTTTCTCCAAACTGCTCTTGATACTTTTAATATCGTCGAGAAGAAACATTCTTCCAACAGATTCATAAGTTCTTGTATTTGGAGGAAGTGATGTTATCTCCTTTGATGTTAATTCTGCTCGTTGTTTGGTACGTTTTAATGTTTCAATTTGAACATCAGCCAATTTTAATTTTTGACTTGTATCAATCATTTTCTCCTGGAGTTCGGAGAAGCCTTTTTTAAGCTCTTCATCCAGTACTCGTGCCATTTTATTTTTGTTTGAAGCAGTGAAATACTGATAAAACTATATAAACACAGAAAGAAATAAACAATTGTATTTTTCAATATTTTTTAATGACATTACAATTAATTTAGAAATTTATTTAAATCTATAAAAATAACTTACAGTTTATGTGTGTGGGTGTTATTGAATCTATCACTCGATTTAAAATTCTAAATAAGGTTATGTTTCTAAAAAAAAAGCCTTGAATTCACTGCGCATGCACATTTTGTTCATGACATTTAAAAAGCCCGCGGGAAATTTTATTTAAAAAATAATAATAATAATTAGATTTTTTTATTTATACTCTTTACATTTAAAGAAAGAACTTTTTTTTTCTTCTTCTATCAAATGTTAAACAAATACCCAAAAAAAAGTTCAAAATCAATAATTGTGAACTTGGCTTTATTTTTATCTTTCTAACCTATAATCTAAAATTTTAACGAAAAAAATTAAATTTTGTCATGGTGTTTGTGGAAAAATGTAATTCTTTTATTATATATTTTTTTATTTTTAAATACAATAAACTATTGTCATTCTATTAAAACAAATCATCAGCTAAATATAAATTATAATAAATGTGAAGAACAAATAAATATGAAATATGTTTAAAATACTTAATAATATTTATGGCTATGGAAATCGGTTTCCAATTCTAACCTCTAGAAATTTTTCTCATCATAAAGGATTATTAAAAGATTATAATAAACTTTCTGAAAATAAATTAAAGAAACAAGAGAAGACAATAGGAAAATTCAAAGAGGTATGGCAAATAAATCATATGAATTTGATGAAAAAATATAAAATTTATATTAATAATATGATACAACAATATGACAATAATATGAATAATGTAGAAAAACGTTTTCCAAAAATGAAAATTATGAGGGTTTTCAATACAGGACTTAAGGATATTTATCAAGATATAAAAAAATATATTTCAATAAAAAAGAAAAAAAAATTAAATGGTATACAATCATTGACAAGAGATGAAATTGAATTAAATTTTAAATTACCGAGAGATTTATTAAAAGTATCGCCAGTCTTAATAATATCAGCGATACCATTCACTAATTATATTGTATTTCCGTTGATTTATTTTTTTCCACGTGTATTTTTAGTCTCATATTTTTGGACAATACAACAGAGACTTGATTATTTTCTCTATAATTATAAACGAAAATTGAAATATAATAAACCAGTTTTACGATGTTTACAAGCACAAAAACGTGAGATTTCACAATTACATAGAATACGATGGAATGGTATTATTGCAAGTCTCGGAAGTGGTACACATCCGACAATTTCAGATCTTATTGCATGTAAAGAATTATTCAAGGGACATCCATTTTCATTGAATTCTCTTAAACGCAATCATATAGTGAGTTGAGAAAAAGAAAAAAAAATTAATTTTTATCTTTGCAATGTAATTAAATTTTTTGTTTTGTTTTTTTTTAGAATGAATTATTAGGTTTACATACAATGTCTCGATGGATGCCTTTTAGAAGGAAAAGATTATTAAATAGAGGACTTTTAATAAAATCAATGGATATTGCCATTCAAAAAGAGGGTGGTGTTACAAAAATACCAATTGAAGCTTTAAAATGGGTACGTGTAGAATTAATTTTATCTGATTTGATTATTTACACATTTAAGATACTTTAGGTTTTTTTTTAGATATCAAGAGTTTAATATTTTAAAACAGAATTTCTTTATGAAAATTATGAGAAATTAAAAAAAAATGTTAAGATCAATCGAAAGATCGTTAAATTCTCTTTTGAAATAATGTGTAACATATTATAAAAATCTTTTAGTTTTTATATAGAAAAATTAACATAAAAAACGCTCTGCTAGCGATTGTCTTTTGAAGGTGAAACGGTTTGAGATAGAATGCCTCCTATTTTATTTTTTTTTTATGATTAAATATGTTTGAATAATTGAATATAGTTTTTCATCTATATTTGATTAAATACTTGAATATAATTTCAATGATTTGATTAAGTAATTAAAGATAATTTCAATAATTTGACTAAATAATTGAAAATAATTTCAAGTATTTAATTTAATGAAGATTTAGAATCAAGATTGAGGCCTCGGATTATATGACTTTTTCCGACTTTTTTTCAAAAATACGATTTTTTTCGTTTTATTTTAATAAAATTTGACTTTTTCAACTTTTTTTTTAGGCTGTTTCTATTTCGCCCGTCGCAGGCAAACTAATTCATTTCTGTTATTTCGCCCGTCGAAATGAATGTGTTTTAGAAAACGGGCAAAATAAGAAAAATAGATTATTTCGCCCGTTCAAGATAAAATCGAGTATCTGGAAGACGGGCGAGTATATTATTTCGTCCGTGAAATGTTTAAACAAAAACGGGCGAAATAATCAAAATACAATATTTAGCCCGCTAGGTATAAACAGCTGTTGTATATTTCAATTTACAAACTAAAATTATTTTAACTTTTATTTTGCAATTTATGTTAAATATCATATATTTGATAAACAAATTTGATGGTCTCATTAATTTTTTGTGTTTCGATAAAAAAAAGGGTTTTTCTGATTTCTTTCTCAGCAGAATCATGGTTTTATATATCAATGTGAGATTATACTCCGTATAGTATATTCTTTAAATATTGAAAACGACGGTGCGTTGTTTGAAAATCTATTTGGTATCGAAAGTAGTTCATATGACATTCTTTATTTTGATTGTCTTCAATTTTATTTACTCGTTGAATTTAGAGATGCAAATATACAAAAATTTCAGAAATAGTCGATTTTTGAATTCTTATTTAAATTACAAAATTAAAATCCACAATTTTTATTACCAAAGTTTAATAAACAAAATTAAAAAAATTTTTTTTTCATTTTTCATGAAAAAAATTTTTTAAAATGATTTTTTCAATTTTTAAGAAAAAATTTTATGCAATTTTTTCGTCAACAATTTTTAAAAGAAAAATTTATAAAAAATATTAAGAAATATTATTAATTTTTTGAAAAAATATTAATATTTTTAAATCGATGACGATCAATTTTAATTGTTTTCGACTTCAACATCGTAATTTTAATTAGTTAAATTTAATAATTATAATTTATAATTTTAATATTAGATTAATTTTTTTATAATTTTAATTATATTTATTTACCATTACTATAAAATATTAAATTTTTTTAATTATTTAATAAGAGTAATTAATACCTCTATAAATATATTAATTTTTTTTCCAATACAATTTCTTAGATAAAATAATTATTATTCTTTAAAGTCACGTCTCAAAAACGTGTAAAATAAATATTTGAAAAATCTTCAAGTTAATAATTATACAAACAAATTTTATGTTACAAATATTCTCAAAACTTTAATTAATAAAATTTGTTGAAAAAAAATAGAAAATAATTAAGTATTAATTTTAAGAATTTAAAGAATTTTTAAGAACTTTTTTTGTATTTAAATTTCTTCTATTTTATTAAACCAAATATTCCAAAAGATATAAATAAATAATATTAGACCTATACTCAGACGTCTTTTTTCTATCCATCTTATTTGTTATATTTAAAAAAAGTAAAATTATTTTTTCTCATTATCTAAAAAACAGCTGTCTATACTTAAAGGACGAAATAATATACTCGCCCGTCTTCCAGATACTCGATTTTATCTTGAACGGGCGAAATAATCTATTTTTCTTATTTTGCCCGTCTTCTAAAACACATTCATTTCGACGGGCGAAATAGGCTCTCCGTTTTTTTATATATATATTCTTTAAAACAAAATACGTTTTTTTAATATACAATGCAACTCTTCCAAAATTTAATTACCTGAAATTATCTGAAAATATTTTTCAATTAAATATTTTTAAAAATTCAATAATTCTTTGAAATTTAAAAAAAAAAGAAAAAACCATTTTATCAACTAAAATTATCAAAAATTTCAATTCAAAATCACATGTAATTTAATTATTTCCAAAAATCTGAACCTAATAATTTAATAATAAATAATAATTTCCATCAAGTTCTTTAAAAAATCAATTTTATTTAAAAAATTTTTTGAAAATCATTTGAAATTCAATTACTTCTATAATTTTTAATTGCAAAACTTTTAAAATTTAATTACTTCTAAAAATTTTAATATATGAAACTTTCGGAAATTTATAATGATTATTTCTAAAAATTTTTAATTATAACTCTTTTAAAATTCAATTATTTTAAATTAATTGTTAAATTATTATCAAGCAATAATAATAAATTATTTAAACATATTTAATTAAAAATTCTCTAATATTTCATTATTGTCTGAAATTTAAAAACATAATTGATAAATTAAAATTTTTGACCACTTAAAATCCTTTGAAATTCAATTATTTTTAAAAATTTCAACTATATCTCTTCCAAAATTAAATTATTTTTCATGAATTCAATTATTTAAAAAAATTTCAAATAAAAACTTTTAAAATTTCAATTGTTGTCAGAAATTTTAAAAAAACTACAGTAATTCAAATATTAAAAAAATTTTATTCCAATTTAAAATCTTCTGAAATTTAATTATTTAATTTGTCCTACTTCGATTTTAAAATATTTGAAATAAATTTTCTTGATAATATTCCCAGGCAATTATTCAACAAATTTTTAACTGAAATTCTTCACTAAATTAATTATTTTTAATAATTTTAATGAAATTCTTCACAAATTCAATTATCTTAAACTATTTTTCAATTATAATTTTTATGAAATTTAATAATTGTGTAAAATTTAAAAAAAATTAGCAAATAAAATTACCAAAAAATTTTAATTCAAGATCACTTAAAATTTACTTATTTGCAAAAATTTCAATTATTTTTATAATAATTTTCGAAAATTCAATTATCTGAAAGCATTTTTCAATTAAAAACTTTTGAAATTCAATTTTTGTCTGAAATTTCTTATAAATTCTTCATCAACAGAAACCATTTAAAATTTCTCTTATTATAATTATTGTCTGAATTTTAATACAATCTTTTTAAATTCAATTATTTCTAAAAATTTCAACTTTAGCTCTTCTAAAATTATTATTTAAATATCTGTAAAACTTGATTAAGTATTGCCTGAAATTTTTTTGACAATCAAAACAAAAAACTATGACAAAAGTTTTAAATCGAATAAATTTCTTAAATCAGACATTAAAAAATTATAAAAATGGAATTTTAAGAATTTTTTTTTAGAAATTTGTCCTACTTAAATAAAATTTTGAAAATTTTTCTTACAATTAGTTCGATTCTAAAATATTCGAAATAAATTTTCTTTATAATATTCTTATAGAATTATTCTCATTGTAGAATTAATAAAATGAATTTAATATCTAATAACATTAGTTATTTAAAGTAAAATATTTATTAACCAATTAAATTTTGTTACAATAAAAAAAATCGACTTTTTTTGGAATATAAATCGACTAAAATGACTTTTTTTGTACCTTAAAGTCAATCCGAGGCCGGAGATTCAATTTTTAAGATTTAGAGATATTTTCAATTATTTAATTATATTTTTAATTACGGGAAAAGTTATAAATAAATAAAAAAATATTTAAAGATAATTTTATTTATTTAATTAAATATCTATTTAAAGATTATTTCATCTATTGCTTCTTTATAGTCGTGACGATTTTCAATTTTTCAAAAATAGATTAATATTAACTAATTCTTTAAAAAAAATTCATATTTTTTGTTTGTTTTAACTTTTCAATTTAACGAAGCTGAAGTACGCAACGTTTATATAAATGATTTTTAAAGAAATAATTTTTTAAAATGAAAAATTCTATAATTTTTTGCCCAAAAAATATTTTTTTATAATTTGTTGATTAATGAAAACTACAAGAAATATTTTTTAGGCAAAAAATTATAGAATTTTTCATTTTAAAAAATTATTTCTTTAAAAATCGTTTATATAAACATTGCGTACTTCAGCTTCGTTTCAATTTAAATAATTAAGAACGAATTAAATGAGTTATGAGGAAATTAAATATTTTTTCACTATGAGAAAGCAAAATATTCATGATTTGAACATAATCACCTACTTTTATTGTGTAATTGGAGGTGTAATTATTAATTTTAATTATTTACATCAATAATTTAAGATAATTTCAATTATTATATTGACTATTTAGAAATGATTTCAATTATTTAATTGAAAAATTTAGATAATTCCACAGAAAATCATGAGAAGGACTTGAAAATTTTTTAAAATTATTTACCTGTTTTCATAATTTCTGTTATCTAAGAATTATACATTTATTACAGAATTATTGAAATTAATTAATTTATTTAATATTTAATAGTATATTTAACACAAAAAAAAAATATCTAAATATGTGAATAATTCGCATATTGTAAAAAATTTTCTTTATTTTTGAAATTAAAGGTTGTATCATTTCGTGGTTTAAATCCAGTAAATATGTCAACTGAATCAATGCAAGAGTGGCTTGATCAATGGCTCATTATATCATCCGAAGTCGATAAGACAAGTATTTCATTACTTCTCCATTGTCCTGTATTATTGGCATACAATCATCCTACAAACTGGACTTTATTATATCGTAAAGTGTAAAATACCATAAAAAGAAAGAAAGAGAGAGAGAAAAAAAATAACAAATTTTGACATGACAACAATTTTTCAATTGTAAAATAAAATTAATTTCCTATTTAAAAAAAAAACTGCCTCAAATGATTGACAAAAAATTAATATTGACATTGTACATAATTTAAATAAAATAATAAAAAAGTGTGTGAATTAAACATTTTTTTATTTTATAAAAGAAAAATGTGAATTAATATTAAAAAAAAAAAACCAATTTATATCCTACTAATTAAATTATAATTTTACCAAAGATTAAAAATTATGTCAAATTTCTCTCATTTAACACAGAAATAATTCAATAGAAATATAATTTGTAAAATTTACTTTATTAACGAAATATTTTTAAATACACATTTTTATATCACAGGTCTTTTAAATATTTATATTTTTACAATTTGTAAAATTTCTTAAAAACGTATCTAAAAAAAATATATATTATAACCGAATATTAAAATTAATATATATATATATATATATTTTCTTTTTACAAAAAATGTGAGATATGCTTTATGCAAAAAAAGCGAAAAAAATAAATAGAAAAATAATTATTCAATTTGAGTAGAATATTTACAATGAATAAAATTGTAATTAAAATGAAAAATTACTTCAATTAATTGGTATATAAGAAGGTAAATTACCAACTGGAGGCCTTTTTCTTGGCACATAATTTATCGTATCCATTTCGATATTTACCTCTTGTTCTTCATTTTTATTTTCAATAATTGTACTCACGTCACTTTGATTTTGTGTTGATTTGATGATTTTCAATTTTCTTAACATTCTCTCTCGTTTTTCTTCCAAATCTTCATTTAAATTGTCATAATAACGTTTTCTACTTTCTATTATTGTACAAGTGAGATCATCAATACTGGAAGCTTCCAATATTGACGATTCTTTATTGTTGACATGTAAAGTACGTGATGTCTTATTTGTTTTCGATTTATGTGGATAAGGACATTGTTTACCTTTACTACATTTTCCCTCTTTTTCAAATTCGGGACACGCAAAAATATGACGTTCTTTGCACTGTAAATATTTGGAAAAAAAAACCCACAAATTTATTTTGCTAATTTGGAAAAAAACTGCGAAAGAGTAATTTAAAAAAAAAAAATCATTAAAATTATTTCAGAAAAAAAAGGAAAAAAAAAAACATTAAAAAGAAATTCTTATAAAAATTTTCAAAATCTTTGATAATAAATATTATAAAAAATAATTGAAATTCAAAAAATTATTTTTCAATCCACAATTAATATTCAAAAATTATTATTTTTAAAAAGCAAATTTTGTGGCGAATTTTTCTAGTTCAGCATTAAAAATAATCATAATATTTATGAAAAATTAAAATTTTTTTTTTAATAATTTAATTTTAAAATTTGAATAGGTAGGTACTTAATTTTTTTTTTTTCTAACTTTATGAAAAGAAAAAAAAAAAATTCTCACCTCACTGCCCTTTGCACAGTAACCTTGGAGAAATTCTCGGCATATGGGAGTTTTTTCCGAAACTTTCACATGAAGATATGGACATTTGTCGCGTGAACAACAACCTTCTAAAAAATACTTACATGTAGGCATTTTTTCTGGACCCACATCGTGTGAAAGTTTACAATTTTCCACTAAACATTTGCCTTGGAGGAAACTTTATTAAAAGAAAGACATTTAAATTGATGAAAAATGTTAATTTTTATTTTGTTGCGAAAATAATTAATTTTCATTTTAGAAATATATAATTAATTAAGGGGAGGAACTATTGTTAAATTTTAAAAACGTTATATTTTTTTTCGACTTTCTTTTGAACCTATAATTAATTTCACATTTCATTTTATTATTAATTAATGTTATATTTCATTATAAAAATTGAAGAAAAATAATTTTTGGTTTAAAAGATTTTTTTTCACTTTTTAGAAATTTTTTTTTTTTTTTTGAAAAAATTAAATTTTTTTTTTAAACCCTTAAATTCAAAATTATCAAAAAAAAAAAAAAAAAATAGGCATTTAAAAAAAATTATCAATAAATAAATAATATGAAAATTATGAGAAAAGTGTAAAATTTAATTTTTTGCAGAATTTCAATAAAAAATTTGTTAACTAATAAAATTTATTTCCAAATTTTAATAACGTAGCATCTTATACTCTCAATAAGGCGGAAAAATAAATTATCATCTCCCTAAAATAATGAAAAATTTCATTGATCCCTCCACTTAATTATTTATGAATGTTGAAAAAAAAAAAATCACTTACTTCTTACAAAGTGAAATTTGCTTTTTATCATGAACCTTGTGACACGTTCCTTTTGTTTGATTAGCACAATAGCCAAATTTTTGGAAAAAAAGACAAGGTTGATTATTTTTGCGCATTTTATTACGCAAAAGTTGTATACTCCTTTGTTTAACTTTATTGCTATTTAAAAATAAATAATTTTTTTTTTTTTTAGTTTTAAATATATATGAATTTAATAATAAATTTTAATTAACCTCATATTTTATTTATATACCTCATATTACTTTTCACAGTTTGTTTCAATGAAACAAATGATGTTCTTTTAATAAATGTATTTCGATTTAAAGTAGATGAAAATCTACTTGCTGAATTATGACCTTTTTTTGTCGCATCAATTCGTCTAAGTGCTTTTCCATTAGACGCTATGAAAAATTGATCTTGTGTTTTTGTACGTTTTTCTGAAAAAAATAATTACAAATAATCCTGTAAGAATATAATATTCTGTCTAAAAAGTAATTATATATGCAGAATAATTATTAAAGAAATACTTTTTGTTGGACTAGTACTGTTTCGGCGTATCAATTTATTTTTTGATGAATTGTAACGAATTCCTTCAATGGAGACTAATTTTTTAAAATTACCCCTGAAAAATAGATAATTTTCTGAGTGTGAAAAGTAATTTTTCATTAAATATTTGAATTTTATTTCTGACTTTTAATTAAATAATTTTTTGCTATTGGGTCAGGTTATTATATTTTTATTTTACAGAAAAGAATATTAGAAAGAATTATTTTCTAATAGAATTTTCATTTGTTTGAATTTACATTTGATAGAATTTTTAAAATGCATAAATTTTTTTTTACAGAACTTTCATTTGTTGAAATAAATAACTGACAAAAAAATTTGCGCTCAAATTTTTCTGCTAAATATTTATGTATTTTTTTTTTTTTTTTTTTTGCAAAGTTCGCAAAAATACAGAAACACTTTTTATGTGCTAATTTGTGCTGCAAAATTATTTTTTTTAAATAGTACTTCGGACTAGAATAAAAAAAAAACAAAACATTTTTATGATGAAAAATGCCACTTATTTATATTTAATTAAAAGTAAACTTTTTGTGCAAGACTAGAAGTAAAAGAAGTTCTTACAAAAAATTTTAAAATCTTTAATAATAAATTATTCAAAAAAATTCACATTTAAATTTAAAATACTATTTTTTATTCCACAAATATTGAAAAATTATTATTTTTCAAAAAGAAATTTTGTACTATTTTGTTCTAGCCCAGCACAAAAGAAAATAATCATAACATTTACGAAAAATTACAATTTTAAAAAGTAATTATTAATTTTTAAATTAAAAAAAAAATTTTTACCGAGAAATTTTAAAAATTATTAATTTTTAAAAAATAATTTTGTGCTAAATTATACTTTTTCAGCAAAAAATTTATAATTAAAAAATAATAATTTTTTAAATATTTCTGTGTAAAAAAAATTATATTTTTGAATTTTTACATTGAATTCTTTTGAAAAATTTTCTATTTTTCGTAAATGTTTTAATTTCATCCTTTTTTTTGTTGAACAAGCACAATTTAGCACAAAATTTGTTTTTGAAAAATAAACATATTTTTTAATATTTCTGAGTAAAAAAAAAACCTATTTTTGAATTTTTAAATTGAATTATTTTGAAATATTTTTTATTTTTTGTGAATGTTATAATTGTTTCTTTTTGTGCTGGTCCACCACAAGTTAGCATAAAATTTGTTGTTAAAAAATAATAATAATTTTTGAATATTTCTGAGTTAAATAATCGTTTTTTGAATTTAAATTTGATTTAATTTTGATAATTTATTATTAAACATTTTGAAAATTCTTGTCGGAATTTCTTTTCGTTCTGATTGTGAACAGTTGTTTATTTTTAATTAAATATAAGGGCGATTCCATGTGAGATTTACATATGACATTTTAAATTCGGTAAATATATTTTTTTTCGATCTTTATAGAAAAAAAAGGTTTACGTATTTTTTTATTTTTTCTATAAATGCTCAAATTTTCGAGTTATGAATTTTTAAAAATCTGTTTTTTTGCGAGTTTTTTAAAATACACCTAATTTCAATGACATCTAACTTTAAAAGCATTAAATTTAGGAATTATGACCAAGATACAAAAAAGTTTCAGTTTTTCAACGACTTTCAAAATATGTTAATGGAAAAAATTTTTTGAATTTGTTTATAAAAAAACAGCGATTTTTTATAAACAATTTAATTTTTTTTTAATTTAGGGGCGATTTTTTTTTATTTTTACACACATGAAAATAAGAGGAAAATTTTTTAATAAGTTTTTGGGTGGGCCTGATGATCCTTTTGTTTATATAATTTGTTTTAAAAAAATTTTTTTTACTTTTTTTCGTTCTTTTCTTATTTTTTGAAATGAAAAGTGTTTTAATTTGCTTTTCTATGAGTTTACTAAAAGATCCTAGTGTCCAAAACACTTTTCATTTCGAAAAATAAGAAAAGAAGGAAAAAAAGTAAAAAATTTTTTTTAAACAAATTATATAAACAAAAGGATCATCAGACCCACTTCAAAACTTATTTATTTATTAATTAAGCTTCAGCCTTTCGGCCCAGAAGTGGACTTGGTTTAATACAAAATTAAAAAATGTATTACTTCAAAACTTATTAAAAAATTTTCCTCTTATTTTCATGTGTGTAAAAATAAAAAAAAAATTTTTAAAAATAGCCCCTAAATTAAAAAAAATTTAATTTGTTTATAAAAAAAATCGCTGTTTTTTATAAACAAATTCAAAATTTTTTTTTTTTTCGTTAACATATTTTGAAAGTTGATGAAAAACTGAAACTTTTTTGTATCTTGGTCATAATTCCTAAATTTAATGCTTTTAGAGTTAGATGTCATTGAAATTAGGTGTATTTTAAAAAAACTCGAAAAAATCAGATTTTTAAAGATTCATAACTCGAAAATTTGAGCACTTATAAAAAAAATAAAAAAATACGTAAACCTTTTTTTTCTATAAAGATCGAAAAAAAATATATATTTACCGAATTTAAAATGTCATATGTAAATCTCACGTGGAATCGCCCATAAGTATCTTCTTTGAGCTTCATATTTTTTTTCAAATTTATGTAATTATTATTTTTTCAAAAAAAAAGTGTTTGCACCATAAATTAGAATAAATTTTTTTTTTTTTTTGAAAAAATAAAATAACGTTGCTAAATTCTTACACGTCTATAGATATCAATACAGAAACATTTCTAGAAGTATCAATTTTTTTTTTTTTTTAAATTAGCTCGCAACAATTTTGATTAAAATAATAATAATCTGACACCATTTTTTTTTTTGAATTTAAATAAATAATACTCACGATACTTTTGCATCAGTAGAAGTTTTGTTTTTTCCTTTTTGCACGGCAATTCTATCGATTTTATACGCGTTTAATTTTGTTTTACTTTTAATGAATTTTAAACGACTATTTAATTGAATTTGACTTGTAGTGGGCAATGTTGATAAACTATTTCCATTGACTTGAGTTTTTTTCAATAACACTTTATTATCAAATTGATTTCTCATTTTATTTGGCGAAATTGTTAAAGTATTTGCTTTAAAATTTCGCTTTACTCTTATTAATTTTCGACGTGATACAATTGAAAAATTTGAATTAATAAATTTAGTTGATCCAATAGTTTTAATATTTGATTTTGAATAAACATTAGAATTAATTGATTCATTAGGTTTATTAGTTTTCAATGAAAGAGTTTTTGAAGAAGTGAATGTTTTTAATAATTTTGGATTTACGTGAACTGATTTTTGTACATAATTTTTTGATGAATTTTGTTCTAATTTTTTTTCACTATTTATATTGTCAATATTATTGATATTTTCTTGTAAATTCTTGACAATATTCATGTTTTGTACAATTTTTGGATTAACGTAAATTGATTTATTTGTGTACATTTTTGCATTTACTGTTGTTGTCGACAGTTTTTGATTCACGTAAATTGATGATTTTGGCGAGATTTTTGGATTAATTGCTATTGTTGGTTTCGGATTTAATTTTATATTCACGTGAACTAATGATTTTTGTTCCACTTTTGAATTTAATTTCGGATTTATGTAAATTGATGTCGTCTTTGTATTATCAATTTTTGAATTTATTGCTATTGTTGATTTTGAATTTAATTTTGGATTTATGTGTATCGACGTTTTTGTATGTAGATTTGGATTAACGTGAATTAAATGTTTTTTCACACCATAATTGGGATTGACATATATTCGTTTTGGAAGTTCTGTTCCTTGTCCAATAGAAGTTTCAGGTACACGAATATTTTTCATTGGAATTTCGAGATTATTTCCTAATAATTTACTTTCACAATTGTTTAATGTATTAACATCACGTTTATTGTTAAAAGATATTTCACCCGTCATTTTAGGTAATAAATTTAATTCCTAATTACTGTAAAAAAACACAAAAAAAAACAAAAATAACTGATAAAAATAGCGCTTGAAAATTTTTATTTTGTTTCTTTTATCCGTTAATTAATGCTGTCAAGAAGCCACTTTTATTGCACAAATTAAACACAGACAATTGATGTAACACATTTTTTTTGGGGGGGGGTCATAAAATCTCGATTTTTATTACGTTGAATATTGTAAAGAAACAAAAACGATATTATTGAGGAAATGTTAAAAAGAACACACTTACAATCTTAAACTCTTTTCATTAAGTAATTGCCAGCCTACGTATATGAGAAAATTATTTTTTTTTCTTGGAAAAATATATTGAGAAATATTTATATATTTGACAAAAAAGAAAATTAAGAAATCGTAGGGCGGTATTCATAGTCGATACTCATTTCTTAAGCAGCGACTTAAGCTGACACCTAGATTCATAGTCGTGCATTGTGGATTGACTTAAGTCGCAACTTAAGCATTTGCTTAAAGAAGTAAATGCTTTGATTTTGAGATGCATAGTCCCATCTTAAGAATGCCAAGTATTCATAGTCAAATAGGATTTTCTTATTTGACATTACCGGTGAACTTATTTGAACGAATTGAGGTTATGATTTAAAGTCAACGTTTTAGTTGACTTAAGCAATAACTTATTAGTGTATTTATAGTGAAAAAAGTGTTAACAATGGATATAATGCATTATTTAAGAGACATTGAGGATGATATTGATAATGAAGATGGTCCAAACAATATAAGACGTGCAAAACGATACATTCGAGATGCGGAAAATTCTTTTGAAATAGATGAGTGAGAGTTTCAGAGACGTTATCGTTTTCACTCCACGCAGCCTCCTTAGCTTTCAAGGAACAATCGCTTTTGCGATTTTCAATAACATGGGCAAAAATTTTGATAGTTTGCAGGAAAAGTTTTCTTTATCCGTATTGGTGTAATGCTTTTTAGACATTTTATTACTACAAAAAGTTTCATTAATTAGTATTAAAATTTAGTATTATTTATAATAATTTAATTATTTATTGTTTACAAATTTTATATTCCATTATATTTTTATTTTAATATATAATTTAAGGGAGTGAGAGTAGCAGATTTATATTTGGATACATTTATTATTTCTACAAGAAAAAAGAATTTATGTATGAAAGTAGTTATTTTATGTTTATAAACAATTAAAATTTTTTAGCGTACAGCACTTTTTTAAAAACGAGAGTATATAAGATAAGATATAAAAAAAATTACCAGTCTTTTTAATTTGAAAAAGAAAAAATAAATTGTGTTCTACAAATTGTACGCCTAATTTTAAAAATATTAATGTTAATATATTGATCATTATTTTGAATATTTCACTATTATGTATCATTATTTATCAAATTTTAAATATATTTCATTCGTTGATTATTAAAAATTTTTACTTTTAAACAACATTAATTATATTCACAGGTTTATATTTTTGAATTTTGTTTTATTACTGTTTTTTATTACAAACATTTAATAAGAAAAATATTTTACAAATTTACTTTTTTCAAATGATTAAACAAAACAATTTTATAAATAACATTAAAAACGCTGAAACGAAAAACTCAAATTGAATACAACGCAAGTATAAATATTCCTTGGCGCATTGAGGCGAATTTTCAAAACCATTTCTTATTGGTGGATTCAAAAGAATATTGACGGAAAAATCCGATCGTTCAATAAGATCATCTTAAGCATTTGCTTGGTCAAGAAATTCTTAAGCTGCATTTCCTTTACCAAGCAATTGCTTATTTTTGACTATGAATATATATGGTCTTAAGCTCGACTCATTCGAATAAGACCGTCTTGATCAAGCAACTCTTAAGTCCTTGCTTAAGTCGGAACTATGAATACCGCCCGTAAACATCACAAGCAACATGTTAAAATATCAGATATTCAAGATGGCAGACAGACGAATGTTTCTGATTGGTTGAAAATGTTTCACTATGAATCACCTCCAATTGTAAAGCTTTATTCACTTGCATCCGATCAGAGTTGAATAGTTCCAGGGTTTTTTCTCGCGTAAAATACGTATTTTACCCCCTCCGAGCAAAAATATTTTTTAAGGTGCTTTTACAATAAATTTTTTTTACCGATAACTGTCAATGGATCGTCTTGAAGACGATACGATTTAAGGCACTCTCACACCCGTACGTTGCCATGGTAACCTGCAGGCAGCCAAAAAGGTGTGAGTGCGCCATTAGCTATTAAGTAGTTCAAGTTTAGTGGGAAAAATCCAAAATGGCGATTAAGTGGTGCACAAATAAATATTAGAAATTTCGAAAACCCAAATCCAATAAATAACTTCTGAAAAGAGACCTATTTTGAAATTCACATGAAACTCTCAGTCTTGCATTATTATAAAAAAATTTGAAAAATATTAATTCGAAGAAATTTCATGAAAATTATTAAAATTTTATTTCCACTATTTTTATTGTATTAAATTAATTTTTATTTTTATTATAATAGAAGAAGAAAAATTTTAGTGCGTCACATTTAATTAATTTTTCGAGAAAAATGGTCCGAAAGTAATTTGCGGAAATTGTGGGGTGGAGTCTACAGCTGCGGTAAACGCAAAATAGTAAACGACCTTGGCAGCCATCGCTGAGTACTAGCCGGCTCTACACAAACGGGAAGTTTTTGACTCGCGCGCGTTTGACGAAAAATAGTTTTTCAATAATATTTCGTAAACGGCTATTCCAATTGCAAAAATATTTTACAAAAATGTTTATAAGACCCTAGTGAACATTTTTTTCGGGATAAGTTTTCACTGACTGAAAATTTTTCAGATAAACGAAGCCCTTGAAAATTTGGAAACGTAAATTTGTCAATGTGAAACAAAAAAAATTCATAACTTTTTTCGAAATAAAAAAATCACATTCATACAAAGTTTGTCGTCTTAAGAATAGTTTAAACTATAATTCCTGTGAATTTTGTCAAAAAATATTTATAACTTTGTTTTTTAGAGCGAGTTGAAGTGAAAAATTTAATTAAATTTGTGTTTTTTAAAAATCCAGTTTTTTTCGATTTACTTGAAAACCGAAAACGATAGAGATTTTTTTCATAGAAGAAAAAAGATGCGGCATAAAATTTCCAGTAATGTAGTAATAAAAAAAAAATTTTTTTTTTTAAATCGATTTTTCAAGCGTCAGGGGCTAACTCGAACGGCCGTACAAATTTTATGCGCCCTTTTACATTCCGGCGGCTCAACTTTTGTCTGAAACTTTTTTCGAAATTTTTTGTTTTTTACGAGATAATCGTAAAAAACCATGATTTTATGGTGTTTTTATGGTTTTTACCATGATAATCAAATTTGCGCCAATTTTCACAATCATTTTCGTAATCAGCGCACCAAAATACATTAGTATACCAAGTTTCATTAAGATCGGAGGTACCTCTACTTCGGAAGTACACCCGAATTTTTATTGGATAAAATTTCATGCGTCCCAAAAATTTTATAATTTTCGAAGCGTCAATTTTAAAATAATATTATAATATTATAAAGAAAACTTTACATTGAAACTGATTTTTCCCATCGAAGAATTTTTATTTCAATTCTTATTTAATAGAATTTCTATTAATACAATCTTTCAAATAATAAATTGTGTAGTTCATTGAATTTTCATTATAAACACAATTTTCCATTTATGTCGGAATTTAAATTTTACAATCGATAAAAAATAATTTTAATGTAAACAGAAAATTAAACAAGGAGGGGGTCCTTTATGTTTATTTCATAAACATTATGCTTCCTCATTGTGTGAAGCAAAAAATTCGCTTCCTCGTGAAGGAAGCAATGAATTTGTCCAATTCAATTGATTGATTTAAAAAATTTCGAGTTAAAAATGTTTTAAATTAATTAAATTTTTTGAAAAATAAAGAAAATTTTAATTAATTTTGAGTGTAACATAAACTTTATATATACGAATCGATTCGTTTTAATGCAAGGAATACAATTATTTTATTCATCAACTTGAATTTTAAAAAAACACAAAATTTTTTAGCTAAAATATGAATTTTCGATTTTTCAATTTTTATTAATTCTCAAATTTTAAATCAAATCTATACTTTATATATACCAACCAATTCGTTTCAATGCAGGGAATAAAATTATTTCATATATAAACATGAATTTAAATAAACACATCATTTTTTAGCTAAAATGAGAATTTTTGATTTTTTAACTTTTAAGGAAGTTCTCTCCCTCCAACGTCAGTCAAATCAATGCCCATTTAAGTTTTCATTTGTATCACGTAGTACTAGCTCAACACTTGGCAACGTTGGATTATATTTCCCCCGTTCCGTTTCGTGTCGTCTGCTATTGTTTGATTTATTTTCGTTAAAGAATAATAATAATAATTTATTATTTTAAAAATCTTAATTTTTTATAAGCAAATTCAAATTATTATTCATTATTATGAATCTTTGAAGAATATACTATTACATGTATATACTACTTATATTACTTTCAAATTTCGCGCTTTTTCTATTCCTAACCTACAAGACGCAACGTTGCCAAGCGTTGTGCTAAGTAATTTCTGATTGTCAAAATACGGTGTTTTTTTAGACAAAATAATTACAGGCGAACCTCTCATAAGACAACCTCTAATAAGACAAATTTCCCCTATCGTGTTCCCCTTCTCTAAAACTTTAGATACATATTGCGTCATGCGCAGTTACGTCATGCGGTGCATATGGCTAGTGTTTTAAAATTCTCGGTAAAATTGAAACCTGAGAAGGTAAGAAAGAAAATTGCGGTATAAATTACCGAAAAAAAGAGAATTTATGAGAATATATGAGAATATTCATTTAAGTGATTGATAATTGCCTTTTTTAAATTTAAATATGTATTTTTATAGTATGTAAGTTATAAATAAACGACCGACATGTTATTAAATGAATAATTTGAACAATGAATATAATAGACTGTAAGGGTGCAGTCCCATGGAGCAGATTAGCAGAATAGATTTCAGCCAATCAAAAGTTAGTCTCTCGCGGCAAATTTTACATTTCCGTTAGAGACTCTTTTTTTATTGGTCAACGTCTAATCTGCTAATCTGCTCCATGGGACTGCACCCTAATTTTCTCTGTGTTCTTACTGACAAGATGACAGTTGGGTATATTTGCCTGCACTTTTATCATTGTCTAACACGTGCGTCGTCATGGCAACATGTGTGTTAGACAAGGATAAAAGTGCAGGCATATAAATGTACCTGATTCAATATAATAATGTAATATCATATCAATATTAATATATTAATATATATATTATATATTGTAACAAAGATATTTTTCATTATAATAATAATTGTACAGTCAGGAACATATGTCTGTACTTTTATCCTCGTCATACACGTTGTCATGACAACGCACG